AAACGTTGGTTCGTGCCATCACCCTACTTCTTCCCCGCACAGGAAGATGGTCTGATCCGTGCTCCTCGCCGAGTCTCTCTCTCATTCAACGTACGACGACTTTCCGTCAAGCAATGCTCGCCGAAATCATTGGACGGCCGCTTTGCACAAAACAATCTCTCATCTCGGACTTTAAGAAACTCGGAATAGTCGAAGGCGAAACGCTCCTGCTCCATTCGTCCCTTAGCCGCCTCGGATGGGTGAACGGCGGCGCAGAAACGGTCATCTCTGCTCTCCTCGAAGTCTTGGGAGATGAAGGGACGCTGGTAGTACCGACCTACACGGGGGACAACACCGATCCCGCGGAATGGAGGTCTCCACGCGCGCCCCGTGAGTTGTGGCAAACGATCCGGGACACAATGCCCGCGTATGATCCGCGGATCACCCGGACTCGGGGGGTGGGAGCAATTCCAGAAATGCTGAGGAATTGGCCCGGCGCCATGAGAAGTGCCCATCCTCAGACGTCGTTTGCTGCTGTTGGGCTCCAGGCAGGCGAAATCACTGCCGGACATGCGCTCGATTGTCGCCTAGGAGAGAAAAGCCCGCTCGCCAAGTTGGAGCAACTTGAAGCTCGCATCTTACTGTTGGGCACCGGATTCGATACTTGCACGGCGTTCCACTTGGCAGAGTACCGTAATGTCGCCCCGCTGGAGAGCAACTCATTCGCTGCGATAGTGGAGGGCTCCCGGCAATGGGTGACGGTCAGAGACATCACTCTTAACGATGACGATTTTGGGTTCATTGGTAAAGCTCTAGAAAGAACTGGGGCTTTGAAGAAGGGATTGGTTGGTGGTGCATATTGTGGGATGTTTCCATTACGAGAGGCAGTGAGCTTTGCGACAGACTGGATGAGAGCCAATCGGTAAAGAATGCTATATAGAATGTCTCGATGGAACACTCTTTACACATGCCGTATATAACTCTAGTGAGTACCTACAAGAAACGGGAAACAATGAATTTCAATCCATGGATCTATTTTGCATACGCGGTCAAATGCAGCCCATCGAAACTTCGTTGTTGGTCTGTACTGAAGGGCGCAATGACATGTTCAAGGGCGTAACGACTGGTCGTTAAAACCGGATAGCCGGTCCGGATCACCTCGACGTGCCGGCCGGACTTTGTGGATTTCATCGGGTGAGATTAATAATCCTCGGAGACGTCTTCCGAGCAGATTAAAGACATTGAGGACGATGCATTCTCGAGAAAGGCACACAGCTCTAAATTTCAGCATCATGGACGGCAAAATTGACGCAGCGCCCAGGAAATTGCGGCCTCTGGGTAAGTCTAGCTAAAGGCCGAGCGTAGAGGAAGGCAAAGTAATTCAGTTGACACCTGCAGGCCTGTTGGAGCGATACTCGACAGTCAGAAGCCACCTCGGAATCTACAACAACGTCTGCGTCACTGCAGTCTATAGATGTTCCTACAATGGAGATCTTCTGCAGGCTCTATGGCGGGCTGTTGGTGACGTGGTTGCCCAGCACCCGATCTTGAGTGCGACACCCGTTGATATCGATACCAAAGATCCTCGGTTCATCTCTCTGCCAATCACCGAACCTGAGCAAGTCGTTCAGTTGAGAAAATCTCAAACGGTCGTCACCGACCCTCAGTTTGAAGCTGAAATGCAAATGACGCTAGAAAAGCAACACAATACGCCGTTTGAGCACGGCGCGACCCCGAAGCCCTTCTGGAGATTAGAGGTTCTGGATGACCGGACCAGCTCTAGAAGCTTCGTGGCTTGTCTATGCTTTCATCACTCTTTGATGGACACCAAGAGCGCCCTAATCTTTCACGAAGACCTCGAGAAAGCTCTAGATCAGTCGTTGACAACGACCCGTTCTGTAGATGCAATGCTTCCGCCACTGGACGCTGTCTATGATCTACCGGTTTCGGAAACCTTCGTCCAGCAGGCATCAAACTACATCGAGCCATCAGCCAGAGTCTGGAGCGGCGCACTGCAGCAACTTCCAGTAAGATCCCGTGTCAGACTGTTTTGGGTCTCGGGAGAAGTAGCCGAAAGCTTCAGAAAGCACTGCAAGGGAGAGAAAACATCTGTCACGGCTGGTATGATGGCCCTCATGGCAGCAGCATTCTTCAAAGTTATCCCCGACAACTACGATACGTTGCAGGGCGACTGTGCTGTTTCCCTGCGCCATCTACTGCCGGGCCCTATCAACGATCGATCAACAGGATGTTATGTTGGATCCTTCAGCGAACAGTATTCCCGGAGCGCGGATCCGGCGTCGATGTGGTCCGACGCTAGACGGACAAAAGCGACGATTGATGAGGTTACGAGAAAACGTGGAGCGGATATGCCTGTCGGGTATCTACGCCACGTCGCCGATGACATGTCGGGATGGTTGTCCGGAAAGCTGGGGAAGAAGCGGGCCGCTGCGTGGGAGATAAGCAATGTCGGGGTTGTCGGCTCCGCTGGAAAAGTGACCGAGACTGAGTTCAAAATGGAGCGGATGCTGTTCAGTCAAAGTGCCAGTGCAACCTCTGGGGCTATCAAGGTGAGCGTTGTGACGGGGAGAGACGGGCAACTCGGGTTTGCTTTCTCGTGGCAGGAGGGCATTGTGGAGAAGCGTCTGGCCGAAGAGTTAGTCTCTACGTTTAGAGAGTCTTTACTAGCACTAGTATCTGAGGGCGGTCGCTGAAAAGACTAGATTCGATACTATGCTCATTGCATCTACTGTATCAGCCAATCATCTTCCAAGGTACGATCAGCAATTTTGAAGTTAGCCGGCGCCACAACCGGCTAGACGTCGACTATCATTTCAATGAACCGGGCCGGTTCTCCAAGACAGATTTCCGGTCCGACACAGCACAATGAGGTAGGTCTGTAGCTGACTCATGCGGACACAGGTTCAACCGCTAGTTGTTAAACCGGGAGCCAAGTGGTTGGTTAAGGCATTCTTATATACTATGTTCAAAATATGTCCAAAGAATATCCGGCATCAAATTATGTACACCAGTTCAAAGACCGAAGAACTTCATGTCATCGTCACCCCGGATAGGGACAGTGTGTCCCACACCAACAGCCCAAACACCGGTGAGGTGGTCGCCAAAGACATCTGTGCGGTAGTTGGCGATGGGCGTGTTCGCAGACGAAGTGACGGGCTTGTCGGGGTTGTAGCCAAAGACGCCGGACCACTGCTTGATGGTCTCCTGGTAGTTCTTGGCGTTAAGCGTGGTGTCGACGCTGCCGTGGTAGATCTGCATGCGGGGGCGGGACCCGGTGTAGCCGGGGTAGGCGTCGGTGACCCATTTAGCCCAGGCGGCGGGCGTAGCAATGGAGTTGCCCTGCGAACAGGTGCTGTTCCAGCCGTTGACGCTGCCGGTGTAGAAGCAGCCGGCCGGGACGCCGTTGTAGACGATGCCGGCAGCAAAGACATCGGGGTAGGTGGCGGCGAGGACGTTCTGACAAGGTTAGCAGAGGACGACACTATTGACAGGTTGCGGTCAACTTACGGTCATCATGGCACCGGATGAGGAGCCAGTAACGAAGACCTTGGACTTGTTGCCGTTGTACTTGGTGAGAGTGTACGAAACCATGTTCGCGATGGAGTTGCTGTTAGCTCCGCCATTGTGAGTGAGGGTCGCCTTAGACGAGACATCCCAACAAGTTCCCGAGTAGGGCGACTCGGGGTAGATGACGATGAAGCCCTTGGAGTCGGCGAGAGTCTTGTAAGGGCTGTTGTTGTAGTAAGCCTGGGCAGTGCCGGTGCAGTAGTGAATAGCGACGACAACGGCCGGGTTCGCGGCAACTTTGTCGGGGACGTAGATGTACATCTTGACGCCGCTGGGGTTGGAGCCGAAGTCGGTGACCTGCTGCAGCGAAGCAGCGCTGGCGGCGCTGGCCAGGCCGAAGAAGGAAAGAATGTTGCTGAACTTCATGGCTGATTTGATTGGATCGCAAACTGCTTGACAAAATGCTGATCGTCCAGTTCCCACTTGTCAAACTCGACTTGGCTTCTGGGTATTTATGGTTCCGTGAGGATCAAAAACGAAGCTGATCAGACAATCGCCTTGTTGTGCCGCACCATGCAACTTTTGTAGACTTCCCTTCAGCCGCTCATAGACGACGTCAGGGGTCGCAAGTCGTTTGTGTAAAACCCGGTCATCTCGGTCCCCCACATCCAGGGTCGTCTTGGAAAGGGGGGCAACCACCAAAAGAGTCGAATTGGGTAGGGGGAATAAGAATTTAGCCGGAAGAATTGGCCATTAAGCGGACTCTTCGTCCGAAGAGAGTAGCCCGCAGGAACGGGTTCATCTGGAAAAAAAGCTTCTTCGGCACTTGCGGAAGCCTCCGAACAGAACCTGGTATGGTCTCAACTTTAGATGCCGAGAGCCGCTGCTTAGCGTGGCTGCATGGTTCCTTTTGCGAGAAAGAGTCCGGGGGTTGCCTTGCACTTTTGCGGTGGTTGCGCATTGCCGATCTGCTGGATAATCTGGCTGTGCCAATTTGCCGGCAACACCAGCCACGGAACATGCCCCCGTGCTTGGCGCATTGAACCGGGAATCCCAGGCCAGAGCAGTGAGTTTTGGGACATAATTGATGTGGCAAAACCTAGGCTGAAGCTTGAGCCACGGGGTTGATGTTTATAATTCCCCCAATCCCAACGGTTCGTTGGCGTGACAATAATTTGGATAAGGGTATAATCGAATGGCGCACTATTTCTCCGCGATTCATCGCGATGCCGACCATCCGAGATATCCGGAGTCGGAGCTGTGTACCACGCGGACATCCTTTCAGCCGCCTGCCTACGATGTGCAATCGTCAACCGTACGGCGACGCGACTCCCGAGGGCTTTCGCTAGCCGTTCCTACGATTCCATGTGTCCAACTTGTCGGTGTCTAGGAGGCGATCGGTCGTTCAGGGAGCGGGCGGCATCCAGAACACGGGAGCGCCCTCGAAGTTCGAAAAAGTGGCGAAGGCCTGCCGATTCATCAGCACATGGATTTTAAAATGCGCGAAGGTAGCGGTATACCGAAGAGTCTAGATCTAACCAGTCTGTAGTCTCCCAGCCTGCCAGAAAGTTCGTCATGCCTTCGAAGCCCTGTGTCTGGAACACCGCGCCAATGTCGCCCGATTGTGCCACGCCGAGTGCCGAAGGGTCGTCAACTTGCATAGGATCCGCTGCCTGTCCACTCTCAGCCTGTTCAGAGGTCGCTCCTTGTTCCGGTCCTCGTTGTCTGGCTTCAGGCCCCTTGGCCTCTTCTCGCAACTCCTCCAAGATGACGCTGTACCGCCTGCTCGGGCTGTCGGACGTCGTAGCTTTGGCCAGGTGGTTTTGGCATCGGTCCGCGAGCTCGAAAAGTCCTTTGTCCTCGTCGTCTCCTACCCTTTGTATCTTCCAGACATAAACCACAGCCAGAGCGCAAAAGGTGACGTAGGGTGTCCACCAAAACGCATGGAACAAAGTTCCGTCGCTGGCCATTGCGTCGACTGTCTCGAGTGCGGTCTTGGCGGCGTTGATACATTCCTCTACACTATCGTCGAGCGCAGACGGCTGGCTGTCTCCTCGAGAGGTCGTTGTGCCGAGAAGGAATGGACGGTTGGCGTGCATGATGGCGTGACAGTATGCCAGCTTCAGTGCAGTGTTTTGTCGCCTAAAGGATGGAATCAAAGACATCGGGCGGACGGTGCCAAGGTGATGCGGTAGAGATTCGCGCCACTCGTGAAGAGCGCGTCCGTATCGGTGAGCGGCCAAGAGACGATCGTGTTTCGGTATGGGTTTGATCGAGTACACCTCGCGCGAAATCCCGTCAATCAGCTGGGCAAGCTTCGCATGGAAGATGAGCGATTCAACGTGGCAGTCCATTTCGGGTTCGTCGCTCGATCTGCCCTGGGGAGTCATGTCTTCGTCGTTGACGCAGTCGGGAAAGTCCTGGTCAATGTCTTCGTCGTGGTACATTCTCGGACGACCAAACACTACCGCGAGGTACTTGTCGATGGTGTAGGCCACCCAAAAGGTTCTCTTCCGACATTGCGACATAATGTAGTCGACTGGAGGGGCCTGGCCGTTGCTGGCTCTCTTGCGACTTGCTTTGCGATGCAGACCCAACGCCGACACGATAGGTAGTACACTGCCAAATGTGTACCAAGCCTGATTCATGCGTGACGTCTGCAACAGGTACAAAGTCTGCAGTAGGCGCGCCTGGGCGGATTCAAGCTTCGGAAGGCCTGTTTCCTGGTCCGTTAAGCCCGTGGCTCGGCAGAAGTAGGAATCGCTGCGTCGTAATTCGGAAGCCTCGTCTGGTGATGGCTCGGTGCCCCTTACCTTGATATTGCGCAGAGTGACGATGGCAAGGATGGTCAAGACAATTGACGCTTTTGCGTGGCCAATGTCACGGTGTAACGGCACATTGTCTAGCGCATTTGTTAATAGGACATTAAACCATTCAACCACGTAGCCCTGGTGAAGACAGCGGTAGGTCACCACGCAAACGTCAAAATAGAAGCGCATCATCTCCAGACCAACTGATCGCTCGGGGAGCGGATGGCTCTCGTGGGTTGCTGATGCAAAAGGCTTGTCGCCTGCCCTTGTCATGGTTTGGTGCTGTTCGTTTGTACTAGAAACATGGGGAACGACGCCACCAGCTGGTCTCTGGGATGACAACCGTTTCCATGCGCGGTGGAGGAAGGTTAAGCTTGACGTGGTGTCGAAGTACTGCCCCTCGATCTCGGCGATCTCGACCTCTGGTGATGCCCTTGACACTGGCTGGAGGACGCTCTCCTCAACGGCTGGCGAAGATTCAAGGGTAATGGGCTGCTGCGAAGGCCTTGCTCGAGGCGTACCGGTAGCGACAGGACTGTAGTTTGTGAGCCTTCTTTGCGCAGTGCGTGTGTGCATAAGCCAGAGGAGCACTTACAATTGCGCCTGGTAGGATGCTGGCACTAACCTGGCGTCGGTCGTTGGGGTCGCAACTTCGACTCCAGCTGACGGAGCCGGCGGCGGGGTCGGGGGCCTCCCGCGACGGTAGCTTGCATCGTAGATGCAGGCGAGACGCTTCTTGGTGCAGACGTCGCAGGGGATGGTGCCGGAACACTTCAGCTTTTTGGCCTTGCAGTAGTCGCATGCGCGGCTGACTTTGTGGCTCCGTCGGCGGTTTGCGGCGGAAGCCACGGCGGAAGAGGGTAGAACTGGAGACACGGACGGACCCGACTCCGACTCTTCGCGGAGGTAATGGCCGGAGGAGGGTCTTTCGGGTAGTGGGCGCGACCGACGGGAGGATTCCGACGGCTCGGGGGAGGGGCCCGTACTTGGACGACCTTCAGGTAGGGTGCGCTTCTTGCGGGATGATTCCGGGGGTTCAGACAGGGTCGGGCCGTCGTCAGGACGTCCCTCCGGCAGTGGGCGCTTTCTCCGGGATGGCTCCGAGGCCTGGGACTCCGACTTGCCGTCGTCGTCCGCGGGTCGACCTTCGGGGAGTGGGCGTTTCTTCCGCGGAGGTGGCTCCGTTGGGGTGCCGCTCGAGGGCGACGGCTGAGAGACGTTGGAGGACGGGGTGGGCGCGGTGCTGATGGATCCAGCTGGTTCTCGGGTACGAGCATCGGGGGGCGCGGTGGATGGTGTTTGCTGTGTTGTTGGTGTAGGCGGATCGGGGTTGTCTGCCATGATACTCTGGACGGTCATGGAAATCCGACCCTCCGACGCGTTTGCTGACATGAGTGCGGTGCGGTATCCACTGAGTCAAGTCCGTCTTGTCCGGGGATGGATGACCGCGTCAGGTGTCGCACAGGTGTCAGTCCAACGGGGAGCGTCAGACGGCTTTCTTTCTCTCTCTCTTTTTCTCTCTTGTCGGTCCCTCACGCTTCCTCTCCCCACGCCGACAACTTGTGTGGGTCGAGAGTATCGTCACCAATGCTCTCCAGAAAAAGGGCGGCTTCCTTAGATGCGATTCATAGTTGCCGAGGCCTAGGGAGGAAGCGAAAACGAGGAGCAAGAAATTGGAGACGGGCGTGCGCGACGCGGTGCTACGTCGGGCGGCAGAACTTTTGATGTGAAGCCAGCAGCGATGGGTTCGATTCGGAAAAGCAACAAAACGCCAGGGAGGCTAGGTTTGGTTTGGTGGTGGTGTGTGAATGGAGTGAAGGACTAACTAAAGAAGAGAGAGACTCCACCGCGGAAGCCACGGCGGGACAGCCACTCGGCAGCACAGCAGCAGCAGCAGCAGCAGCAAAAAGAGAAGATTTCTGTGCAGCAAAGCCACTTCTCGATTAGCCTTGGACCGATGTGGTAAAAGGGGGTGGAGGTGGCTGATGATCGGTTGAGTTGGATCGATTAGCTAATCGAGATCCAAGGATCCAAGGATGCGAGACGAGACGCGGCGCCGGAACTGGGGGGCTTCGGCTGGAGATCGCGGCCGAAAGACTTTCTGTGTGAGTGTGAGTGTGTGTGTGTGTGTGTGTGTGTGTGTGTGTGTGTGTGTGTGTGTGTGTGTGTCTGTCCCTTTTCTCTTCTGTTTTCTTTCCTTCTTTTCTGTACGGATACAAGTGTATGTCGGGCATGTAAAAGGTACAGAGTACAAGAGTATAGAAGTACAGACAAATACATGAAAAGACGGGAAAAGAGTCAGGTCGCAGACTCGACTTGGCCCCCGTCCTAGGGGGAGACAGCTACTTTTACGCGGCAAAACTACCCCTTTCACCCGTCGCACATACACCTGGACCCCGGACAACCTACAGCAGAAGCTGCCCAACCCGCCGAGCAGCAGGAATAAAGCTCCCGTCCTGTCTCAACACGGCAAAGACGCAGCTCTCGGGTCTAACCCTCTACCTGTGCATGCCCGCAACAACAAAAAGGCAGTGCGGGGTGTGTCTTGCTTCCCTACCTACATACTAGCTCTCGCTCTCTGCTCTGGCTCTGGCTCTAGCTCTGTCCCCTCTGGCTTGAACTCTGAACCTTGCTGCCCTACAGTGAGTCCGAGCACAGAGTTGGATTCCGACATCCTCCTCTCGCTTCACATGCCTCACATCCAGGTTGTGGCTTCTTCCGTACCGCCTGGGACCAATTGGATTTGTTTCCGGCCATCTGCGATCGACTTAGCCACGTGTGGAAGCTGCTTACCATCTGATTGTGTAAGTTCGTCTTGCAGCTTAGAAAACGCCCTGACATGTCTGGGCCTGGGCTGGGCCTCTGGGACACAATTAACAGTAGAACCCAAACAGGCAGAGAGAGACAAAGTGCCCGTTGTGTCGGTAGCGGCGTCCCGTGTGTCTCGGTATCATATCTCGGCTCGGTGTTTGACCACGGCTTTGCATATCTTCTGCCCGCCTGCGAAGGGGGAGGCACAATTATCCATGGATGCCCACAAGAGTTGTGCAAGTCTCGGGTTCACTAACCGTAAACAACACAGGTCTTCCCGGCCCTTGAAAACCAAGCCCCTCACAGCAGCCAATGACAAATACCTCGGTATTGATTGCTGCTCTTGTTCTTGAACGTGCCACCGTGAGGACCGCGGCACGTAAATTAATTAGCTGTTAAATTCTCTCTCGACTGAAGCTCTGATCCCTGCCGCACATCGCTGCACAAAAAGACAAACCGGTAGCTGAAAAAAGTCCCGCAAAACCTTCATCAGGCATACCTACCGACACCTCACACACCACCACCACTCCACCATACACATACACGAGTCTGGCGGCGGCACATGAACCACCCCGCAGATCAACGCGCAAACTCACTGATGATGACTGATGCTCGCAATCCTGTCAAAACCTCAGAAAGGTCAAAACGCCGCCCGGATAGTAGATCTGCCCATCGGACGATCGGACGGACGGACCATCTCTCCTAAATCCGGGAATTCTTCGCAGTAGTGCCCGCTCTCCTCCGTGACATCCGCCCGGTCCCTGTCCGCTCGCCCCTCTAGCCACGGACGGCGGCTCAGAGAATTGCACCGCGTCGTTGCAACCGTTCGACCGTCTCCCCAGCTTTTGACCCGCTAAGAGCTCTGCCGCCTCAATCATCTCAATTCGTGGTGCCGCCTTCTCTGCCGTTGCTGTCCTCGGAAACTCTGTTCCTGGGTCCTGACGTCAATCTTGCGACATTTGGCACGGTCCAGTCGCCCAAATCTCCGACCTGCCAGATCGATATATATCAGACGGGGAACCCCATGACTCTACCTTGACTCGTCCAATAGTGCAATCCGGCAAAGCTTTTCCATTTCATAGCATCATACAATAATTATCAGCCATGTCGCTCGAAGTTTTCCATCTGGGCCTGTCTCAATCCGAGAGGATTGTGTGGTTGTTGGAGGTGAGTAGTCCGATGAGCGGTCTGCGCGCATTGCGACCTTACCCAAACTAACCCCGCATAGGAGCTGCAAGTCCCCTACAAACTGAACATCTATGAGAGAGATCCCAAGTCTGGACTGGCGCCACAAGGCTTGAAGGATGTTGTAAGTCTCGCGAGGGTCAGGTGATTCTGTACAGCGTCGATTGACCCCACGCAGAACCCCGCTGGCACCGCGCCCTACTTCCGCGACAGCACCGTCTCACCGCCAGTCGAAATCTCGGAATCGGGCGCCACAGTCGAGTACATCCTGACTGTGCATGGCCAGCCCAAGATCGGCTCCGGCGCGCCCAGACTGAGCCGATCCCCCGACGACAAGGACTATGCGGCTTACCTCGAGTGGTTCCATTTCGCCAACGGCTCCCTCCAGGCTGCGATCGGTCGCGGCATGACCCTCCTGTTCGCTGGCGCATACAACACGCCCTTCGGACAGCGATGTGACCAGAAGATCCAAGCCAGCCTGAAGTTGATGGATGACCGGTTGGCGAACAACAAGTGGTTGGCGGGCGAGAACCTTAGCGCTGCGGACATCATGACGGTCTTCAGTATCACAACCATGCGTGGTTTCTACCCTGTGCTGGACCTGTCACCGTACAAAAACATTCTTAGGTACCTGAAGGATGTTGCCGAGCGTCCTGCCTACCGCAAGGCTTTGGAGAAGGGCGACAAGGGCATGGAGCCGATGATTGGTCCCAAGGCCAAGCCTTTCATGCAATTCGAATCCTTCAGCGCATTCTTCAAGGACTTGCAATAGACTAGAGTCTTAGAACATACCAGCACTTACAACTACGTCAAGGACTCTCAACTCAATCTCACATCAAAACCCATTGAACATCCCACTTGATGGCGAAAAAAAAAGGACTCGATACACCTGTGGAAGATTGTGTCGACATGCGCCTCGGTGGTCAAAAAGATATTCACTTGACCAGCCTGGGGGTCGAACCCAGAATCTCCTGATGTCACGATTAATCGTAGTCAGACGCCTTGCCATTGGGCCAACCGGCCGTGATATGTGAAATGTGTCTCCACAGAGGTGGATTCTGACAGCCGGTCGCCGGAGCTGACTTGAGAACTCGGACCGCTCGTGCGCGGACGGCTTTGCGGACCTAAACTTAAGATGAATGTCTACGTTGAAACGTCTTACAGGATAAGATATCCTCCACTTTCTTTGTAATAAGCAATCGAACAAGGCAAGTGCCGTTCAGGGCACGGTCTGGCGGTATCTGGTCTTTGAGTCAGGGCACAATCGAAGCTAACTACTAGGTAGATTTACTAGCGACCAAGTGCAAGCCACCGGGAGCGATGAGATTAATTAAAGAAAAAAAGACACAGAATCCATTTTAGCCAACACCCAATGCTCACAGAGCATACTTGAAGAGCGGGCTCTTTTCTCCCATGCGATCAAGTTCCTCGTCGGAATGTCTTTGTCTGACTTCGTCTTCAGTCATGAGCCTCTTCTTTTTGTTCCTCCTATATAATAATGCCTCCAGCGTGATGACCGCAATTATTCCTGCCGACGCGAATCCGAATGAAGTCCCATACCCGGTCAGGTACCTCGGAGCCTCCTTGTCCATGTAGATATAGCTACCGATGAGGCCACCAATGTTGCCGACACAGACGAGAAAGCCGATGCTGATTGCTCGCTTGGTAGGACTCGGGGTGTTGGCGACGTTCCAGGCGTTGACTCCTGGAAGAATGGGGTACATTCTGGACACATTGCTGTTAGTTCCTTCCTGCTTATACTTGATGTTTTTCATGTGCATGTGACGTACCCGAAGCACGCTAGGCAAATGGCAAAGTAGTTTACAGCAATGTTGTTCTTAATGTCCTCGCTCTTAGTGAATAGAATGGTGAATGCAACAACCAGGAGCAGTTGCGGGCCGAGGATGAACGGCATTCGCCAAGAATACTTGTCCGCAAAAACCGAAAACAGGTACGCGGATATAGCACCCACAGCATACGGCGGGATTGTCAACAGCTGAGCGTTGGCAGATGTGAAGCCCATGTTCTTGATAATTTGAGGCATTGTAAATTTCAGTGCGTAATTTGGGACAGCCTAAACTTGAGAGTCAGTAACGTCCAATGGTGTTTTTCTGGGCCACTAAGTCTTTTTACTGACGTTCGACCAGTTGGCCAAGATTAGGAGATAAACCTTCCAATCTGTCAACACGGAGAGAAATGCGTGCTTATCGAAGTGATGGTCTCGGAATTCGTTGGGTCGCACAACCCGCCGGGCTTGTTGTCGTAGTTCCAGAAAGCGGATTTCTTCGGGGTCGAGCCACTTGGAGAGGGCAGGAGAATCCACAAGAAAGAAAAAACACATGACACCTATCAGGACCGTAGCTAACCCTTCGAGGATGAAGATCTTGTTTTGTCAGATGATTTGTACGGCCTGGAAGGATGAAACCAACTTACCCATCTCCAGCCCTCGTATCCGCCCACTCCATCCATCTTGGCAATTGCAAACGCCAGGAGACCTGAAAATGCTCCACCAGACGCGGCGGAGGTGTAGAGAATAGCGATGCGGGTTTGTGTCTCGTTGGGGAGGTACCATTTGGAGATGATCAGGATCGCACCGGGGAGGAAACCGGCTCTGGAATGTTTCGTCAGTTTTGATGAGATCTTTTCGGTTCACGTTTACATACTCGAACAGACCAAGGAAAATCCTCACGGCAACCAAGCCCCCAAAGTTTTGGACAACTCCATTGCAGGTCATAACGACACCCCAGCAAGTAACGATTCCGCCAATGTAGAGAGATGGTCTCTTGAACATGTGCAGCACCATGTTACTGGGGACTTCGGCCAAGACAAACGGGATGAAGAAGACGGACAACGCGATGTTGTAATCGACTCCCGTCATATGGAGACTGTCAAGGAGGCCTTCGATCTTGGCATTTCCAATGTTGGTCTTGTCCAAATAGGCCATAAGGTAGAGGAGGACAAGCATTGGAACTAGTCGAAACTAGGGATTCAATATTCGTCAGTAATAGGTAGGCAGAGAGAGAGAAGTCGGGTCGAGACTCACATCAACTTTGCGGACAGCCTTCTTCTTCCTTTCCTCCGGGAAATTGGCGAGGAAGTCTGCATCCTCAGGGCTCATGCCGCTGTTTTGTTGGAACTCATTATGGGCAACAGAGTCCTTCTCTTGAGCAACGTGCTCGATGTCGGAGCGGTCAGACGATGCTCGTACAGCCGTCATGTTGACGGTTTCAAAAGCAAAAGGAAATGTTCAAAGAGTAGAATATCCTCTAGGCAAGCTAAAGAGGATGACCGAAACACCACCTTGTGTACGGCAGGAGGCAACTTGGTAAGAGGGAATGCTGAAATGTGTTTTCTTTATAGCCAGAAGACTCCTCAACAACTTGTCTGGGGAAGATTTCCTGGGGAAAGGGGATTGGTCTGCCCAGAATGTTCCGAGCTGTGCTGGAGTTGCGGGGATAAACAAGGAGGAATCTGGGGAAATATTCTTGGCGCCGGCGTCCTCCGCACAAAAGGACTCGGATAAAAAACCTGTTAGTCCCTCTAGCGTAAGGCCACACGATTCGAGGAGACCCGGAGAACCGGAATACTCTCGTACTCGGAAACATACAGAACATGACAATCAGGCGCAAGGAATTGAAGCCAATTCCTCAACAGTCGTATCATGCCAGGGATTCGTCCACTTTGAGCCACGTAGCCGGGTACCTTTTACCACTTGTTATTACACCAAGCTTCCGGGGTGCATCGACTATGACACACGTGTTGCGTGGGGATGGGGTCACATTCCAATTTCTCCAGTCAAGAACGATCCGTTATCTCCTCGGGACCCGGTTAGGGCGCAAAAGTCAGCCCAGGGCTTGCTACAGGGCGTGGTGGCGCTGGTGTTTCCAGGTCACGAGTCGCTATTCCGAGATATCTCGGACTTGGTGTCCGGACTCTTCCCGGAAAACTTGGCCCCCCGCCCCGGAGACGCGGGGAAGCGGGGGAGGATCAACCTACACGATCATGCTTTCCGGATGGCACATCATTACATGAAACTGCTAGAGGCGCTTCAAGTGTCGATAGACGCGACTTCGGCTTTTCGTGAAGCGCGAGATTGTCGCCGCGAGGGTTATCCTGAGAGGCTCTTCGCATTATAAAACAGACAAGATGTGACCGATATCAAGCTCGTCTCATCTTCACTACAAGCAAATCAAGCCCATTCGAAATTAATCAAATCCTCATTAACTCCTCCTTCACAAGAAAATAGACCAAAATGGGTTCTCAGTCAGTCAGCCTTGACCTCCGCGGCCTCACCCCTGCCCCCATCACTCCCTTCACCAAAGACGGCAAGGTCGACTACGATGCCATCCAACGCCTTGGCTCCTGGCTCGGCAGCATTTCCGGCGTCAAGGGCTTGGTTGTTCTCGGCCATGCAGGCGAGGGCACTTTCCTGACGCAAGACGAACAGGTCGCCGTCATCAAGGCCTTCGTCAAGTCCGTCGACAACCGCATCCCCATCATTGCCGGCATCACCGGCGAAGGTACCGAAGTCGCCGCTCTCGAGGCCAAGCGCGCCCGTGAAGCCGGTGCCGCCGCCGGCCTACTGTACCCTTCTCACGGCTGGCTCCGCTTCGGATACCAGCCGGGAGCCCCGCAGGACCGCTACAAGGTCGTCTACGAGGTCAGCGGGCTGCCCCTCATCCTCTTCCAGTACCCCGACAACACCAAGGCGACGTACAACCTCCAGACTCTCCTCGATATCTCGGCGCAGCCCGGAGTGTTCGCCATGAAGAACGGCGTGAGGAACATGAGACGCTGGGATACGGAGATCCCCGTCATCCGCAGGGAGCGGCCCGACCTGCAGGTACTCACTTGCCATGACGAGTACCTCCTCCACACGGTGTTCGACATTGATGGCATGCTCGTCGGATACGGCAACATTGCGCCGGAGCAACTCATTGAGATGATCAAGGCCGGCAAGGCAAAGGACTACCCCAAGGCCCGCGAGATCCACGACAGGTTGCTGCCCGTCACGAAGGCAGTGTACCACAGAGGATCGCACATGGAGGGTACCGTGGCGTTGAAGCATGCGCTTGTTGCGCGGGGTATTCTCGACCATGCAACTGTGAGGTCACCTCTGTTGCCTTTGGAAGACGGCGCGGAGACGGAAATCCATGCTGCTGTGTCGTCTGCAGCCCTGGCGCGGGTAAAGGGACTGTAGTGAACGGTGGAAATCAGAGACATGTCAACGGCTAGAGATGTTGTACGACTCGAACAGATGACAATACAACCACTTCTTAGATTGAATCCGATGTTTACGCGATTGGATGCCTCATGCACCCTGCGAGAGTGAAGCTCACCTCCCTGTCCCGCGATGCCACGCCGAGGAGAGAATGAAAAGCGATTTCCCTGTCTGCATGGTGACCAAATACTAGTGCCCAGACAATTCAATGATTCGCCCTGACGAAGATCTAGATTCCTGGGGGCCAAGCCACCGACGGAGACGGTGTGCTCAGCCCGCTGTTAGCTTGCTGTTAGACCACTCGGGACTGAGACATCCTCCTTAGTTCTCTGCACATCATTTCCGTCGCTTGAACCCATCAAAGACGTCGTGCATGAGACCCGAACCCAGGAAGCCGGTAATGATGGTCATTGACACGCCACTTTTGCAGGTCCCCATCGCAATCGCCAGAATCATGCATTGATTTTGTGCATCTAGCTTGAAGCCAAGTCTCGGGAAAGATCTAGTTGCATGCTCCGACAGGGCAGTCATAGCTCCAATCGCTGGCCCTCACCTCGGAAAATGAGTCGAGCCCACGAAGCCTCTTGTGGCGAAACACTAAGCCAGGAGCAGCTTACATGGTGGCTGCCGATAGCACGAGAGGAGCACATGTTGGGGCTGCAGCGGGCGTCGCCAGTCCTTTAGCACGTTGAGTTTCTCCTTTGATGCCATTGAACACACGCAAGACAGGTCCGGCAGATCAGAACTTTTGCAGTCCACTACTTTAGAACACATGAGGCCCTCCTCATCCATCCTCTTGCCTCGAGGGCCTGCTTCCATTCAACTCTCACTCATCCAAAGCAACAATGGACGGAATTCGTTTGGTGCCAGACATCTCCTGGGCAGGCGTTTCGTGGCCCCAGCTCCTTGGCGTCGGGTTCGCATTGTGGCTGCTCTATGGAGGCTTGCTTGCCATCTACCGCGTCACGCTCCACCCGCTGGCAAAGTTTCCCGGACCGAAGCTTGCCGGAGCAACTTTTTGGTACGAAGTATGGTATGATGTGGTGCTTTGGGGCCGCTTCACTCATGAGATCAAGCGAATGCACGAGAACTATGGTATGAGGTTTCGTTGGTGACGTGGGGAGCTTGGCTAACGAAACTGTCTAGGTCCCATCGTTCGAATCAACCCTGACGAGGTGCATTGCAATGACCCAGAGTTCGTGGAAGCCATCTATGCGAATGGCGCGAAGAAACGCAACAAGTCAGAGATGTTTGTCGCTGGTTTTGCCAATGAGTGAGTTGGTCATGAACCCCGTTTGGGAAGATGTCCCCTACTAGATAAAAATATGCTAACATCTGGCCTCAAGTCTGAGAAACGTACGCAGCCACTGAACGTCAACTTGAGAATTAGCTTCTAACATGTAAGATAGGGAGGCTTCGGAACCGTAGACCACGTGCATCACAAGCTCCGACGAGCAGCGGCCAGCAAATACTTCTCGCGAACCCAGATTCAGAAGCTAGAGTGGGTGATTCACCAACATGCCCAGCGTTTGGCGGACAAATTCCTTGCATATCGAGGACAAGGTCCATTCGATGGCGCCTCCGCATACAGCTGCTATACTGCCGACATCGTCAGCGATTTCTGTTTTGGCGAGGGGCTCGGGTTTCTCCAGCAGCCCACGTGGGAGCCGAACTTCAAAGAAGCTGTTTACACCATGTTTCATTTGATTCACATCATGCGACACTTTCCATGGACGACGAGACTGATGGAGATGATTCCTGTGTAAGCAAACGAACACCCAAGAGTGGTGGATGGATTCGAGTGGTTGAGAGACCGTGACTGACTGACGAGAAATAGTTGGGTGATCAAGCCGCTCTCTGCCAAGATTGGGCTCCTCATGGAAACGGTCAAGATCAAGCTCCCAGAGCTGGTTAGGCAAATGAAAGCAAGGCACGAAAACGGCATCAAAAGAGATCGCGTGACAGTGCTGCACTCGTTGCTCGAGTCGGATCTGCCACCGGAAGAGCTCACCGTTAAGCGACTAGCCGGAGAAGCAAATGTGTTCCTTTCTGCAGGAACCGAGACAACGGCATCGGCTCTTACCATATGCACGTACCATCTGCTCAGAAATCCTGACGCCGTCGCCAAGATCAGGGCGGAGCTTGCAACCGTGAAAGCCGACCCCAAGGAGCTTCCCAGCTGGGCGACACTTGAAGGCCTCCCATATTTCAACGCTGTCCTGATGGAATCTCTCCGGCTGATGTACGGGTCGCCATCAAGACTGCCAAGAGTCGCACCCGATGAAGACGTGGTGTACCAGGGCACGTGGACACCTCCGGGCGGGTCGGCGCCGGTCGACGTTTCTCACGTCATTCCGCGGGGCTATGCGTACGGCATGTCGGCGTATATCATGCACACGGATGAGCGGCTCTTTCCGGAGCCCTCCAAGTTCCTCCCGGAGAGGTGGCTCGACGAGAATGGCCAGCGAAAGAAGGGGCTGGAGCGGTTCCTGCTTACGTTCTCCAAGGGAAGTCGGCAATGCCTGGGAATGCAGTAAGTTTCCCCCGAGGTCATGGACCGCATGATCCGAAGTTTTCACACATGGATGTCTGAGCTTCTGCTGACCAATGCACGCTTTGATTCTAGGCTGGCGTACTGCGAGCTTCATGTCGCGGTCGCGGCGGTGGTGTTGCGCGCGCTGCCGTACATGCGACTGTACGAGACGACAGACGTTGACGTGGAGTATGATTTCGACCTTGCTGTCTCAATGCCGAAGAAGGGGAGCAAGGGTGTCAGACTGGAGATGATTTGATGACGACGTAGCATGCGGCGCTTACTGGCCAGAGCTCCATTAAGCTTTGGTTCTTCTATTTCGGATGGAAAGGTGTGAGTTTGGATGAGATTGGGAGAGACACAAGCTGGGCACTGTATGTGTGGCTCTTCGTGTTCAGCCCTACCCTATCTACCTATGTTTGGTAATGACAAGCAATTCTTCTAAGCTGACACGACGATGATCAACGTTTGACGTGGCAGAGCCAAGAGACGGAGCCAGAGTGACGGGACTGATGGATGACTCTGCTGGGAAGACTGAGAACAGAAACCTGACACTCAGAGAACAAAGCGAGGGAGTGAGTGAGAGTGAGAGAGTGAGTGAAAGAAGCGCCGAAGGCATCCGTGCGGGTGTTAGCGCCGTACTGTGTCTCCCGCCCAAAACACAGCAGCCCCACACGGTCCCGAGCGCCGCGGTGGCCCGGCGCCGACTCCCCCCACCCAGCCAGGCCCCGATTAGTGCAAAATACGCGGCGAACGGGCTTTCCCACCGCCGACGCCATCTATCCATCGATGTCGGTCCAGTCAAGGAAGATGCCATGTCCAATAGAACTTAGCAGAAAAGGGACAGAATGCTCCCGTTCCAATATGGGTTACTACCGCGCGCGAGTATTACCAATGCGCCGCCCAACCCCCTGACTAAGGCTCTCTCGCGCTCTCGTTGAAAGCCATCAGGCTCTGTGTCTGGCAGTCTGCCCCTCCCCTGGTTAATGATCTGCTCCCCTAATGCACCGGCGGCATGGGCCTAGACTCGATCCGACTTGGAGAGTCGCACAGAGGGGAGAGACCGGTAAATGGCCTGTGAACACTGAACACTCGACACGGGACATCTCCCGCTGCTTGGCACAGTACGGCGGGTGATCAAATTACTTACTCACTTACTAATTGGATATCGATGGCCTCACCTGGCTCATCCCAGCACCTCTTCGTTCTTCTCAGATGACTCCATCCGCGGGTCTCCATACAAACTCTTTTTTGCAAGAATAAGCTTAGCATGGAGCCACTCTGTCTCCATCTTTCCAGGTTGCCCTCTTCCTTCGACCTTCACGCACCGCGCGCGCTACGCTAATGCCGTGGCACCCGCAGCGCCGTTGCCTTGACTCGGCCAGTCGGACCCCTGCCGCACCAGCGCCAAAGGCACCAAAAGACACCAAAAGACACCAAAGACACCCCATCCCTGTCCAAATGCCGTCCCCAATGGGATGCGGATTCGCGATGCTTTTTCCCAACGCGTGGCTCCGAATCTGACCTCTGAAATCCTGCCCGTGGTCTGACCACTGTCCCCCGAAAAGCAAAATGCCTGGTGACTAAATCAATCTCGCTTGTCCCGCCATAGCTGAATAATCCGAGCGCTCCCTCGTCTGAAACATTGGATTGCTGGTCCATGAAGGGTCCAGAAAGGAAAAGCCCGAACCGCAATGCGTGTCCCCGTCACTGTTCGGCCGAAGTCTCTTCCTTCACATTGGGGCAGGTCGGTGGTGGTACATACCCGCCGCCCTCTTGCTTGCTTCCTCTGTGCTTACATGGGTTACAGTCCTAGACTTGTACGAGGCGCCAGCTAATTAATCCTCTGCCTTTGTGTCGATAAAAACATTCATTATCCCCTCCGTTCCCCCCAAGCCCAGCTGCGCCCATATCTCTTCGTACTTCCTTTGTTCTTCCCGCATCGTTTGGCGTTGTCATCTTCTCCATCGCCCTACCATCCGCACTCCCCCACGGCTTCCCCGTTCCGCTCCTTAGCCTGCCGCCGATTAAATACCCCAACAAGCCGACGACTTTCATATCTCTCCCTTGAGGAACAGCATAACCTGTATTCATCCCGCCAGACCAATTCGCTTCTTACCCTCTCAACAAACCTCACACTCTCCGTCCCGCCAACAAAATGGTCAAGCAGGTCGTCATTCTTGGCGCTGGCTACGCAGGCCTCGGTGTCGCCCACAAGCTGCTCAAGTACACGCAGCCCAAGGTCAAGGACCTCAAGGTCATCCTCGTCTCCCCCTCAACCCACCTTTACTGGAACTGCGCCGCCGTCCGCGGCCTCATCCCCGGCGAGTTCTCCGACGACACCCTCTTCAACCAGATCAAGCCCGGCTTCGACAAGTACCCCCAGGACGCCTTCGAGTTCGTCCTCGGCAAGGCCACCAGCTTCGACCCCTCTACCAACACCGTCCAGGTCGAGACCAACGAGGGCCTCAAGTCAATTGAGTTTGCCGAGCTTGTCATCGCCACTGGCTCCTCCCTCGCCAGCGGCCTGCCCTTCAAGACCGTCGGCACCCACGAGGAGACCCTGACTGCTTGGCACAACCTGCAGTCCGAGGTCAAGGCCGCCAACTCCATCATCGTCTCCGGCGCCGGCGCGACCGGTGTCGAGACCGCCGGCGAGCTCGGCCACGCCTACGGCTCCACCAAGCAAATCACCCTCATCGTCGAGGGCGACGCGCCCCTCCCCGGCCTCCTCCCCAAGCTCGGCAAGATCGCCGCCACCAGCCTGGCCTCGCTCAAGGTGAAGCTCGTCACCAACGCAAAGGTCACCGAGGCCGACACCTCCGGCTCCCTCAAGTCCATCAAGCTCTCCAACGGCGAGACCCTCACCGCGGACCTGTACCTGCCCCTCTTCGGCGTCCGCCCCAACACATCCTTCATCCCGGAGAACCTGCTCGACGACAAGGGCAACCTGAAGCTCAAGCACGACCTGCGCGTCGAGGGCCTCAGGAACGTCTGGTGTGCCGGCGACGCCGGCAACCTCGAGGCGAAGCAGCTCATGCGCGCCGAGGGCCAGGCGCTGCACCTCGCTGACAACCTCGACGCCGTCCTCACCGGCCAGGAGGCCAAGGTCAAGGACCTGAAGCTGACGACGAAGCCCCAGATCTTTGTCACGATCGGCAAGAAGAAGGCGACTGGTCAGTTCAACACGATGAAGCTGCCCGGCTTCATCGTCAGCGCGGCGAAGGCCAAGACCTTCTTCACGGAGAAGGGCCCCGGTCTGGTCGCCGGCAAGAACATTGCCAGGGCGTCGATCTAAGGGGCCGATTGACATGGATGATGAGAGTCAGATTGAGATGTTTATGCTTCAGCTTTGATATCCCGGGACGCGTATTGTCATTGGCTACTCACACATGTGAGCATACGACTTGTAATTACCTATTGGACCTATACCCTAATCACAGAAGACGCATAATGTTCATGAGATGAGTTTATTGTGCAATAAAAGTTTGAGGTGTGTAAATTTGAAAGCTTTGCTTTGCCAAATGAGATGACGTTCTAGTTTCAGTCGCTAGCGAGTGAGGCGTGTAGAGTTCATTGTGAACACTCACATGTTCCACTGCCCCTTCTTTCTTCATGAAAGCTATGATTCCAATTCGCATCTCATCATGAGTTATCGAAGAGACTCGGGATCAAAAATCCGCACTCCTTTGTCGTCCGGGATCAGCTATACCTCTATCTTACATATGGATTGCAACCGAAGCCCACGTTTGGCCGTATTCCCGTCTAACCAGCACAGTACTGACTCTTGCTCCTCAGCCAGGCACCCCACTTCCACATGACCACCGGCACAATAATGCCCATCACAAGAACGATCCCAGATAGAAGCGCATTCCCCCATGCTATGCCCAGCGCATCATACAACTTGGGTGCAAACAGAGGAAAACTGAAGCCAGCCATCGTTCTCACGAATGCGGCTGCTCCAGCAGCGCTCGCAGCATACCTCTCATACGAATCAATAACGTAGGTCTGTACACACTGAAAAGATAGAATGAGCCCCGCGGCCAGGATCGCTGCGCCGATGTTTGGGACGATCCAGTGAATTTTGAAATGTGCCGCTATGCCGTAAATAAGAAGACCAATGGGCGTGACTATGGCTGTCGGAAACATAAGAGGTATCCTGAATTCCGGAAGGCCAGTGTCGTTGTTTCTGGTTTTGAGCGTTCGGTAAACCTCGACGGCATCAGTGTGGATCTTTGAACAGTATAAGGAAAGCTAATATACCTTGTCGATAAGAGGTCCCGAAACTTGAAGTCCGATGACGAAGCCGACGCCGAGTGAAATGTAGTTGAGACTTGCCGGACCAGGTTCTTGGTCGTATTGCTCGCTCCACACAAGTGGGAATGATGCGAGGCTTGAAGTATATCAGCGATTGACTTCTTTCAGCATTTAGGTTAGTGGCCCAAGCTTACACGAGATACATCAATCCGTAAAGGTAAGCTCTGTACAGCGCCGTGATCTGCAATGCTGGCTGCGTGAAGAGCATTCTGAACGGCCTGACCAAATTCTTTCCCAGTGTCTGGCCAAAAGTTCTATCCGGCCGTTCATATTCAGTGCGAAGATTTTTGTTGTCGGTGAGCTTGCGCAATTTCTTTGCCTTCACCGCCAGGATCTTAGGTGCGTATGTCTCTGAGAGAAACAGAAATGCGAGGATTTGGACGACTGCATCGGCGATCGAGACTGTCCAAAAGATCCAGCGCCATGACATGTATTGGGTGAGATATCCAGCAGCTTCGAAGTGTTAGTTGAGACTTTCATGTTCGAGAAGTGATGTCGTGGAACTTACCAATCGGCCCAACCGCTGGGCCTAGAAAAGGGGCAAGACTGTATATGGCGGTCGCCGTACCTCTCTCTTCCGCTCTAAAGCAGTCACTCAGTACGCCACCACCAAGCTGATTCTAACGTCAGTGTTTGCTACCTCTTCAAGAAAATAAAACCTAGTAGAAATGTGCTCACAGCTTGAGGTGCGCTTCCGCCCAGGCCGCTTAGAAATCGAAATGCGAGCATCTGTTCCTTTGACGTGGAGAAGCCACACACAGTATTGAAGATGAGATAGAACATGTTGGCCGACTGAAGCACGACCACTCGGCCGTACATCTCTGATAGCGGCGCCAGAAAAAAGGGTCCGACCGCGTAGGCGAGGAGGAAGATGGACATCAAGAGGTAGGTCTCGATATCTGACTCGACGTTGAGGTCATCAGAAAGAGTATCAAGTGCTGGCGCCAGCATTGTGGAAGACACTGGCGATATGAAGGTGAAGCAGGAAACTAGAATGGTGGCTGTCCATTTCTTGTGCTTGGGCCAGTTCTTGGGGTTCGTTGGGTCTGACGGCCCAGACCATGTTACCTGTTGTTCGATTAGCGTTTAGTGTGAGGAAGAACAGGGTGCATCCTACCAGGTCTGGATCCTCAGGATCATCAGAATGATTGCCCTGTTCATGACTTGACTTTTCTGGTCGGGGTATCATTGATGGGCCGTTTTGTGAATTGTCATGGGAAAGCAAGTGAGAACGGTCTGTTGGGCCAGGAGTCTCCAGAATAATATCGGAATGTTTGTTTCCGTGATTTTGTCGAGAGAATGAGCCGTCTGGATCTTGCAGCCATGGAAATTTGTATGCAGTCCGTTCGTACTCTGAGAAAGAAGGGAGTCCCGGGCTCCATCCGCGCCACAGGCTGGACCGAGGCCGGGTCAGGGTTCTCTGGAGGCTCGGGGCCATCTCTGGATCTGAGACTGGCTTATGAGGAATGAACTGATAAGCATGAGATTGAGACATGTTTGCGGAAGCGACTGTCAAAGCGAGTGTATGGAAATACGATCAATGAAAAAAGTGACGATCACAACGCTATTCTGGTCTTGATGGTTTCATATGCGCTTGGACGTTCACTGGGATACAATTAAGCGTTTCTTTATACTACAAACTGTCTTCGTGACATTTTACACTTGGCCAGGCAGAAGAGCATAGCCTCATGCACTTATGACGGCAGCGCCTCTGATGATGAGTATGGCTGGGCCGGAGACCAAAAACAATCAGCTCATTCCGGATTTCGTTTCCCTGTACTGAGGTCTAGGGTCAATATCCCTAGATCCAGCGGATCAGCTGCCAAGGGGAGAAGGATATGACTAGTCTGGGGCAAGCTGGTGTCCTGCTGGGAAAGTCGGCCGAAGCTTTCTTGGCGAGCCGATCAGCGGAGTCGTGGACCGCTACGTCAACTGTGGCTGATGATGCACGTTGGAGTAACATTCTTCTAGACTCCGCCTGGGGCTGCATTTGCACACGCTTGAACCCTGGGAAAACACGCCGATAAAGTTGTAATCCTTATTTATAGCCCAGGAACGGGTTATCTGATTGGAAGATACAGTTCGAGATGACGCCTCAAGGGTTTGTTTCACCCGGTCGAGATACGAGATCTGGGCAAATCCTGATCGTGTGCTCACTCGTCGCCGAGAACAGGCTGTGATAGTCACTGTGCCAATGAAAGCAGTTGTTTCAACGCCTACTTTGATTTACAAGACAAGCTATCTAGCGCCTTTGAAGGCTGTGCTGGGTGCTACTTGCGTAGACGATGTTACACTATGATGCTGTTGACAGCTCAGGAACGGTTCAGTCGCCAGCCCATCGAGGCAACGGACACGTGCAGGGCTGAAGACATCACCGTCCCTGAACATCTCGCGTGAGAAATATCACGCGACCGAATGTCTGTTTGCAAAATAGCAACCGGCGAAGCATCTCATAGCCACCCCGCGGCAGCTGGTCGCGGCAGATTGGGGTTCTTGATTCTTTTGACGGGGGATGAGGCCTCAACGCTTGGGAATTCGTCACATGGCAAATGCAGAAGATAGACACAGAGAGGGCGCGTTGATCAGCACCAATCGATCTAGGGTTTCTGTTCCGAAGCAATATAAGAAGATTCGCAAGGACGGAGCATTTATTTCGACAAACCAGGTCATACAAGTCTTCGTTGACCATAACACTTACCCAATACATATTTCACTCGCTTCTCAACATTCGCTTCATCGTGTTCAAGTTGTGATAACACAAACCCTTATTACCATCGTTTAACATCACAAACTACCAAACACATCCACATGGATTCTTCGACGCCCCAGGGAATGAGAGTTCTCGTCTGTCCGTCCGGTTTCAAGGGAAGCCTTCAGCCAGAGGTTGCCGCTGATTGCATCGAGGCTGGTATTCTCTCTGTAATGCCAGATGCTTCTGTGCGCAAGGTTCCCCTGGTTGACGGAGGCGAGGGGTTCACTAGTGCCCTTGTGTCCGCGACTGGTGGCACATTGCATCCAGTCGTTCTCACCGGCCCCGTTGGCGCTCCGATTGCGTCTTTCTTTGGCATATTGGGAAGCAAAAGCCCTGATGAGCCAAAGACAGCTGTCATCGAAATGGCTGCTGCAGCCGGATTAAGCCTTGTCCCAACCCATCTTCGCAACCCCGGCGTTACTACCACCTTTGGAGTGGGCGAGCTTCTGACAGCTGCAGCCGGAGTTGGCGCGAAGAAGATCATTGTCGGCTGCGGCGACTCTGGCACTTGCGACGGGGGCGCGGGAATGCTTCAGGCCCTTGGCGCTCGACTGATAGATCAAGATGGGCTTACGCTCCCTATCGCCGCAGGGGGCGAGAGCCTGCTGCGTTTGGCAAATATCGATCTTGGCGGAATCGACAAGCGCATCAAAGATGTCGACATTGAGGTCGCGGTCAACTGGAACAATGTTCTTAGTGGTCCTGATGGTGTTGCTAGGGTTTTTGGCAAGCAGAAGGGGTCGAGTGCCGAGCAGACGGAACGCCTTTCAGCAGCTATGGAGGTCCTCTCTGTAGTTGGTGGACGGCTTCTCTGCGACAGCAATGTGGGCACCTCGCCCGGCGGAGGAGCATCTGGAGGGTTGGGCACCGGTTTGCGGCTGGTGGGCGCCAAGCTTCGGCCAAGATATGGGGTGGTGGCGGAGTATGTCGACTTTGAAGGGCTGTTTACGGACTGCGACCTGGTTCTCACGGCCGAAGGAGGCATCGATGACCAGACGCCGAGGGGGAAAATTCCGGGTGAGATTGGGACGCGGGCGAAGAAGCATGGCCTGCCGGTGGTTGCTATTGCTGGGACCATCGGACCAGGGGCTCGGGTCAACTACGACGTCGGAATCGATGCTTACACGTGTATCCTGCAACGACCAACCACGCTGGACGAGGCCATTGTGGAGGCGGAGAAACTGACGCGGGAGAGTGCCGAGTGCGTTATGCGAATGATTGTCGTGGGACGGATGTTGGGGTCCAAGAAGCCCTCGTCAACGGCGCAGGCGAAGCAGCCTGCAGCGTCGGCATGGGTTTGAGTTCCGAGTCACGGATTGATTGCAGTGAAGATGGTATGAGCCAAGACCGCAGGTAGAAAGCTAGATGTGTTAGTGTAAGCGAGCCGGAAGGGGTTCTGGGGTTCTGGACCAACAGATGAATGAGAAATGACATTGGCACTAGCATCTTGGTGCCCTTGAGTGAAAAGAAGAAAGCCTTGGCATGAATCAGGAATTGGTTTCTCGAAACGAAGACATTACTGGCAGGAAATCAGGCCAGCCAAGCCGCTTGGTGTGGCGGTGCATATTTGCGATATGTCTATCGCCGGATCGGACGGTCTTCGAGTTGTAGCATCAGAGGAGCAGAAGAGACGCAGGTAAGGTACAGAGTAGTTGACGTTGGAAAAAGGTTCGTCCCAAGACCCAAGACGGAAGACGGAAGATGGGAAGGTCTAGACGGCACACGGGACGGTGGATGGACGGACGATCGCCATCGCTCGCTCGCTTAAAGCCTTAACGCCATGTTGCTTATCGTTATCAGATGAGGTCAAGCCAGAAATAGCAAAGAACCCACTCCTCGACCCACAACTTGCCTTAAGCGAGTAAATCGTCACGTGTTTCTGCCGTCAATTGGCAATCTTGGCCTTCTGATTGGCTTCTGCACCGCCGCAGCTTCGTCGAGGGCCAAGTTCAGTGGACGATCCGGGATGCTTCAGCGAATCATCCCCTGAAGAGCATCATCGTCATCGCCGTTGCGCAGCGCGTTCGTCCAGTGTCCTTGTGCTTCGTGTCACTCAGGCGGGAGCCCTGCCCTTCACTGCCCCGCCCCCGCTCACTTTAAGGTGCCTACCTTAGTTGGAGGTACCTACCTTAACCTTACCTCAGCTCCAAGTACTGTGGTAAACTCAGGGGCACATGCCACCTTCACCTTCACCTCGCCTTACCTGATCCATCACCGCTCTTTTTGACTGCGTCTCTATTTTTATTCTCGCCTTAGACCATCACCACCATGCCCAAGAACGCGCCGGCTCCCGACGAGCCTGCCGTTACCTTCAGCTCTGGTTCCGACGCACCCGTTGCCTTGCGTATTCTCCACCTCAATGATGTCTACCACTTGGAACCCTCCAGTGCTGAGCCCGTTGGCGGTGTCCCTCGCTTCATCACTGCCGTCAACGAGTACCGCAGTCACGAGCGATTCAATGGCCAGCCCGAGCTAATTACTCTATTCTCGGGAGACGTCTTCAACCCCAGTCTCGAGAGCTCCGTCACAAAAGGTAATCCCTCACGTGTCCTCCGCCTGTCATGATGCTGTGCTGACGCGGACCCTAATAGGTGAGCACATGGTGCCCGTTCTCAACAAGATTGGCGTCGACTGCACCTGTGTTGGTGTAAGTGAGCCCGTTCTACCTCAATTGGCCGTGCCATTTTATTAACGCCACCAGAATCATGACTTCGACTTTGGAGTCAAGCAGTTCGAACACTTGACCGCCAAGTGCAACTTCCCCTGGCTGCTCGCCAATGTCCTGGACCCAGCTCTCGGCGAAAATGTACCCCTCGGAAATGCCAAGCACACTCACATGCTCACATCCTCCAATGGCATCAAGATTGGTCTCATTGGCCTCGGCGAGAGAGAATGGCTCGAAACAATCAACAGCTTGCCTCCCGACATCATCTACAAGTCCGCCAGCGAGACCGCCAAGGAGCTCGTTCCCCAACTCCGCGCCCAGGGTGCCGACATAATCATCTGTCTCAGCCACCAGCGTGAGCCAAACGACAACAAGCTCGCCGAGAAAACGGACGGTCTCATCGACATCATCCTTGGCGGCCATGATCATTACTATGCGCACAGTTTCATCAACGGTACTCATGTTCTCCGGTCTGGCTCCGATTTCAAGCAACTCAGCTACGTTGAAGTCCGGAGGAAAAAAGACGGTTCAGGAAAATGGGACTTCGACATTGAACGACGGGACATTGTCTCTTCCATTGCCGAGGACCAGGAGACTTTGAAGCTCACTGAGGAGCTGACATCGAAGCTCAAACACAGCTTGGCTAAGTCAGTTGGCTGGACAGCTTCTCCTTTGGATGCACGCTTCACGACAGTACGAATGAAGGAGAGCAACATGGGCAACTTTGTTTGCGACGTAATGAGACACTACCACAACGCTGACTGCGCTCTCATGGCAGCTGGCACCATACGAGGTGACCAGATTTACCCGCCCGGCGTAATCAGAGTTAGGGACATTACCAATTGCTTCCCCTTTGAAGATCCCGTCATCTTCATCAGAGTGACCGGCCAGCAAATATGGGATGCCTTGGAGAATGGCGTCTCGCAGTATCCAGCACAGGAGGGTGAGTCTACTTTCTGCCCTATTACAGACTAAATATCCTAACAAATCAGGTCGTTTCCCGCAGGTATCCAACATTACGTATACGTTCGACCCCAGCAAGGAGCCTGGCTCGCGCATCGTCGAAGCAACCTTGGGTGGAGGCCCGATGGAGATGGACAAGAAGTACACCCTCGCCACTCGTGGTTATATGGGTCGAGGAAAGGGTACGTTCAAGACCTGAAGAACTCTGTGTACACTGCTAATGATGACAGATGGTTATACCAGTCTTCTTGTCGAGCCAGAAGGCGGCACGGCCGAGGAGATCGTCTGCGAGGAAAACGGCATCCTCATTTCAGCCATGCTTCGCCAATACTTCATGAGTCTGCGCACTGTTGGCCAGTGGAAGAATCTCAGTGAGCACTGGGTTCAGATAGCCGAAAAGTGTCACACTCCTGTCGAGCCGCGCAAGATGTGGGAGACAACCGCCGCGACAGGCACCTCAGACCCCAAGCCCGAGGTTCATTCCAAGTCCTGGGCTGAATGGATGGTCAAGAGACACGCTCTCAACACCAAGCTCCCCAAGGACGAATCGGATGAGTCTGATACGGAGGACGAGGCGGATACCATCGCGCAGGTCGACATGGAGATGCTTATCATGCGCAAGTTCTTCGCCAAATGGGCGAAGGCGGCAGGCGTGAAGGCCGAAGTGTGCGATCCCTTGCGTGAGGGCGAGTTTACTGTAGACTGGACACGGGTTATCGCACCGGTGTTAGAGGGGCGCATTAAAATGATCAGCTAAAGCCTAAACAGCATAGAAAAGCAATAGACAGCATGCCTACCAGTACACATCCAGCTAAACTAGGACACATGACCAGTTCAGATTAACTTTGAGAGTAGCTACCTAAGTCTCATGGGTGATGCCCGGCAAAAGGATGGACAATCTAGGAATCGAACCTAGGACCTACCGCATGCGAAGCGGTTGTTACACCCCTAAACCAATCGCCCATTCTAACTGAAATATGACTGCCTTCGACTTGAAGATGGATCAAGCGATGCTGCGGATGTGGTGTAGCCTGGAAATATTGTCTAGGATTTGTGGCGTCGAGTCTGGCCGCTGTGATGGTGGCCGCATGTCTTTCAGCTGCGGGGTCATCAGGGATTTCACACCGAAGCTGAACTCCCCGGATCGTCGCATAAGGCTTACCTGCAGTCATCCCAGGGATTCAAATACCTAGAGAACGAAAATTGTGTATGATTGTAACGTCACTTGCTACGGACTGTCGCTGGTGAGCTGAACGATCTTCACAGCTAAGTGGCGAAGAGCGGGAGGACATCTTGCCGTATTACTAGCGAGCTGACCTTTCCCCAAATAGCAGGCGGGACAACCCTTGTCCAGGGTTCAGCTTTAGGAAACGGCCACGAGGGGAAACGTGGGTTCAGTTGTGTCTTGGAAAATCCAAGTTTGCTTCGGCGGTTAATCGTCAAATGACGCCATTCTTCAAGCTTCAAGACTTGCATGATCTGCAAGGGGCAATAAAGCTTGACAAGCTCTGATGTCTAGACAGATGTTCCTCCAGATTATACAAGACGGCGATTGCGAGACTACGGGAAGCTGGGGTACTTTCCGACTTGTCGACGCAGTGATTTTTGATGTTACAACTGATGATTAGGAAAGGGGCCCAAAGATACCACTGCAATATGCAGTGATAATTGATGACCTTCGTCGTTAAACAATAAGCAATCACCACTACCACTAACAGGCAACTTCGGTAGACTAAGTGGTCGATCTATCACCTATGACAGGGGAGATCGCGCCCATTTCTGTCATCTCCCGTCATTCTTGTCCTACAGTAGGCCGGAGAAATCCTGTCACTGTCTTACACTAGTTTCTGAGTACGTGAACTAGGTTCATCCCGTTGCTTATCCTCCATTCTGGCAGCGGGAGTGGCTAACTTCTAGAGTAAGTGGCTTTCTCAAACCCTGGAGAGTATCATTACCTCGTCCAAGTCAGTTTCAACTCAGTCCAAAGTCATGATAGTCTTCAAAATAGCCTTAGCTGAACTGCAATGACGCGAGCCAAGAACCAAAGCACATGCAATGCAACCCAAGGGAGTCGACTTTGGACGCTCACTTCGGTTGCCTTGTGGTTATACGGAGGAACTCCTGCGCTTGATCTGAGTTGCTGACCCGAATCAATGACTCCCAAAGATTATAAATACTGCTCTCTTGTACGCTCGACTAGAAAGTCATCTTGAGCATCATAAACCTCAGTAACCCATCAGAAACTCATCGGCGAACAACTATCAAACATGCAGCTGCAATCTTTCCTCGTCGCCGCGATGTCGGTACCGACAGTATTCGCCGCCCTGAACGAGCCATGCTACGGTTCAGGGGGCAGAGCTGGTTCGTCCTACTTCTCAATCCCACCTACACTTTCACTGACAAGAACATCAGGCGTTTGCGTGACCACCAGCAGCTGCTCATCCAGCGGCGGCACCACGATCAACGGCGCCTGCCCCAAAGACCCGGACAACGTCAAATGCTGCACCAAAGCATCCTGCGGCAGCGGCGGCAACTGTCGCTTCACAAGCGACTGCGCAGGCACCTCTGTCGCCAATCAGTGCCCGGGTCCCAGCACCTTCAAGTGCTGCGACTCATCTGCCTCCGGCTTCGGCGGCTATGGCGCCCCGAATACCCTGACTGTGGGCGCTTGCAAGTCGGTCGCCGTCAACGGCGCCAAGAAGATTGTGGCGGCGTTCCCGAAGAGGGTTCGGGAGATCTTTTGCACGCGGGACTGTACTTGTCCTGGCGACTCGGATCACTGCTGTGGCAAGGCGACGGATATGATGTGTTCCGATGCTGGTGGTGTAAGTGGCAATGCTCTAACTATACTTTATTCACGTGATGTTGACCAAGTGACAGACTCCCACCACCTCCGGTAAGGAGATTGCCGAATGGGTCATGAATAATCGCGCGACACTTGACTTGAAGTATGTCATCTGGGGACAGCGTATCTGGAATCCTTCTGTGGACTCTGTCAAGTCTTGGTCGGATTGGAGGGGGATGGAGGATCGGGGTGGTGTTACTGCGAACCACTGGTGAGTCCTGATCTCAATGTCCTTGAAGAATGGGATGCAAACTGACAGTTCTCCAGGGATCACGTTCATGTGAGCTACAACTAGACGTTGTTGGCTGGATTCATTGGCGAACTAGCTATTGTTGGTGGAAGGCAAAGTATGAAACCAGCCAGGGTTGTGGTCAACGGGATAGTAGGGATAGTGTTTATCCTCTGTATTTACATGCTATCAGCAGTCAATGTTAATCCAGTGTTGTGATTGTGAGGAAAGTCCGAGTTTGCGACGCTTCTGGCACTCCAAACATAGTGATGCACAAAACAAAGAGAATGGGGGACTATCTGCGGGTCAGGTGCAGCATTTTGCCTTGTGAGTAATTTGAAGTATCACAATCGTGCGAGGCTCAGCACATTGAGGGTGAGCGGTTCTGTATAAATTTACATCGTTCTTATACTTTCACCATTTCTAATTTCGAGTGCCGAAATCCACGCGACTCAAGGCGCCCAAGATAGTGTTCCGTTGGAAGTTCGCCTGTTGGTTCCCCTGCATACTCGACAAACAACATGCTCTGATACGTCGGAGCATATCACTTTCTGGGAGTATACTCCACGCTCCTCTTCTTGAATCGTATGTTGACCGGAAACCTGCATAAAACCTCGAGCCAAGGAGAGGGGTAACTACATGGGCTTTTCAGGGTCTTGGGAGCTTTTAAAGAGGCGGCAACCAACCCAGCCGTTCGTGTGGTGACAAATTCGATCCAACACATTTTCTCAAGCTCCTGAACACAATTGATTTGGCGATACCACGGAAGGCGGAAACATGTCGGAGATCAACGAAAGTGAAACTGCGGATGGGGCGGGAAATGTCCCGAATGCTTCTACCGCGGACACAAACGCTGCAGACAACAATCCGGCCGTACTTGTTGCCCAAGACGTAAGTTGGGAATCTGAAATGTTTTGACTGGGGCTGCATACAATTTAACCTCTTTCGTAGGTGTCAGATGACGAGTCGGCTCGAGGAGAGGTCAGTGCAATCTCATTTTCAAATTCTGCATCTGGCCTCTGCTACAAACGATCTGCTAATCTGACTCGATTAAATCTAGAGTGTTGCTTCCTCGAGCACAAGCGTAACAGACTCTGTTCTTGGGTATCGTATAGAGAATGGCAGAACTTATCACAAGTACAAAGATGGCAGTAAGTCGGGCCAAATCTGGGGTCGAAGGAGGTGCTGCCAAGGTCAAAGTGTCTAACGACTTTTAGAATACTATCTTCCAAACGACGAAAGGGAGAACGAACGGCTTGGTTAGTATCCCAAAAGAACAACAAATGCGTGGGCAGTTCCAGCTAATTCTTGAGAAGACATTCAGCACAACATGTGGCTCCTCACCTTCGACAACCGTCTGGGAACTGCACCCCCGAACGACCCAGAATCCAAAGTCGGCAGAGTTCTTGATGTCGGCACAGGTACCGGCATTTGGGCCATGGAATTTGGGGAGGAACATCCGGATGCTGAGGTTACTAAATGTCTCAAGCAGCGTTGGGTATCTTACTAACATTTCGTTCACGACAGGTTTTGGGCGTTGACCTATCAGCAATCCAACCGGAGTTGTATGAGCGTTTACTATCCGCGGAAGCCATTTGTTGTGTTTCATGCTCACTAACTCTATTGCAGCACATACACCAACGTCAAGTTCGAGATTGACGATATCGAGGAACCTTGGACTTATTCTCGGCCCTTTGACTATATCCACAGTCGTGCCATGACGTCCAGTGTGGCGGATTGGAAGGAATACATCAAGAAATGCTACGAGTTTGTTGCCGAACTTCTCTTCTTCTGATTTTGAACTTTTCCCTAACCTCCGACAACAGTAACCTGAACCCGAACGGTTACCTCGAATTGAACGAAATTGACCTGTGGCCGAAGTCCGATGACGGAACTTTGAAGGATGATTCTGCTCTCATAAAGTTCATCCGTCTGTGGGGAGAGGCTGCAGCCATGTTTGGAAGACCCTTCCAGGATATCAGAGTTCTGAAGGATGTCATGATTGAGACAGGCTTCAAAGATGTCTACGCTCAGATGTTCAAGTGGCCTTCAAATGCGTGGGCCAAGGACCGGAAGCACAAAGAACTTGGCTTCTGGAACCACGATAACTTCTCAGCTGGACTCGAGAGCTTCATGATGGCACCGCTCACAAGGGCTCACAATTGGACCAAAGAAGAGGTGACCGTTTTTGGAGTCCAGGTTCGCAATGACATGAGAGACAGGAACATACACGCCTATACTACCGTGTAAGTGTCTTCTCTATACGCATAATGCTACTTTTATTGACCTCGCGTAGATGGTCAATCTACGGGCGAAAGCCAGGCGACAATGAGGCCTAGAAGTAGGCTCGAAAAGCGCAACATAAATATCTAAGGAGGACTTCATTATGGTCATCTGTTTTCGCTCTCATATTTGGACTCGCTGCAGCAATTGGATCATAGTGGCAGTATATGTACATAAATACACACTCGCTTGGCCTAATAATAGCCCTCAAAGGTATCCTCATGATCCTTTGCTACTTTTGCAACGGCTTGCTTGATTGGCAGGCTTCCATCACCGGGCCCCAAGATATCGAATGCGAGTCCGTGAGTCTTGTTGTTCTGGATGGACGCGTAGATCACCTTTGCAACGTCTTCGCGTGGAATGATGCCAACTGTTCCCACCTTTCCGGCTCGGATGACGCCCTCGCTGGGACCTTCTCCAAGACCACCCGGCCTCACGATCGTGTAGTCGAGTCCGCGAGCCGCATTTCCGACCCTCAACTCCGTGTCGGCCGCGAGCTTAGCTCGGAGAATGGGACCAATGATGCCCCACATACGGCCACTGAGCTTCTCATCAACTTCCGTGTACCAATCCGGGACGGGCTTGTTCTCGCGGTCGCGGACGTCGAGGGCGCTGACAACAATGTATCGCTTGGTTGTGACATTGGCTTTGGCTAGGGCATCCATGGCGCGGATGGCGCCGTCGCGGTCAACGGCCTCGGCGGACTTAGGATCCTTGCCGCCGGCTGCCCACACCACCACGTCGGGCCGGGTGCCCTCGATGATTTTGATGAAGTCCGCCTCGGAGCCGGTTGCGATGTCCTGAACGATTGGTTTCGCGCCGATGGCTTTGAGATCCGGGATCTGGTCCGGGTTTCGGATGACACTGAAAACGGTGTGCGGGGTGGGGGCGCCCAGAAGGATCTTGGTCAGCTGGCGGGCAGTCTTGCCATTGCCGCCAAAGATGAGAGCCGTTGGCATGTGGAGGATGGATGCGTCGCCCATGGTTGACTATGTTTTGTACGTTTACTGAGCTCGCAAGGTGACCTATTACACTACACGAAGCAATACACTCGGAGAGGCTTGACTATTGTCACGCGTACATTAACTTCGATGACGGCATTATCCTTACAGGGTCCGTGGAACGGAAGAAACCCCGCGCCGGACAAGACTCTCGGACAGCTGTTTTTTCCGTCTCCTATTCGCATTTGTCACAGGAGAATTCTTCTCCACTTTTGACACTTTTTGTTCAGATTGCTCGGCCTTCATTGTCAACAAGAAATAGATGTGGCTATGGTGAAGTTTATGCACACAGATGTCGCCGGAGCTCACCATGTCGGTCCCTCTGACAGCAAATACAATATGTCATGGTAACTCGGATGACGGCACGAAAGCCATGAATGTCGAAATCCGCCATCGGCTCCGAATGTTGGGCTCTCGCCTTACCTGCAATGTCTCCGATGTCACCTTCCTATCAATAACAGCACCCCTGATTGGTGCTGTTCCAATTGGCCGATGTCCTGCCAGCTAAGCTCTCGGTCTAACTCTGCACACGAACACAATAATGTTTCATGCTACGGAATTCGAGAGACCCTCGGATTTCGGTATTGCCGCTGGAAAAGTAATCGAATATCCATGTTTTACCCCAAATCCCATAAAAAGTCGGAGACTTGATCATAGGCGCATCTGACCACCAAGCCACCAGCCCCCTATGCGTTATTGCAACCGGCCGCCCACTGCACCGTTGCGCTGATCGCCCGTATTCAGGGCTGCGTGATGGGTAATTCCAGCTGCCTTATTGGGCAGGAGGCGCTGCTCCACGCTTCGTTGGGGTTAGACTGGGGAGGCCTGGTCCCGGGAAATGAGCTAGACAAGCACTTAAGAAGAAGCATATCTAGGCGATCCACGACGGCCTGAACCGATTGGAAAACAGCCTTCCTATTCGGCCACTACGGGTGACATTTATAGCATGTCTCCAGAAGAATACGAGATCGCTCGCTTTCGACCCGTCGTTCATGGCCCCATGCCTGCAGGGACCAAGGGTCGCCCCGTCCAACGTTGCATTGCCGGATTCCTCCAGAAGGGCGATAAAGTAGACTCTTCCCAGCGAAAGATGAGAGTGGAAGGTTGAATCACGCACCCGTCAGTCACTCGTTCAAGCCTTCGATCATGAAGCAGAGCCTCCTCGCCACCGTCGCTCTGGCGACACTCGCATCCACGGAGTACATCTGGCCGTCGATTTACGATGAGATCGAGGACCACCTCTCCCTGCAGTCCGGATACCTGCGCAGGGGCTTCATTGATGGTTGGGCTTACTTCCTTGAATTAACACAAACTCACATGTACTGACATTGGCAAGGCGTTCTCACATGCGGTTTTGGTACAAACATCCAAGGCCGTCAAAACTCGGCTGAATGGATTCGGAGCGCCTTCCACGATATGGCGACCCATGATGCTGAAGCTGGAACAGGAGGTCTTGACGCATCCATCTTCTTCGAGCTAGAGCGGGCGGAAAACATCGGCAAGGCTTTCAACAATACGTTTGGCTTCTTCAGCAGCTTCTACTCTGCGCGCGCGTCAGCCTCTGACTTGTTGGCGATGAGTGTGCTTGTAGCCAGCTACTCCTGCGGCGGCATCAAGATCCCATTCCGTGCCGGCCGTGTTGACGCCCAAGAAGCAGGACCGGCAGGCGTTCCAGAGCCGCAGACCGACTTGGAAGCCACTCAGGCGGCTTTCACCAAGGCTGGGTTCTCAACGCAGGACATGATTGCCATGGTGGCCTGCGGTCATAGCCTCGGAGGAGTACACAGCACCGATTTTCCTGAGATCGTCGGCGTTGAAGCGGATCCCAACAACGACACCGTCGCTCATTTTGATGTCAAGTTTGACAACTTCGACAATGGCGTGGTCACGGAGTACTTGGATGGGTCGACGAAGAATCCTTTGGTTGCGGGAACCAACGACACCCTCAACTCCGACAAGCGCATCTTCGGCGCTGATGGTAACAAGACGATGCAAGCGATGGCCGACCCGAACACGTTCCAGACAATGTGTGCCGATATCTTCACTCGTATGATCGACACGGTCCCCGCGAGTGTCAAGCTCAGCGACCCTATTGTCGCGACGGACATCAAACCCTACATTAACGGCTTGTATCTGAAGGACGACGGGAACATCTCGTTCGCTGGCCGCATCCGTATTCGCACTTCAGCCGAGACTGGACGAGACCCGACAGATCTTTCCGTGCAGTTGACCTATGCCGACCGCAACGGTAATGGATCAGAGGTGATCACCACAAGAAAAGCGACCTTCCAAGGCGGATCTGCTTCCGGACTTTGGCGCGAGTCCTTTGCCTGGTGGGAGTTTGACACCACTATTAGCCCTGAAACGGGTATCAGCAAGTTTTACATTCACGTAACCAAAACTTCCACGAACGAGACGATCACATACGACAATGCTGGAAATGCATACCCCATGGATGATGCCCTCCTGTACCAGGAAAGCCAGTCTTGTCTCGATACCAATATTGTTAACGGGCAGATGGCTCTCACTGTCAAGGCCTTTGTGCGCAAGGACCGTCTACCCGCTGCAGCAAGCGACCTGACCCTGGACCTCGTCAACGAATTCCGCCGACAAGGTGTTATCGTACCAAGACTGGAGACGGAGAAGATTCCTTTCAAGGCCGCAGGGGAGGAGAAGGAGCAGTGGGTCGCTTACAAGGCCTCTGGTAAAGTCAATGCAGATGGCTGGAACACCAGCTTTGATATCAAGCTGGGTGGAGACAAGGCGGTAGAAGTCGCATTCAAGAAGACCGGTGGCTTGGGATCAAATGTCTGCTCTTAGATGTCTATCTAACCATAGTAATTATAATATGATCGTTTATTCTATGCTTAATGCACCTTGTGTCTCAACGCCTCTATAAAAGAAGATCTTGTGTGGTTGCACTTGTTCAGAGGGTGTACAGGTTCGGAGATGTGCCCAAGCCGGCAAATCTTTCTAGAAGCTTTTTGTTGTCCCGTCTCAGAGTCCACTTCATCAGCATGCAGCCCAGTACGCTTGCGAGTGAGAACGCGACCATGAGTATCATAGCCTTGACATAACGTGGAGCATCCCCGGGCGAAAAGAAGTATGGGCTCCAAATATTGCCAAATTGACCAAAGATGTTGATGATCGCGGTCGCGCAAGCTCTCTTCTCAGGTGTCTGACTCACGGAGGACGCTGCCCAACCGAAGAGGATCGCGTTTCCTGAGAAGGCTCCTGATATGTAAAGGAATGATGCAAAGTATCGGGCCGGAACGTTCAAAGTAGCAGCAGAGATGATGAAACCGACCGCAGACATCATCATCGGAAGGCTGATGTGCCAACCGCGCTCGTTCCGAATGTCGCTCGAGTACGCTACAAGCAAAGAGAATATAGCACCGACTAAATACGGCGGAGCTGTGCAAAGAAGGGTGACTGTCCTGCTTCCGAGATTGAAGCCCTTGACGATGGTCGGGTAGAAGTTGTTGAATCCATACGCAGTGTGGTTGCAGCAGAGAATGAATGCCTAAGTAGAAGGAGGATGTCAGCAAGTCGCAATCCGACAGTGATGATAAGAAACAAAGGTCGTTGTAAATGACTTACAAATACCCAAACTCGGTAGTCCTTGACTGCAGTTTGGAGCCCGTACCAAAGCGAATTATTTGACTCTTGGTTTGAAACTTGATCCCTCGCCATTCTCTCAATCGCCACTTGTCGTTCTTCCTTCGTCAAAAGCCACGTTGCCGAGCCAGATTCCGACGCTGGGAAGTCTGGCAGAAGGAACATTGCCATAACTCCGAAACCGAAGCTTGCGACCCCTTCAATGATGAAAAGCCACCGCCAACCACTCACCCCATGGACCCCAGTCAGGCCTGAGTAGATACCAGCTGCGAGCAATCCTGAGAAGCTTGTAGCCAAGCTGATACCTGAATACAGGATCGCTGTGCGGAGAGCTAGTTCTTTCCTGGTGTACCAGCACGAGAGTAGGAAAAACGCACCAGGCCCAAAGGGTGCCTCGCTCACTCCGAGAAAGAACCGTACGGCGATCAGCCCGGAATAGCTATGAGTTGCGGCGGTTGAGGCTGATATGCAAGACCATGCGCACACCCAGAATGGGATATAGAGTGATGGTCGCACTCGGGTAAGGAGCATGTTGCTCGGCAGCTGCATGAGCATGTATCTAAATGACAGGTTAGTCACATTCTATGATGGGTGATTTTCATAGCTGTAACAAATATCTCGGCATTGAGCTGATAGATTAGCAAGACAGAAGGGCATGTTCTATCTTACCCGACGTTGAGAATGGAAACTGCTGTATTAAAGTTCTCGCCTTTGAGTCCTAAATCAGGCTCAAAAGTGTCAAGCTTTGCTTGGCTGCATTCGAGTCAGTGCTTGGTCACCCGATACAAGCGGTCTTCATGGGTAGCCTACGCGATGTTGTTTCTATCAAGATAGTTGAATAAATATAAGACCCAAATGATGGGCATGAGAGTGAGGTCGAGCTTGCGACGAAGGCGTTTCTCTACGGCCAACCAGGCGTCGTCAGTGACTGGGATCGCCATCTCGTGCTCGTCTGCCTTGGCAGTTTCCGCATCTGTAGTCGCAGACGCTTCGGCGTGGCCATGTTGTAGGACTCTACTCTCGTCGACGTCTTTCGCCATCTTGGCAATGAGAGGGGTAGTCTCCCCCGGCGTTAGGTGAAGTTGGGGTTGCCGGGGCGCAGAGGAGTCGGAGTAGAGAGGACGCATGGTTTTAACGTGTTCTTCCGGTTGCTGAAAACTTTATGCGGAGGTTGGAAAATCCTTTGCTTGAGGTGTGTTAGGCGCCTCAGGCGGGGGTAATCCGGGGAGTGGTCGGCCGGGGAGTTTCTGGGGTGCAGCCGGTCGGAGTAAATGAGGGGTCTATTGGAGGAGACCCCTCTTCTAGTCTCGGTAGGGCCAGTCCGGTATCGCAATCGGGATCGCTTCCAACATGTGGAGATTTTGCTGGCCCGTGGTATTTTGGAGAACTTAATGTACTTTCTTAAAGTTGGAGAGGACGGGATGGTCTTGTTGACATTTGATAAAATAACTTCTCATCGGGAAGAGCGACCACTGCGGCTCTGCCGTGCAATCGCGCAGCGTTAGGATCTACCATTCACGTGAAATTTGATGTGAATGGCGCAAAACCTACAGAATGACAGTCGCTTTGTGAGTGGGAGACTAACGGTCAGCAATTGCCGAATTAGCACGGCTATTAGTGGTAATGCCGTCGTACCGTCGATGCGACATCGGCTCATTCTTGCTATGCTGTCTCGTCATCTGTGACGAATAGTCAAAGTCAATTTACGAGCACGGATGTGTGGTATTATTCACAGATTGGACTGGACGGTGAAAATTTGAGTTTTGATAAATCATTCAAAAAAAAAAAATATTGACACTCGATTTTGAAAAACATTTAAAAGATAGTACAGCACTTCCCCTGATCGGGAGGTTAACGCGGTCTGATACACCATACACCACATCACATTGTAGACCCAGGCTCTATGAAAGATCTGGGTTCTCTCCCCCAAGCCACCTGTAAATCACCTTAGAATCTTTACCCTGAAATTCCTCATAACCGGCAGCGGCTCTGTAAGCCTCGAGCATGGGCTTGCCCAGCACCGTTTTGGCTCCAACGTCTTCAGCGGTCTTGAAACCTAGTTCTAGCACTCCAAGACACAACTCAATTGAGAAGCCTCCCACATAACCGTGGCTAGCGGCGTTTGCTGGAGTTATTCCTGGAACTGGATTATTTATCTTGGAGTTGAAGTTCATTCCCGAGCTCGCGTTGATCACACGGTCAAACTTGCGCGCGTCTAGGCCGCCTCGTAGGCCGATATTGTAGGTCTCTGCTGTGGCCATTGCAGTAAGAGCTGACAGGTAGTTGTTTAGAAGCTTGATTTGAAGTCCAGAGCCCAGTTCCCCGCAGTGGAAGATGCTGTCTTCACTTCCCATGAGTTTGCAAATTTCGAAGACTCGAGGATAGAGTTCGTCGCTGCAGCCCACCATGAAGGACAGGGATCCTCTCTCAGCACCCATTGCACCACCCTGAATGTTTGTAGAAGATTAGAGGTATTGTAAAACTGGGATAAGACAAAAAGACAACATACCGAGCATGGGGCGTCGACGAACTTCCCCCACTCTCCGATATTGATTGCGTTTGCTACTTCCCTTGACGCCTTCGGGTCAATGGTGCTCAGCTCCAAGAACAACATCTCATGGCTCGGTCTTTTTCTGGCAGAAAGAAGACCATGATCAGGGTGAAGGAATACGTCTTTGACGTGTGAAGCTTGAGGAACTGAGGTCATGATTACGTCCTGCCTGGTGGTCAGTTGCTGTCGATGTCAAGAATCTGAAACCAGATCTTCGGAGGTCCTCACAGCAATTTCAGCGACTTCTCTAGGAGAAGAGACAGCTTTGACCCCGACACCATTGTGTTCTTGGACAAAGCTGTTAACAGCTTGCTTGTTGACGTCGAAAACAACGAGTTGATTGGTTGGGGGTACTTTAACCCTGATGTTCTTGGCCATTCCATGGCCCATTTGACCCAATCCTAACGAAGTAAGAATTCTGAATGCGAAGAAATGATCCTAAGTCAGGCGTATTACCAATGAAGCCGTATGTGGTGGGAGCTACGCTGGCCATGCCGTTGATTTGGAATGAATGACCTCCAAAATTGCGTAGTGTCCCTGACTAACTTTCTCGTAAATGTGTTGCCTCTTCCAGGTTTGGTGGTGACAGACCAATGTCGGTTCAAGTTGTAGACTCGGGTGGTCTGTGAACTACAATATGGATGGAATTGCCCTTCGAGATATGAGAATGCACAAGTTGCTGCATGCATGCGATTCATTGAATTAAATCAAAAGACATTGCTACCAGTCGGAACTCGTTTTCCTTCGTGTGAGCAGGTAACTGAAGAGACTGGACTTGCCGAAATGTGACTTCTTGATTTGATGGTTAGCTGGCCCAAACACGGCAAGGCCTAAGCTTTTTGTTAAAGGCTTACATTCAACATGAATAACGTCATCTGTTGGAGAGAGTTGGAGACTTGACGTGTCGGGGAAATATCGCCGTAGTTGCTGCATATGGAGGTGTTGGAGGTGGCACGGGGTTCGCAGGACCATTCCAAAGATCTCTCCAACGCCCAAAGCAGCCACCTCGGTCAGAGTATAGTTCCATTCCTTGTCTTTGGAAGTGGTAAGACTAGTATATGTAGTGACCTTTCCTTCCCAGATTTACAAACGCTGCTCAGCAGTCAGCACCCCCATGTGAACGACACAAACATCGTTTCTCACAAAAACAAAAATCATTATTACACTTCCCAGTTCCATTTCATCATCATGTCGTCCACTTCAAATCGCGCCGACGCTCAGAAAGCCCTCTATGAGGTAGGCATGCCCATCCGGCGAAGCGTTCTCAGCGACACATACGTCGACAACGCTCTCAAGAACGGAAGCACCGAGTTTGCCAAGGCCATGCAAGAGTTCACTACTGCGTTCTGTTGGGGAGCTGTGTGGGACCGTCCAGGTCTGGACCGCAAGCAAAGATCATTGATCAATCTCTCTATGCTTGCTGCCACTGGAAAGGTCCATGAGCTTGCTGTCCACACCCGTGGCGCCGTCAACAACGGCGTGTCCGCCACCGAAATTCGGGAGGTTCTGGTACAAGTCTGTATTTACATGGGTGTTCCTGCCGGTATGGAAGCGTTCAAGGCGTCGGAGAAGGTTCTGATTGACATGGAGAATGAGGGTATTCAGATCAAGCAGTAGAGGGGTGATACTACGAAGACATTGCTTCAAATTGATTCACATAGTAAAGCATAGCTCGTGGTCTATGTCATCCGATTAATAAATATTGCCCTGCATCGCTTTCTTTCACATCAGAGTTGTATTTACGTCTTGAAATGTACAGTTGTTCATACCATTTACACATCGCATTCGTTAAATTCTTCGAGTGACGATCTTATAGAATCGGAATACAGGCTTGCTGACCAACCCCACTAGGCCGTTGCTTCTCAAATTCTAACCAACGTTTAGTCAGTAGGGGTATTGGAAAGCGTGTCTGCGTAAATCTCAAGAATTCGCGCCATTTTGGGCATTATTTGCCAAACTGTGGTGTTCTCTGTCTTAAATAACTCTGCCCATCTCTTCAAGACAAGAACGTCTAGATGCGTAGACGATTCTTCTGCCTGAGAACTTCCATTATTTGGATCGATAGTTTGTTCCAGCATTTGCTTTATCCTCCTTTCCTCATCAGAAAGATCCGATGATTGTTGATTAGCCTGTAACCACTTCGACAGCAACAAAGCGCATTCAAAGTAAGACAAGGCATGTTGGACGCTCCACACCCAGAAGCTAGTGCGCGCTATCATCTTGAAGCCCAGTTGTGTCGGAACTCTAAGAGCGAGGCAGGCTTGGATGGCTGCTCTTGTTGTGTCTGGACCCCGAATCGGGGATTCGATTGCTGTGATGGAATTCGCTATTTTGTCCTCGGAGCATGAAGCGGCAAAACTCCGTCGGATAGATGAATAATCAGAAACCAAACGGATATAGGCTACCCTGAGAAGGGCGGTGCAGTTGAATAGAATCGGGCCTTGGGGGTGGTCAGGAGACAGCGATGCTTCAGGCTCGCTCTCCCACATGAGCTGCCACCTCTGAAGAGCTCGTATGAAATAACGTCGGTTTTCAAGATAGATGACGTCCTGTGTGGGACATGATCGACGCAACAGAATGATCTTCTGTAGTAAGAACGAGATGAGGACATGGCAGCCAAACATGCCGATGTGAGACGGGACCGGTAGAGACTCGTCTACTAGTCTCTCGACAATGACTTGAGCTGACGGCCATGTCTTGTTTCCAGCACACCGCATAGCCTCAGCCCAATCAACCTCGGTTCTCGCGCACCACTGCTTCTCATGTGCAGGCATGCCATGCTGGGCTTCTAAAAGCAATGGTGATGGTATATCGTAGGCGATCGTCATCAGGTTCATGAGAGTAAAGATGCAGAAGGCCACCCTAGTCATTGTGAGTCCGAGAACCTCCTTCATATTCGGTGACTTATTTACCTCTTGAGAGACTCTCGCGCAAGCCAGGCTTCCCACGCGGTGGTCTCTGCGCCCTCGCCATATTCTAAGAGTGCCCATTCCTGACGTATAGCAAAAGCAAGACGCCCATGAAATTGCAACGCAGTTCTCAGGTCCTCTTTCGTGCCGCTCCACGCAGCAAATGCTGTGAGTAGCATCATCGTCTGCAGTGCGTGAATACCTTCATCTGCAAGACTGGTCATCTGGACAGCCATTTTGTACAGTCCAAAGGCAGTCGGTTGCTCGAGGCTGTACAATGCTCCGTTTGCGCAGACTGCAAGAACCAGCATGACTGGAGAACGGCTCGCCGACCACGTCGGCTCGTGAAGAAAAGGCTGATGACGATGAAAGCTCCCGAAGTAGCGGGCAATAAACCGGGAAAGTTCGTCTTTCGATGGCAAGACGTATTGCGGATCTGTCTTCCTGGTCTCCAATTGCATGCGTCTCCAACATGATTCCGTCACATGTAGATGGTCTTTTGGCATGGAACGGTTATTGATAGTGTCATGAAGAGTTGGCGAATCGGGTTGGGAGAGAATATGGTTTCTTGCTGCCTTGTCCCCAAAGTCGACGTGCGAGAAAGGGGTTGTTGTTTGCGCTGAGGATGTATCCGCTAGGGTTTCCAACGTGTCCAAGGCGCCAAAGGCAGTGGTATCAAGATTGTCGAGCCAAATACCGGTGTCTTGAAGTAGATAGTCCTGCATAGACTGTTCAACTTGCCCAAAGGTGAATTCAGGCACCGTCGCGACCTCTTGCAAAGCGTCCACGGTGAAATTCGCATTGAGAACGTCGTGGTTCGCTTCTTCGCCACCTGCCGTTAACGTGTCTCGAGTTTGCAATGCATTCCAACTGTGTTGGAGTTCTACATCCATGATCTCAACATTCTGTATTGATCCTTTTGGCGCCAGGCTCTGATTTCTTTTGGTAACTTTGCGTGGAGGCTGTCCGCGGCGATGGGCCTTGAGCTCATGCCTACGGAGCAGATCTCGTCTGGCAAAGGCATGCGGGCAAACAGTGCATTTATATGGCTTCTCTTTCGTGTCTTGTATGGGTTTTTCATATTAGTATCTGAGTCGCTGCCAAACATATAGTCATAGGGTTGCTCACGCGTGCGTTCATGCCTTACTAGATGCTCTGAGCGGTTGAACTCGCGAGAGCAGTGTACGCAGCGGTGAACTGCAGGGTTTTGAGTGGTCATTCTTGGGCTCTCAATTGCTTTCCTGTTGATAAGATAACATTAAGCGTTGTTTCCGTATGAAGTGAGGTCAGCATAGACGAAGGGTGTAAAGTGAAACGGAACGCTGAACAATCGGCAAGGAAAGGAAGATGAACAAGTTTCCCCGCAGCCCCCGCGTTTGCCCCGCTCCGCAGCATTAGGGCCTTCGGGAAAGGCTGAAGATCGCCGAAGTCAATGGTATTGCAACAGCAAGTCTCAATAACTATATCTTAGTGGGTGTGGTTGATTGCAAGTTTGCCAGGATTCTGCAGAGATCCCCATTTATAACGCATGCAAAACCCATTCAGGCAAGGCGATCACTCCGTTCAACCGGCAGATCAAGGCTTTAAATTAAGTACCAGATTTTGAGGAGGAGACACAGGTATGTATACCATATATGAACTAATTCTGCAGCGTCCTGATGTGAGATAAACATCGTGCTCCGTGCCGTCTCTTCGTTCAGGACTCTCAGCTTCATGACTTGTAATGAGAGAGTCTGAGAGTCCATTAAGTCAGCAACGCCTGGCGAGCGGTTCGGATTCGGGGTCTTACTCGATGAGATTTCCGTCCGGGTCCCGAACGTAGACACTCTGAATAGGGCCTTGTGCTCCAGTCCTGGCGACAACCTTTTCGCCTTCGAGCACCTGGATGCCATCTTCTTGGAAACCCTTAATAAGCTCATCGAGATTTGTGCCGTCTTGTACAAGGAAGCAGAGATCCGCTGTGCCGGGCAATGCCGTTTTCGCTTTGGGCTCGAACTCCTTGCCTTGCTGATGCAGATTTATCTTGTGTGGGCCAAACTTGAGTGCTGTCCTCTGAACCGAGGGATCTAAGGGTGAGGTGAATGTCTCGGCCTTCATTCCCAGGTACGTAGTGTACCAAGATACTGTTTTGGGAACGCTCGCGCAGGTGAGCACGAGATGGTCCAAGGTCTTGACAATGGCTCTAGCACCTGACATCTTGGCTCTTTGTAAATATCTGGGCTAACCTTAGGGTGTGCTGTCGTAGATGGCCGAAGTTCTTGGCGAGTGTAGAATTGCAGGATGATTGCTATGCAGCCCTTGGAGTTTGTTGTGTGGTCAAGTTGGGACGGGGGAGTGGAAGTAAACAATGGGATGAATTGGAGCGAAGCAAATACGTCATTGCCGCTAAAGCTGACTCACCTGTCTAGTAGTTTGGTGACAGCTGCCGAACTCCCGAGATCTTCGGCTTCCACAGCCGGCGCCGAAGTCGAACTCGCCGGAACTCCACATCCGACGCCCCGCACATATTCAAGTCCGCATGAAGACCTTCGCGAGAATACTTTGCCGCGAATCAAACAAGTTGGAGAAGCTCGAATTGCAACACTTCTCCAAACCCTCAACCAACATTGTCCATTCAGTCGTTGGAGGTTGTGGACCTCCTACGCCTGTGCTGGTGCTTGTTGGAGACTCGACCAATGAAATTGCCCGCATGTCGAGGCATCTCCATCTCTCCAACTCTCTCCAACACCCTCCACAAATCTCCAACAAGCGAATCCGCGGCTTGACTGTGCTGTGCCTTGATGCTCTGGGTATGATGAGCAACCATTACCACTGAGGTCGTGTTCAGGTGAACTTGTAAGGAATCCAAAATCTGTGTCGTGTTACTATCTTCTCCCTCCATGCAAAATGGCCGAAAACAATGGTTCGACGTCATTTGTGAAGCTTTCGTTGCTTCCCAGTGGATTCCTAACTCTTCCGGAGCATTTCTTCTGCGCAGACCAACGTGACCAAACGGCCAGAAATCTTGTCCCGTCCATGTCGTTTCTGCTCCAGCATCCCGTGACTGGAACCCGTATCGTGTTCGATCTGGGCATGCGAAAGAATCTGAAGGACTACCCTCCCGACATTCAACCGCATCTCAAAACCAGGCAACCCATCCATACGGAACCCGATGTTTCTGATTCGCTGCGCAAGGGTGCTTTAGGACCCGACGATATCGACGCGGTTATTCTGAGCCATGTCCACTATGACCATGTGGGAAACCCTAAGGACTTTGCTCGGGCGAAGTTCATCGTCGGCCACGGGACTCGCCACCTTTTAGAACACGGTATGAAGTACCACTCGGCGGCGAAATTTGAGAAAGCTCTGCTCCCAGGCGAACGAACCATTGAACTGGGAACTCAAAAGAACAAAATGAACCCTCTGCCCAGCTATGATACAGAGCTTGCGCTTTCAAACACCCTACCAACACAAGGGCTTGACGCCATAGTCCCGAATGTCGACCATGAGTGGCGGCCAGTCGGCCCCTTTCCCGACGCGGTAGACTTGTTTGGAGACCGGCTTGTCTACATTGTCGACAGCCCTGGACACCTCATGGGACACTTGAACGTTCTGACGCGAGTGGCAGAGAAGGGATGGGTGTACCTTGCCGGCGACGCTTGTCACCACGCCCGGATACTCGATGGGCTGACGGACATGGCTTCATGGTCCGAGAATGGGATGACTGTCTGCATCCATGCCGACAAGGAAGTGGCAACGGACACTTTACGCAGGATTCGAGAACTGAAGACGCATGGATTTGAGGGGAGTGTGGTAGAGGTTGTTCTCGCGCATGATGCGAAGTGGTTCTGGGAGCATCAAGATGCGATTTGGCCGCGAACTCTCACAGTCACATAATAGACTCCCTTGGTCTTTGCAGTGATTTGTAGTCTCGCAGGTGATGGGCCTTCAAAGTCGTCATCTTCGGCGTTGACACAAATGAATGTCCCAACGATATCGAGCAAATTCGCCCAGTCTTTTGGCTGGCATATTATGGTCGGAATGAATTCGCACCCAGTCAGCCATCTCTTTAGTTGAAGCATGAACAAGTTCATGAACAGATGGGGTTGTTTCCTCGGTCCGCTCTCTATTGTTCATCAACCTGGCTTTCCTCTCTAGCTGCCGGCGGTGGCGACTGCAGCAGTGTATTGTTCTCATAGCCTCATGTGGACAGGGTGGTTGATGGTAGGCCATGGGTGCTGAACGCTTATCTGGAATACCTTCGGGTTGCTCTTTTCGTGATGTCGAAGGAAGAATTCTGACTCGTCGTCGACGTTGGGTGTAGGTCAGGACAGTCGCTAGCGTAATCAGAGACTCATTTCTCAAGACATTCCGGAAGTAAAAGGCGGTCCGTATCAGGTATACGGCAGGGCGCGACGAGGCTGCAAGGCGCGTTCGACATCCGAAAAGGCAATCTTCCCCGAGCGTTCCGGAGACATTTGATGGGTATCGTTGATTCGTTTGGCGCGGGTGTTAGTCGCAGGAACATGACATGTCGGGTCGTGGCAGGGCGTGGAGGACGTGGAGGACGTGGAGTTGCAATGGACTCTTGCACCGGGGTTCGTCCCGTCGTTATCAGGTCCATGACGTTAGGCTGCGACGGAAAAGCAGAGCAGCTGAGTCAAGCCACGTAAATGTTTCGTATCTCTCTCGCGGGGGCACCAAGAAGTAGGTCGTCTGAGCCGCGATGGCGGTATTAGGCAGACAGGCGGCAGATATCACGTCAAAGTCGGGATCGGGATCGGTATGGGGCTCCGACGAACGCTAGTGTGTCGTCGGTCGACCATTCCGTCTCCCTGTCACTCGTGGCGTTGGACGGACGCGGAGGAGGACCGGGGAGTTTGGGGTTCTGTACCGGGCCGTGTCAAGGGTGCTGCACTAAGGCAGGCAGAGGCTAGAGCAAAGCATGCGTGGGGATTGATTATCAAGATGCCGATGGACGGTATGGATGCGAATTGTGCATGTCTGTGTTGATAAGCTCTTAGGGGCCCTGGTCTAGCATTGACTTTGCACGCGACAAAATGATTCTTCTCACGGAAACTTGAGTTTGTATCGTTCGCAGGCGTGGGACTACAGCTCATTTGTGAAAAGTGGACGGCAAATTGCGTGCTAATCATGCGATTCTTATCGAGAGCGCGGCTCAAGACTTGTACCCAGCGAACAGGGCGCGACGCGATTCACGTGGAGTAGACATTCAGTTGACAGTCAGTCAGTCGGTTTATCCTTCGGCGATTGCAGTTGTCGGACTTCGGGCGCAACGGTGAAAGCTGGAGATGGGCCAATGAGAAGATGGATCGGTTTCCCCAGGGCCGAGAGGCAATTGGGTTTGAAGAATGAGCGATTTGATGAAAAAAACGTGGTGCAATTAACAGGGACTCTGGAGAAGGTGGTCAGAAATGTCAAAGTTTTACGTGATGCTTCTCCAAAGACGCGGCAGTGAGCGGGTACCATCGGTGTTTCCTCCGTCTGGGACCCACCCTTTCAGGGATCAGTAAAGCACGTGATATGGGGTTCACTGTGTTTGAGGTGAGGGGTAGTCTTATGTAAGCCATGCAGAGATTGTGGATAAGGCCAGCCTAGCGTCCTTGGGCGTTCTTGGTTCCCGTCTTTGCCTGCGTTTTTGGTGCAGGTACGACAGCAGAAAAAAAAAAAAAAAAAAAAAGGGCAAAAAAGAAAAGGAATCGGATGCCGGATCGGGTGACCTTCTTGACGCTAAGCAAAACTCTCCGTTTCCTCGCCTCACCCATGCCATACCAGGGCACTCGGTCAGTTACTTTTACGGTCTGTCTCTTCGTCGGTCAGCAGCATCAGCAATGAAATGTTTCTTATCGCACGTTTTCCCGAGCGTGCGACCGAGGTGGATATGTCCGTGGAGCTTGGCACCAGCACGAGTGGGCATTCTGGCCCGCCAAGTAGATAAGCCTTCCGTCCGAGTGCGTTACCCCATGGGTTCACTGAAAACGTTACGACACAGAAACAACTGATGGCTGCCACCGTTGCCGTTTTGGGCTTAGTGTTTCCCCGTCGTGAAGCTTGCCCGCGTCCACCCACCCAGTCAGTGCCGAGCATCTTCCATCCACTTTTACGCAGTACCTAAGTTTTCGACAAGCAGCCAAGCACTTGCAGAGCCTTCAAGGGTCGCACTCTCGACTCCAGATTCTCTACGTCACCCAGCAACACCCTTCTGGCTTGAATATCCTACTACCTTACCTGCTGGAGTGCTCCTCAGGCGCGACACAGCTGCCAGGCAATCCCACGGGAGCGGGTTCCGTTCCTTGGGTCAGTCCCGGTACAAAGGTCCTCATGTCTCACGACATCCACCCCGAAGCCAACATGCACTCGACCTCTTGGCCAAGTCGCTGCCCCCAGACTGAGACTCCATAATACTGCAGCCCAATCCCCCTCTAGTCCTTTGACTAAAATAATTAGTCCTCTCTCTTCTGTTCGCGCTGCTCTCCGCGTTGTAGAATCGTTCCGTGGTTGCGCCGGGGACGCCCACCGACACCATTTGCGACCAATTTTTTTCAAATAAGACAGTCCCCGTCCCTCGTCCTCTCCTTCACTCCATCACCACCACTCCGAATCTTCTCTTCTTGTTCTCGCCTGGCTGAGCAACAATGGAGAAAGACTACAGAGGCGGCGGTCCCATGGACGACGTCGAGTCCAAGCACCAGGGCGAGTCCTACCCCCGCGACGTCAACTTCGCGGCTCTCGGCGGCGAGCCCAACCTGCTCGAGGACAATGACCAGCTTCAGCGTGGCTTGAAGAGTCGACACATTCAGTTCCTGGCTCTGGGTGGCGCGTGAGTCTTCCTCTCATTCCCTTTCCACCAATTGCGCCTAGAAACGCAAGCTGACCTCACTCCAAAGCATCGGAACCGGTCTCTTCGTCGGCTCTGGCAGCATTCTCTCCGCCGTCGGCCCTGCGCCGCTCTTCATGGGATACCTCTCCATGATGTTGCTCGTGTGGAACATCATGAACAACCTCGGCGAGATGGCCACCTTCCTGCCCCTCAAGGGCATTTCGATCCCCTACTTTGTCGAACGCTTCGTCGAGCCTAGTCTGGCTTTCGCCGCCGGTTGGAACTACTGGTACGCATACGCCATGCTCGTCGGCGCCGAGGCCTCGGCCGGCGCCATCCTCCTCGATTACTGGCAAACACCCGTCCACCCCGCCGTCTGGATCACCATCATCCTCGTCGTCACCCTCGCCCTCAACATTTTCGCTGTCGAGATCTTCGGCGAGGCTGAGTTCTGGTTCGCCAGTATCAAGCTCATCACCATTCTGGGTCTGATCCTTGTCAGCCTGGTCATCATCCTCGGCGGCGCCCCCGACGAGGGCCGCATTGGCTTCTTGTACTGGTACGACCCTGGCGCAATTACACCATACCTAGTGGACGGGAATACAGGCAAATTCCTGGCCTACTGGACCGCCTTCGTCCGCGCTGGATTTGCCTTCATCACCTCTCCCGAGCTGATCGCTCTCGCCGCCGGTGAGACCGTTGCTCCCCGTCGCAACATCCCCAAGGCCGCCCGCCGCTTCGTCTGGCGTCTGGCTATCTTCTACGGCCTCGGCTCCCTCATGATCGGCGCCATCACCCCCTCCAACGACGAGCGCCTCCTCAGCCCGACCTCTAACGCCGCCGCCTCCCCCTGGGTCATTGGCATCCAGCGCGCCGGCATTGGCGGTCTCAACCACGTCATCAACGCTGCCATTCTCACCTCCGCCTGGTCCGCCGGCAACGCCTTCCTCTACTCCGGCAGCCGTATCCTCTACAGTCTCGCGCTCAACAAGCAAGCCCCGCGCTTCTTCACCAGGACCACCAAGCGCGGTGTTCCCTACACCGCCGTCCTCGGCACCTGGTCCATCGGCCTGCTCTCCTTCCTCACCGTCAGCAGCGGCACCTCGACCGTCTTCACCTGGTTCATGAACATCAGCACCATCAGCGGCTTCATCGCCTGGATCGTCGTCATGATCACCTACCTGCGCTTCCGCAAGGCCATGATCTTCCATAACATGATGCACCGCCTCCCCTTCAAGACCCCGCTGCAGCCCTACTTCACCTGGTTCATCCTCTTCATCCTCTGCATCCTCACCCTCACCAACGGCTTCCAGGTCTTCTTCCCCGGCCACTGGAGCGTCTCGGACTTCCTGGCGGCGTACATTACCCTGCCCATCTTCCTGGTGCTCTACGTCGGTCACAAGATCTGGTTCCGCACGCCGTTTGCGAAGCGTCCTGAGGACGTCGACGTCATTACAGGCGTGAAGGAGATGGAGGACATGGCGGAGCTCGACGAGGAGCCGATCCCGAAGAACATGTTGCAAAAGTTCTGGTTCTGGCTAGCATAGTGGTACCAAGAGTCTGCGGAGTACATATTTTTGGAAATTTGACATCTAATAGATAAATGTTTGAACGTATCTTGTCTTCGTTATGGTCTTCTTCGTAAAGTCTGTTCCCTCATTGCCGATGATCAGAACGGTGTCAAACGAGGGAATCTTCGTCGCCGGGTATGGAAATATGCATTTCGATACCTTCGTCCCAGGCGCGTGTCCGTCCCAATGACCGCCATTCTTTAATGAGCACAAGAACTACCCAGAGAAGCAGGAGTATGACTAACGGAGGGAGACATATTGCCCAGAAGCCAATTTCAGATTCCTTGCCTTGAAGCATTCGCGCTGCAAACCCGATGACGACCCATACAATACAACAGCAAAGCGTGAAGAATCTGAGACATATTGAGGCTTCCGTTATGCCTGGGTCAAAGACTGCAACGATTCGCATGCATTCCGGCAGGTGAAGCCGATCTTGAACAACACGGCCGTGACGACTGAATGCTACTGATTGCCCAAAGACGAATTTGTCGTACACGCCCGAAATGATTTCCCCCAACACCCGGGCACAACATTGGCCGCACAGATCTCCGCAATGGTCTATCATGGTGATGGAAGTAGACTATCGTGAGGAGATCGATGGTTAGTCGAATCTCGCACTCATAGACAATACGACGGGTCCTCAGAATCTTGGTCCTTGTCGGCTATTGTGTTAAGGTCACTTCATCTTCTTTCCAGTGTGTCTCGATTCGTTATGCAAGGAAGGACGACAGGGAAATGCTAACGCATGCGAAAATTGACGTTGAACGTCCTTGGCGTGGGTAGGTAGGCTCTGGTACGTCGTTCGGGTCCAGGTTGAACTTAAGGAGAAAAGCCATAACAGTGAAATAGTCAAGGAGACACGTATCATGAGTGGACTGTCAGCCACTTCCGTAGGTTCGGTAACTCTAACTTCTAAGGTGTTGGGGACAGCCAGCCATACATGTTCTCACTCACGTGTTCTGCGTTAACAACTGTGAATCAACTCTTGACCTTTACGGCCGCATTTGACTTGATATAATCCTTACTCAACGGCACCAGCGACAAAAAGCCTACGCTGCAGAAGTTTTGTTCCTGGCCCTCACGGGAAAGAGGTAGGCAAAAAGGATTTTCATTGTGGAATAGACTACTAGTATCTGATAAACCAAAAACACATGTCAAAATTCACTTTAACTGCCTCCGCCGCCAGTTCCAGCAGACAGAATGCCCTTCTGCACAGCTGCATCACACCATGTCAGTAGTCATATCTGCGTGGTCTGGCACTCGCGAGTCTTACCTGCTCTTCTAACCGTGGTCTCGATGATGCGCCCCTGCTCATCGATATGATACGTCTTGCCCTCAGTGCTAGGCAGCGCCTCGACCGCCTTCACGACGGGCGGCTTCAGCATGTTCTTGAGTTTGCTGAAGGCCGAGTTTGGGTCTGCGGGTGGTTTGGTGGCGGACTTGGGGATTTCCTTGACTACCCGCGTTGAGACGATGTGGTAGTTGTCGGTCGCGACAGGCTGGCGATCAGTGCCGCGGAGAGGAGCGGAGCCAGCGCCGGCGTCATCGGCGTCGCGGATAAGAGGGCGGATGGAAGCGGTGTCGGAGCCGACGATGGTGTCTTGGCTAAAGACGGAAGGGTCGTAATCCTTATTCTGAGTGCTGCTCATGGCCGTTTCTTGGCGTGCTAGTTCTTATGGAATGAGAGTATGGAGGACTTCTCTCTTCCATCGCCAAAAGTATCGCAAGAGTGGATCACTGTTTATAAGCTTCTACGGCGAGGCGATGCCTAGGTACATTGTTCGAAGAGGCGCATTATACCACCAATGATTCGATAGCCAAGTCTTACTAAATCCTGCGGATAAAGCGTGATGAACGTTGCTGCAGCTGGTCGGTTAAGCTCCTTACGCCCTGCCTACGTGACGGGCCGCCCCATTAGTCCCAGAAGGGATTGAAGAATGCTGACAAGTCACAAGCTTTGGTGGCTAGGCTTACTTGGCTTTCGTGTTCTTGGCTGATGATCTGGTCATGTGAGCCCTGGATTCTGCCTTGCCCAACTACGGACCACATGTTGTAAGTAAGGCTTTTGCGGCACAGCGGATCTGCTAGGTAGGTCAGTTGCCATTATTCTGGAAAGTAAGAGGGCAAAGAAATGAAAGTCATCAGCGATTCTAGGCGAGAAAAAGAGTCAATGCATCAATGTCTCCTGGGTTATGCTAATGAAGCCAGCGTTCAAAAAGACCACAAGTAGCTCGCCACATCCGGATTCTCCTGCAGGCTCTCAAAAATCCTACGACACTCAATCAAGCCAGGAAACTCCTCTATGTGCCTCCGAGCGTAGTCATCGTCCAATTGCGCCGAAAAGTCATCCAAGATTATGTCCACATATAGGGACCCAAGCCCGGCCCCCTGCGGGAGCATACTTTTATTCACATTCAAACGCGCGACCTTGGGAAGATCTTTCGCGAAGCGCTCCATGATGCGGACGCAGAGACGGAAAACGGCGAAGAAGTTGAGGCGCGCGACTGGTTTCTCACCCTTCACTTCTGGCAGAACTTTGTTCTTGACGCCCTCGATGATCATGTTCATAGGCTGCAAGCTGACCCATCTCTCAAGCCGTTTCGCCTCCTTCTCTGAAGCCTTCCTGTCTGGATCTCCAAAGATCTCGTTCCAGAAACTCCAACGCTTGGGTGTATAGTCCCACATGTGGGCGGTATGGAACAGAGAAATGGTCTCCGTATCCATGTGGCTTTTGCGATAGGCGTCTTTGGTGAACGGTTGCGCCAGTCCAGAGGCATACCAACCCACGAGGTCTTTGTTTTTCTGGATGCCACATCCTTGGGCTCTCCGGAAGTACGTGCTGAACTTCTTCTTCGGAAACGCGCCGAAGAACAGACGGTCTTTGAATATCTCGCAGAGAAAGTCCAGGATAGGGATCGACTTGATCGGTTTGTTGCCCACTTGGCGCAGGGCGTTATACATATGCAGCGTTGCGCAAACGTGACCGCTCACACTGCAGACATAGACACCATCGTGCATCGCAAGGGTGTGGAACTCGAGCATGTGGCATCCCGCGATCCAGGGAGCTTGATAGTACAAGTCGAAGCGCTTCTCACGGCAGAACATGTCCATCTTGGCGATCATTGAAATGAGACGGTCTTCGTGTTCTTGTCGGGTCCGGCTCTTTTCAGGACCAGCATCTTTCTGCAGGATATCGAGAGTTTGCGCCAAGTTCGACTTGACATCCTGTGCGAACTTCAAAGCAGCAATGCGACAGTTGGTGTTGTTCGTCATGACGTCTGGCCAGAGGAAAGACTTGAAGGTCGACAATACCATCTCGAGACCGAACACCAGCTTCGCGGACAGAGGTTTCTCGGGCTCATCGAGGGCTTCTTTCCAGAGCATAAGCAAAGGCTCGCATGCCCGGCCGGGCCCTCGGAATGATTCCACTCCGGCAATGCCGCGGCCGTTCTCAAGAAGCAAGCGCATGTTCTCCTGGAACATGTCAAATGCGAGGTCGTCATGGATGACATCCGCTTTCTCTTGAGCTTGCAACCAAGCCCATGGAGGTTGTATGATGGTCACCGGGTCCCTGCGGTCGGCAGCTTCACGGCGAGCGACCTTGTATTTGCCCTTGGTACGACGATACTGCAGCACTTCGCCCGGGTGGCAGAGACCGTTCAGGTTAGCGAAACGTCCACGGCCTTGGTCCAGCAGACCCTCGTCGTCGTCGAACATGAGATCGATGCCCTTGCTTTTGTGGTACATCCACTTTTCCACAAGCTCGGCGTAGGTCTTGACTATTTTGGGAATCTTGCGTTCGAAAATCTGCCCAGCCTGTTTGAAGGCCATGTTCGAGACCCAGGCAGCCATCAAGATGGGAATCTTGCCCTCTGCTGCTTCGACCCAGCAGTCGTTAACGACTTTGCAGATGGAGTCCCATTCCTGGTCTTTGTCAGCACAAATGGACTGCGTATTCGATACGTCTTGAAATTCTTACGTAGATGAAGTGCGTCAACTCAATCCACTCTCCTATGTCGTCATCCTTAAGGACAATACCATCATATCCCAGCAACTCTCGATGGCTGTCAGATTCATTCTCGGAGACTTCTTCGGCAGGTTCCTCAATTGTCGAGGGCTCTAAGGGACCGTCGCTACTGTTGCTCTCAGAGTCGCTTGACTCAACATCTTGAAGCAGATCAAGTCCCTCAAATCGGTTGATGGTTCGCATCATGCGGGCCTCATCTGGTGAAAGCACAGGGTTCGCCGCGTTTGCTGCCCTGAGCGGCATCAGGATCTCGAGAACATTGGACAGCCTGCGTTTGTCAGTGAGAGGAGCAAGATCACAAGCGCCCGATTTGCATCCAGGAGGGGAGAAACTCGGGAAAGATACCTACCGTTGGATGAATGCCGCATGTGTGCGGTCGCTGTCGGCATCATTTTGGCCGTTTGCAGATACCTCTAAGCCTCTGACAATCTCAAGGACCTTTTGCCGGGTTTTGATGGCATCTGCGAGTGATGCAAGTACAGACTTAGGAACTTCCTTCTTCAGGTCCCGAACTCTTTTGGCCGCGTTGATGATTTCCGCCGTGGTTTTTAATTTCTCTTCTGCCGGTACAGCCTCGCTCGGTCGGCAGTTCAATCGCATCCACCCAAGTACGTAGTTCGTAGAATCCTTGTACGAGTAGTACAAGTCTGCCAGAGACGGCGGGAGGGGCGCCATCGTGGCGGCAGGGGATACAGGCTGGATAGAGGACTGCGGTGAAACTGAAAGACGAGGACTGAGGGAGCACGAAAATGAAAAGGAAGAAGAATTCATGCCACTTTTCAAGAGCTCTCTGCCGTGCAACCCCCTTTCTTCTATGTGCCGATGTGGCAGGTACTGTTGTTTGTCAAATTGTCTGTAGGTAGCCGTTGCCAAGGTCTCAAAGCACCAACAATGAGGGGGTATTCCTGCAGGTTCTCGAAATGGGCGTCGCGTCAAGATGGGTCTTCTCTTTGCGTTTCCCTTTTTGAGTATCAAGTGTGATCAGGCTGCATAACAATCTATTTTTGTTGGGTGGTATGTTGTCTCTTTATTCCCGTTGATCCGCAAAGAATTGACTGAAGGTTGCAGCTCCAACCTTTTCTAGGACCTGCAGAAGAAAAGCCATGTCTTGACGCATACATGTGCGTTTACTCTAAAGCTTTTGAGCGAGTGGTCAATGGCTTTGCGAACGAGGTTGCAATTATTTGATTTGAGAGTGGGCTCGCTTACTCGATTGAAAGAGAACTTATAGCTGCATTGGCGATGTCACCTGAGGTGACCGTTGAGGTCCGAGCTAAACGCATCCAAGATCTCATTCATTTCACAGGTTTTGATTGTACTCATATTAATCCAAACCTTCGCTGAAAACGACCATTAATAGCCCAAAAAGGTCTAGGCAAGAAGCTCACGATTAGCTCATCTTGTGTCTTGAAAATGTATGCATCTGCAAGGACGGATTACACCAGGAGTTCAGGGGTGTTTGTTTCCCAATCAAGCGGTGTTTTATCTGATCGTATTCTAGAGCTCTTCTGAAAGCCAGCTACTCAATTCAATAATAGACCTCATCCGAAGGCTGGAAGTTTCCTTCTCTATTTGATAGTTTCAGTGGAAAGATTAGACGAGATGCTGTCAAATATCTCGATCTACTAGGAATGAAGTGAAAAATGTTTCCAAGATGGTCAGTTGCTTCTCAAAAACATAGGGAGACTCAAACAGATTTACGGAGATGGGCTTGCTTAACATGGGCGTCTCAGCTTCTATTAGAATAAGTCCAGGGCAATTGACCCCTTGCGCAGTTTGCAAACTTGACTCTTCCCATAGCTCATGTTCTAACCCAACTGTCTCCGTCTTTGTAGATTCTAGTGTACGGCATCAATGTTTGAAAGCCAGAGATTAATCAGAGCGAAGCCTATACTTATTCTAGTAGTTAGTCTCCCGGTAATTACTTTCATGCCAAATAAGCGCTCCAAGGGAGTTGGTTAGGTTAACTTCTAAGCACAAGTAACGATAAGATGAAATTGATTCGATGCATATATACATAAAATAAAAAGCCTTAATAGTCTCTCTAGGACGCAGTTCAGGCCGGAGTAGGCACACCCGATGAGATCGTCGTCGGAGTCGACCCCGAGAGGCCGATGCAATACCACGTATCAGCCCACAGGTTGGTGCAATCGGTGCCGACCTGCGGGTTCCATGTGTAAAAGTCGCTGAGGGCGATGCCCGCATATGAAGCGATATCATAGCAGTACAGGGCAGCTGCATCGCTGCTGCGGAAGTAGAACCTGACACATCCGTCTACCATACCCGGCATGAACGGCGACGGCGTTGTCACGGCAGTGCTGGTCGTCGTCGAGGCGCCAGCAGACGATGTCGTAGACGAAGATGCAGACGCTGACGCCGAGTTTGAGGCAACCGTCGTGCTGGGTACAATGGTTTGGCCGGCCGAGATAGTAACAGTGCTGATGGGGGCGATGGTCTCCCACTCACTGGTACTGACACAAACGTAGTAGTCTACCTTCAGGCCAGCACAATCAGACCCGACGGCCGGGTTCCACGCGTGAAAGATAGTGGCGTTGGCGACGCCGCTGTCCTCGATAATGGTATCACACGTGTCGGACGGCGACACAAGCCAAAATTGAGTACAGCCAGACACGACACCCGTCTGAGTCGGCATGCTCGCGGGCACAGTTGTCGTCACGGCGTTGGAGCGCGTCGTGGCCGTTCCTGGAACACCTACGCAGTAATACGTGTCCTGTTGGATGTTGGCGCATGATGACCCGACACTCGGGTTCCAGGAGATGAAGTCGGACTCGGAGAAGGTGCCGAACCATGCGGCGACGGCGGCGCAGTCGTCGTTGACCCGGGTGATATACCACTTCTCACAGGTGCTAATGGTTCCTGTTGCCGTGGGAGACGCTCCGCTCGTGACTGTGGGAGGCATAGGTACATCGCTTGCGGCCGCAAAGTTGGCAACGCAGTAGTAGTAGCCGGACCAGAGACCCAGGCAGTCACCGTTGAGGGCCGGGTTCCAGCTAAAGAATTGCTCCTCCGTGATGTAGTCGTATACATCGAGAACGGTCGTGCAAGTATCGTCTGCCTGGGCCTGGTAGTAGTTTTGGCAGCTGCTGGGGATGCCCGTCTGCTGCGGAGATGCGGTGTAGTTGGCAACAGCAGTGGCTACATAGCCAGGATAGGGTGTAGACGCCGGCGCGGTGAAGTTGGTCTGAGACGTGTACCACTCTATCCTCGAAGAGGTTTGGGACTGGATGCCGACGCAGATGTACCAGCCTGTATACAAGCCGCTGCAATCTTGTCCAATAGTAGGATTGTACTCGAGGCTTGGAAGCAAAGAGCATTAAGTCAGTCGCAGTTTGAGCCAGACGTCTAGAAGATTCAGACTTACAGTTGCTCGAGCGTCAGTCTGTTGCTGTAGTAGTTGACAACATCCTCACACGTCTGGCCTCCCGCTACCATGTGCCATGTATTGCAGTAACTCGGTTGACCAGACAGAGTCCGCTGTGGAGGCAGGGCCGTAGCTGTGTACGGCGCCGTGAGATTGAACGAAGTGACGGGATAGCGTGTCGAGTACGGAGTCGTTGTGGTGTTCACGCTCGTCCTTGTGCTGCTTGTAATAGCGGCAGTCGAAGTGACAGTTGCCGAGGAGGCACTGATGGTCGTGGAGCCTTGGTTTTCGTTGATGCCGACACAGTAGCTGTAGTCTGGCCAGAAGTTGGTGGCGCAGTCAGTCGATACAGCAGGATTCCACTCGAAGAACTGATCAGCCGTAACGCTGTACTCCTGCTCTATGTTGTAGCACGAGTCTCCTGATACGACGGTGTGCCAGGCATCACAGTTGCTTGCGATGCCTTCCATTGTCGGGCCCGGAGCTCCGACCCTGACGCAGTATGAGTAGTCGGGCCAGAAGTTGGTACCGCAGTCGCTAGACACGGCCGGGTTCCACGCAAGAAATTCGGCCTCTGTGATGCCGTACTGCTGCTCAATGGAATAGCATGTGTCGCCAGAGACGACGGTGTGCCAACCGCTGCAGTCCCAGGCTATTCCGTCCATTGTGGCGCCGGATGGCGATGTGTCTTGGGCGAGGGCATGCTGATAGCCCACGGCGATGGCCAAAGCGGCAGCTGCCCGAACTCTGAGGCTCGGTATCATGTTGGATGGCGTATTCATGTCGACTGTGAAGCTAAAAGAGTGAAAGCAGCCAGCCGTCGGTGAAAGAGTGAACAGAATTGAGTTGTCCGGTCGCCAGAGAACACACCAGAGAACTTTGAGTTCGGCGGGACGACACGGGTATCAGTTCGAACATCTGCAAGAGCTTCGAGGCACCATCTAGTGACAAAAGTTCTTTTCGTGAACCATGATGCCGCGTATCTCCAGATGGTGGTCCTTCGCATCCATACCGAAAGTAACATTAATCTCACGCCTCTGGCGCGTTGTAGGATTCGGAAGGACCGAATTTTCAGCAATCGGATGTGCAATATGGAACTATTGAACATCTGCATCGTGTGTGCCTGATGTGCAATTCTGCGCTTCTGCAGAGAATGTTTTGTCCCAAAGGATGAGGAATCTTACGACGGTATAGACTTGGCGATATCTCCGGCGAAGGAGCCGGGAAGGTGGGTGGGAAGCGGGGCATGTACCGGTACAAGACCGGGGCCCCCTTGACCGATAGAGCCGGCCGCTATGGAGATTACGCGGGGACGGGCGGGCTTTAAACGCGATGATGGCCCGCGATGTCCAGGCTGCAGTCAGCAGGGGTTGTGTGAAGAAGCAAGCAGGTGAATCTATCGGACGAACGTCTCCGAGTTGACACACAAGCTGCCGCCAGCTCACTTTACCTCTCCTGGCCTCCCCTTCGTCTGCTTTCTGTGCAGCATCTTGTCTCGACACCGTCGTCACATCAGTCTCTCGTTCAAACGGCTTTTTTTCTCTCTTCACGCAAATAATGGTGCCCCTTACGATCTTTTTATCTCTTTTCTGCCTCTTGTTTGGCAGCCATGTGCTGGCTGGAAGTTTCATCTGGCAACCGGCGCTCGTCAGCAGAAGCAATAGCTCCATGCTGGACAAACGGTACTATTATGTTACCAGAGACCAATCATTGACGTCGCAAAGGCCGTGGCCCAACCGCGTGATTCGTTACTGCTTCGAGAAGGAGACGACCGCGGCGCAAAAGAGCACGCTGAAGAAATATCTGAAGGATGCGCGCAAAATCTGGATCTCCAAAGGACTGGACAGCAACTTCAGAATCGAGGAGGTCAACGACAACGTGTGCACATCCGAGGCCACTGAAGTCCTGACGGTGCGTTACCGCGAGGGTGTCCTGGCCACCACCGTTGGCTTCCCCAGCAGCACGATCGGGGGGGTTGGCCCACAAATGTTTCTCAGCGACAGCACTGAAATCGGCATGCTGGATGTCGTTGGCAACTTTGCTCACGAACTTGGTCATGCCTGGGGACTCTATCACGAACACCAAAATCCCAAGTTCTGGGCGGGTGTTGCTGGCGCCGACGGTGGCGAAGTCTTCGGCCCCAACAACCCGGGAGGCTGGAACTGTGACAACCTCAAGGACTACTACACGGCTGCGAATGGTGGTCTTCGCCTCCAGACCGGTGGAGGCGGATTTCGAGATATTACAATCCAACAGTTGTGCAGTAATTGGCAAATTGCCAAGAATAACGGGTTCAGCGCCAGTGAATACCTGCCTATGCCAGGAGTCGGCACCCCGCACTCTAACGGCCACGGCGAGAACGACGTCGACTGGCAGTCTATCATGATCTACCCCTCGGGTGCTGGAGGCAACTCAAATGGCCAACCCACACCTGAGAACGACAATCGAGATGCTATCTTGATGAAGCCGGACGGCAGCAGAATCCCCATCAACTTAGCGCCCAGCAGCTTGGACATCGCCGCCTTGAATACCATGTACGCCAACGTTGAAGGAACCAAACTCGACCTTCTCAATTCCTTAACCAATTTCAAGAAGGTGTACAAAACCAGCCAGTCTGGTCCCTCTGGCGGCTCGGGGTGCTTGTGATCATGGTCGGTTGCCGAATGGCATTAGTGTATATACTTAAGCTTCGTAGATTGACTACCAATCTTTCTTTCCACGTCAATCTGTTCAGATTTTCAACACGCGAAACAAGTGTCGTTGAATCATATTCCAAGGCCTGATGGCATTCACAATCATTCATGTGATAACACAGAGGCACCTTGAGGACACGTCCATTTCGAATAGAATATTAAGTAGGGATGAACAGAATCAATTGAAGATGTCAACAGCTTTGACTGAGGGTAGACTACAGGACACAAAAAGAGCACGCCGGTTGACCTCCCAGCCCAGACGCCTAGCTACTCGCATCCGTGACGTTGCCGGAGATGTCCTCCAACGTGGTCCCGAAGCAGGCCGAGATCGCCGGAGGGTCGTCGAGTATGATGGTTGTCTCCCTGCCAGTTTCCGACAGGCTTTTGATCAGAGTGCCATCGTCAAGATCGACGGCCCAGATCATGACGCCTCCCAGACATCTTTGGTTGGCGTAGTCCACTTTCATTTTCAGTGTCTCGGTATCATCCCATGAGACCCACTGATTCGAGTCCCAGGTGACAATTTGCACGCCAGCCACGGGGTCTAAAGTCATGGTCGCGCCGTCCTCGATGATCTGCATGATTTCATGGGCAGACAAGACGCCAGCAGTCCCAGTGCAAGCTCCGCCGTTGCCACCTTCTGAGAACTCACATCCCGCGGCCATGCAGCTCGGGTCCTTCATGGTGAAAGAGCGGCCGTAGAAGCCGAGACCAAGGTTGACACGGCTCGGGTTGATATTGTTTCGCCAGAGAAGCTTGAGAGCCTCCTCAATCTCGGTTAAGTTGGTGTGAGCGTGGGCGTAAGGACCCAAAGATTCAATGGTTGAGTCCCAGACACCGTGAATGTCATAAGTCATGACGTTGAAGAAGTCGACATGGGGCTCCAAGTTGATAATGTCAAAGCCTTTAAGGTACCAGTATGACGCAGGTAGCGTCATGGACAGGCCCTTTGGCGTGCCCAGGTTATTCAAGCGGTTGCGCAGACGTGAGATGAAGTTGACAAAGTTGTCAAAGTCGGCTTCTATACCACCACGGTCTTCGGCCACAGGGTATTCCCAGTCGATGTCGACACCGTCATAGTTATAGGTGGACATGAAGGTGACCAAGCTCTCAAAGAACTCATCCTGAGCACTCTCGCTCGCGGCCAAATCCGAAAAGCTCGTCCGCCACGCGCCCGGGTCGTTCATGGCCCATCCGCCAATGGCGAGCCAGACCTGCAGCTCTGGTTGCGTCTTTTTCAGGGCAGACACAGAGCCGTACAGACTGCCCGTCGTGTCGTCCATAGGTTCCAGACGGAAGGTTTCAGGGTTGATGAGCGAGAAAGAGTAGAACAGATGGGTATAGTAGCCCTTGGGAATCTCTTCTGGGGTCATGGTGCCGCAGGATCGTTGCGAGTTCCAGCCCTCATAGTAGCCGATGGTGCGGCCATTCGAGCTGCCGGCCGCGATATCACACTGCGGCGAGGACACGACCTCGCCGCCGCAGAATCCGGGATCGGTGCCACAGAAGCCATACTCACTGCAACATACGTTCAAGGGGCAGGCTGTGGCGTTGGACCACTCGATGCCCCAGCCCGGATCGCACTCAGACTTGTAGTGGCACGTCGATGTGCACCCGTCGCCGCAGAAGTCCGGGCCCAGGCCGCATACTCCATTTCCCTCCTCATCTCTGCCGTCTTGCGTGTCAGTCCAGATCCTTGACGGACAAAGGAGATTGGATGCTCGCTCAGCGAGAGGGAGTTGATAGTTGACTTACAAGGGCCCGCAGCAGCCAATATCGCAGCCTTTGGTGGCGGTGCATACGTAGTCATCGTCACCTTCATCCTGTCTTTTGGCTAATTTTCCAGTTCTATGGAAACGCACTTGTCTGGCCATGGCAGCCGTATGATTTCTGTCAATGATGGCTTGGGCGATACCTGGAGCCAAGACCAAGCACGCCAGGGCGAGGCGTCGAAGGGAGCAACTCAAAGCCATGGTTGACGAAGTAGGACAAAAGAGTAGCAATCGCTTTCTTCGTTTTCAGGAGAGAAGAGAAGGACGTAGATGGCGGAATCTGGCTGAAACGAAGAGAGAGAGAAACGGGGGAAAGGGGTTCTCGCCGGTGCTCTCAACTTGGGCAACGACTAAGATCATTTCATTGAATGCATCAGAAAGTGTTCTTGTCGCCAGAAACTGCCAGGTATCCATCAAACGTCCCTATCTTTGTCGTGGGCTGTTGGTGATTCGAGGGGCGGTGGTCATGCTCGTGGCTTGTAGGATCCTACCCCTGCTCGACACTTGAATGCGAGCTTGTATCGGTACTGTTGCCCATAACCTTGGTCGACGGACCTGCATATTAAGAATCCCCCACAGAAGCTTATCTGAAGTAAGCGCTAAGGCTCGTTTTGGGATTTTCACCGCAGTTGTGGTGAACCCTTACAAAAGACCCTTTTGTTAACGTGGTTTGATGGCCGAATTGGCACACGTATCCTTGGGGCATGCTTTTGATCCCGGCTAGACACCACGTGGGTGCGCGCAGCGCAATCCTATGATCGGTGCCTGACTACGGATAAAATTAAGCATTGTGGCTTCCCCGTCAGCCCTAGCTTCCTTCGGCAATGCGTAAACGACAAGATGGAGGTAAACCGATGCCATGATGATGTGCCGGCGACCGGGGTGCGGCCCGAAGTGCTCTCCACGGCTCGAGCGGCCAACGAGCAGGCGGCGCATTCTTCAACGCCAAGAACATCACGCGTAACGGCAGTCGACATAATGTGGCCGTTGTTGCATTAGGCAGCCAGATAGCCATGAGTTCGAATGATTGTGGCGGCAAAGCGCCGAGATGAACTATCACACAGATCCTGGCTTTGGGATCCTTCGGGAGGAGGGATACCAAAGTCCCAACCCACGACCGCCGACCCGCCCCCGACGTTCCGGTCGGAATATCACCGGCATCAGGTCTGGATAACATTGCTTGGACTGATACTGTGAATGTGAAGTTGGTTTTCCATTTCCCGTACCTATCCCTCTCGCAGCCTGCCGTAGCTCAAGTTTGGGAGTTCACTTCGATAGCCGTCCTCGCGCCCTCGCGCGACTCCCGTCCTTTAGGCATTCTGTTTCTGAGATCACCTTTGACTCTATCTCACTCTTTTCAAACATCGTTTTACTAGTTCCAAGCCCTGACTGCAGAGACACCCGCTCACTGTTGCTCTGCCTTCTCGCTTGTACGTGCTTCTTTACTACAGCCATGCGGATCGCGCTCCTCTTGGCTGCCCATGCTTTCGGGCTAGCTCTGGTGGAGGCCTATGTTGTGCCCTTCTCTCAAGCCAGCAACGTATCAACATCTTTCCTCGCTCCAAAGAGACAGAAGAAACGTAGCCTTAGCAAGCGCGATGACAACCCCAGCGACTATGGCTGGATCAAGCGTTGGGCCGCCGTAGGCGATAGTTACACGGCGGGCATAGGTTCTGGCAAGCCTCTCGGCAACCCCATCTTAGACGACCCGGAGAACACCAATTGGTACTGCTCCCGCTACGACACAGCCTGGCCGATGATCGTCAATGACGCCCTAGGCCCCAGCGTCGAGAACTTCCAATTCGTGGGATGCAGCGGCGACAGAACGGGCGGCATCTACAACCAGATCAAGGCTCTCGAAGGCGATCTGGACTTGGTCATGTTGACAGCCGGAGGCAACGACCTTTGCCTCGCCAAGCTGATCGAGAAGTGCGTCTTGGTGCCCAGCGGCGACTCTTCTTGCGACAGCGTCATCGCGATCGCCCAATCAAACATGGAGTCCATCCTCAAAGGCAACATGAAGCAGTTGATGGCGGCTCTGGATGAGAAGATGAACGACGACGGCGTCGTCATCTACAATGGCTACGCTCAATTCTTCAACACCGAGACGGAAGACTGCCAAAACCAGCCCTGGGCGTATGCCACGCTCTGGCCGGGCAATTCGGGCCTGACCATTGAGCGCCGCAACACCTTTAACGACTTTGTGGTTCAGATCAACAATATCATCAGGACTGTCGTTGAAGAGACCTCCAGCAATTCTGACTATAAGTGGAAGATCGGCTTCTCAAACTGGGACCCGTGGGTGTACGACGGTGTTCAGGGCCAGATGTGCGATCCGGACGGATCAGGCGATTACCCCGACCCTGAGCAGCCCGACCTGCAATTCTTCAAGCCCGACACCAGCGTCAGCGACGACGACGTAGACCTCAAACGCAGGTGGGAAGAGTATGGGCCTCTGGCCGAGACCAGGCGGGCTGCCCTAGCTGAAGTCGCCCGTCGCAACCTTGAAACTGAACTATACAACTCACTTCTATTTAACTCGGCCAACCCTGGCGCTGAGGTCAAGCACAAACTGGACCGCCGAAACCCCTCACCTCCTGGATGCCCCGGAGACACGGACGACGAGATCCAGCCCCCGTCCATCGGACTGCCGGACTGGGTCGGCAAGAACTTCCACCCCAATGAGCTGGGTCACTACACCATCGCTTCCTTCGCTTTACAGACTCTCGTGGACACTCGTGCTGCCGTTCTGGACATTGAAGCCCCCTCATGCGAGGCGCAGGACAAGTTCACATGCTGGCAACATAATGGAGACGGGTCCAAGGCCTACGCATCAGGCGACCGACTCAACGAGGACTACAAGGACTTCTGTGATAGTGTGACTCGTCCCACAGGCCAGTCTGGGTGGAGCTACGCGAAGACATACCACAAGGGCACGCCTGACGAGACCGGCTTTCTGCTCTCCATCGCCGAGGGGAGCACCAACTACGACAAGCAGGAGTGTCTTGACAAGATGTGGGCCGTCATCAACAACTGCGACGGCAACGACCCGGAAAACCCTATGAACTGGAAGTTCGGCGGCGAGTACGTCCACGGCGACTACACATACCAGGTCAACCCCCAGAAAGACAACCGCCACTGGCCGGTCCCCAAGGAGGCCGGCGGCGACTGCAAGGGCTGGTACCATGGCTATTGGAGCAGCTATGTCATGCACGGCTACGGCTGGGCAAGCCATGATTTCGGTCAGAAGACGCTGATGAAGGAGGCCAAGGACTGCATCGGTGGTGGCCTGTCGATGTGGAGGTTTGAATATTTCGACGAGCCGGACGATGACGGCAATGAGTGGAAGGCCGACTTTAACACTCCTATCTGGGTCAGAGCGCGATGCTTTGGCAATAATAAAGCTCAATTCGCCGCTGGGGGGTTCACACATGGTTGTGGTGGAAATGACTAAGATGAAGTGCGATTTTATTGTGTAATTACACCCGAATAGTGTGGTGTTGTCTTGACGACTTCAACGGCAATGCATACCTGGTTGAACGATTAATATCTCACATCATAATAAACTGAACTGTGCCTTATAACTTCAGTCTTCCCAAGAAGCATAATCGCCTTTGTGCATGTAACTGCTTCGTCCCCGAGTCCACCCCGAGTCCACCTCGCGTTCGCCGGTGCTTTGGACCCACACCTCCGCTCCGGGTCTGAGTGTTCACTGTATCACAGCCCCGACGACATAATCAGACCTCTCTTTTTGTGCCTCAAAACAATAGCCTAAAGCGGTTGAGCCCTAGTTGGTGCCTCGCGGCCTGGTCTCTGCCCTCGACGCCTTTGGAAATTCCTTCCCTCCTGAACTTTCTTTCAGGTTTCTCTCCTGCTTCACAGTTATCACCACCTCACACAAACTCCAACTTTTGTGAGTTGGTCAACAAGCACTTCCGACTTGAGGGAAAACATTTCTTTCATCACAACCAATCGGCTACAGTCTAGTGAGTACATATCTACGTTTCTTTCTGCCTCCAAAGAACTTTACTGACAAGGGGGATAGAACAGCGATTGACGACGCTTCAGCAACGCCCCGAAGACCCTCGAAGCAACAGTCTGAGATCCAAAAATGGCCCCATCTGCCTCGAAGCTTATCGGTGATACCGGCGCTGGTGATGGTACCTCTGGCGGCCCCAAGGTTCCCGGTCCCGGCGAAAAGAACGAGCTGTCCACCTACCTGTTCAAACTCAAGAACACCATCGCCCGCATCGGCATGATGTCCCGAATCAACAAGTCCACTGACAATCCTTCCGTCATCCTGCTCAAGAGGGAGATCTACGACTTCTTCAACTACTTGGAGGATTGCCAGGATTACTACGACATGAGCATCACCGCCGACCAGGCTAAGCGCCATGGAGACTTCGCCGCCCGCCTCCTCTCCATTTCCGACGGAGAGCCCCCCGAGAAGCAGCGTCTCTTCACCGCCGGTGACCAGTCTCGTGCTCTCAGTCTCCGTCAGTGGATCGATGATAGCGTTCGTGCTAAAAGAATCGTCGATGAGAAGACCGTCAATGAGGAGACCCACGATGAGATTCCCAAAACCACTTCCGTCATCACCTTCACTGACAACATTCCACGTCCCCCCGCCAACCATCCTATCTGGGGAGTTGACGGTATCATGCATGGCCTGACCATCATTGGCATTAATATCCGCTTCAATCCGGACTACAAGCACTCGCGTCGCCAATGCAAGGAGTACGGACACAACGGTCTCAAGGTCGGGGCCTAGTATCCCCGCCAGCTTTCTGCTGTGTTCCATGGCGCCCATGGACAATCCCAGGCCGGCATCCACGGCAATATCACCAGCGGCGCCTACAGTATTGTGATCTCGCCAACCTCGGACTCTACGGACATTGACAATGGCGACGTCGTCTGGTATTCCGGCTCGGGCTCCGAAAAGCACCAAGATGTTGAGAAGGTTCCCGACCGAACTATGGGCACCAAGGCCCTTGTCGCCAGTCTTGCTACTGGAAACATGGTCCGAGTCATCCGCGCTGCCGCCGGAAAGGGCAAGCAAATGCTCTTCAAGTATGCCCCCAAGGTCGGCTTTCGCTACGATGGCCTCTACCAAGTTAAGCTCGTTACTACCTCGGTCAATAAGCATGGAGGTCGTATCGAGCAATTCAAGCTCGTTCGGTGCGAGGATCAGGATCAGCCCGGCCTGGATGAACTCCGATGTATTCCCAGCCCCGGCCAGCAAGATGCCCACGCGAAGATCTTTGAGAAGTGGTGAGCGAGGGACATCGAGGGTTCGGTTTCCATACCACCGACAGAAGATCTTGGGAAAGATTGATTGGTCTTTTGATTTTGGTCGTTGAGTATGCGTGACAAACACAAATTGCTCAGGAAAGCCCAGGGAGAGGCAATCAGCTAGCTTTACGAGAAGAACGAGACTTGCATTCCATCTTCCTTTCCATTTGATGTAAACGGCTGTCCTCGACTGCTGTGTAAGTCTCCGTGGGCTTGCTGGATCACCTGCCCTTGCCCAAGCCTCCCTGCCGAGTGGCATTCAATTACATATGGTAAAGGTGGGTGTTTCTTGAGGGACTACGTACCTCAAGTGGCGCGAGCATAAGAACAGGATATAGTCTACTTTGCTTTCCCAAATTCAAGATTTCGTGGAGGTTAACTCAAATGCATTTCTATCATAGTGTGCCGCCTCGATTATAGAACCACAGCCTCGTATCATCTATGCCGAGAGCTCCTACCATTAGCATCCTGCCAAACAAGTCAACATCATCCGCGGAAGCATCCCTCAACGCCTCATTGAAGGACTGTTGATTAATCACAAAGTGCTTCTTCTCTCTCCAAGCAATGGCAAAGTCGACAACATTCGGGGCGCCCCAGAGGTGAGCCGACATGGTCCATGACTGGCAGAAGATATACCTGTCCGAACACCCATTGGGCGGCTCTCGTCCTATCAGCATCTGGTGTGTGATGAGAAAGAAGCACGTGAAGAAGATGGTGCGACGAGCTGACTCTTGCCAGATCCATTCTTGCCAGAACTCCTTGGTGGGACAGAATGACTGGTCCTCTGCTGGACCTGTCGTTGGTTGAGATGACTCCCATTTGACGAAAGGCAGCAGAGCGAGCATCGCGGGCTCGAGGGCCGTGAGGCTTTGTTGGGCTGAAGCCCGCATGGGAATGTCGCCATCGAAGATGCGGATGATTTGGTAAAGGAGTATAGCATGCAGGCGCGCGAGGGCTTCAAGCCTGCCTTTGGGCGGCGGAGCGGCGAGGACCTCATGCGCCCTGGCTTGAATAGTACGCAGGATCATGGCGGCGTTGTATTGGTTCTTCGCAGCATATAAAGCACAGCACGCTTGTGCATCTGGCAAGAATATTGTTAGTAATGCTCCATGACCACCCGCGAAGTGACATACCTTGCATCTCCCTGGGCATGTAAGCTCTGTACAAGTGGGGATGTGACCATGGGGTCTGGTTTTCAGACACCATAGATGAAGGCACTTTCTTGATGACGTCGAGAGCATACTGGATTCTGCTTGCTATCATCTCCTCCAGAGAGGTTTGCGGGTGGTGGCGAGAGGGCACCAACATTTGGTCGGGCTTGGGTGTAAGTGCCACCGGCAGGGATAATGCTCCATCCAAGAGAGCGTCGGTATTGATCAAATCCTCGAACCCAACATCGAAGTTGACATCTTCCAAGTCCTCTAGATCCAGCGGAAGAAGGTCTGGGCCCTGTGACCACGACACAAGAGAATTATCCGTACAAGCGTCCAGAGTGGCGGGAACAGGGGTCGCAGCGGCGGGAGTCGGGTCGCTTTCCGGCAGAGGTGATCTAAAGCTCTGCGGAGTATGGTGTGCTGCCGATGACTTCGATCTGGCGGAAGGCGGACTTGGATGCACGCAGTCGATTTTCCGCCGTGAACACCGCAAGCATGAGGGTTGGCCATGGTCGCATCGTCGCTTGGCTTTTGTGCAAGCTACACATGTTTTCCGCCGCGGAGGCGGGTTGGCCCGCTCGAAGAATGAGTTTGACATTTGACAGTCTGATATACGGAGATTTCTCGTCTGATATGTCGAAACCTTGAATGAATTAGATTCGCGATGTCAGTGTGAAGGGTAAACGGTTGAGATGGAGCGGAATGCGGGCAGCGATGCTGCAGGCAGGGAGATGGAGTGCTTCAGGGGATTTGCAGCGCTGAAGAAGCGCTAAGCAGGTCATCTTTGTGCTGTTTGTCCGCTCGGGCTGACTTAGTCATCTGGCGGGATTCCGCCATCATTTTCCACCACCAAGACTTTCATCCTTCACCCTTCGACCGACTTCTTTGTCACCCCGCACCAACTTCTTCCCGGCAAAATCTACACCGTTAAGTATAGTATTAGAAGTAGTACGTGATAATGACAATGGCGGCGGCGGCGATAACGGTAGTGACGACCACTAATGACGACGATGATGGATGAAGAAGTCAACGACAATAACAGTCGCAACAACAACCATAGCAGCAAAGTAAATCATAGCTCCGCAGGTAGATTAGTCGCTCTAGCACAGGAAAAACAGGCAGTCTCCTACAATATGTTCTCCGCGGCGCCGCGGCGCGGCTCCGCGGATCATCCTGTCGGTCGCCCTTCTTGGCCGGCAACATAAGTCCCTTCGGCGCAAAGCCGCCAAGGGTATGTAAGCTGGATATCGACCACGTGAGATGACAAGAACTGATCGCTGAAACGTAGTATATAGGACTTTGGTAAATACTACGATGACGGAAACAGATCGTCCAGTTTCATCAAAGCTACCTGGGCATCCGAGAGTCACACTCAATCTACGTCCACGTCGATAGACACTATCATCATGTCTCAACAAACCATCTTCGTCAGCGGTGCAACAGGAACAGTCGGTGGCGCAGTTGCTCATAACCTCCTCAAAGCCAACATTGCCGTCCATGCCCTGGTTCGTGATCCCGATTCGCCAGCCGCCAGAGCCCTCGCAGATCTCGGCGCACGTCTCACTAAAGGCGGCTACGGCGATGATGTGCCCCTCAAGGAGGCGATGAAGAACGTTACCGGCGCCTTTCTCAACCTGACGCCCGACTTCATCGACCACACCTGGGAGCTCCGCACCGCGAAGCGAATCATGGCAGCTGCCAAAGAGGCCGGCGCCGTCCACTTCATCTACAGCAGTGGCTTCGCCGTCCAGGCACCCGAGAGGCTGGAGCACTGTACCCCAGACAGCTTTGTTTCCATGGTCCTCCATTCAAAGCAGTCCATCGAGAAGGCTGTCCGAGAGGCTGGCTTTGAGTACTGGACCGTCTTGCGGCCGGGAAGCTTTTCGTCAAACTACCTACTTCCTCAGGTTGCCCCTTTTCCGGATCTGGTCAACAAGGGAAGATTCGCGAATGCTTTCAAACCGACCTCCAAGATACCGACTCTGGACCCCTATGACATTGGGAGGTTTGCTCTGGCAGCTTATCGCGATCCTACGATATTCAATCGCCAGGAAATTCCCCTGTCATCGGAGATGCTGACGGTGGATGAGATCATGGCGAAGCTGTCCAAGACCAGCGGAAAGGACATACGGGCGGTCTTCTTGACGGAAGAGGAGATCGACTCCCAGAAGGCTGGGAATCCTTTCATTGCTGGGCAGCTGGCCGCTCGCGACATGGACCAGTTCGCGGATGAGGAGAACACTCGAAGTTGGGGTATTACTATGAGTACTTTTGATGAGTTCCTTGAGCGGGAGAGAGAAAGAGTCCTACAGACCTATGCCCAGCTTGCCTGAGCTTAGGTTGTCATTCAAGTCTCAAAGAAAGCGGATCTCATGGATCGAAGGACAGAATAGTGCCAGATGAACCTTTGCAAGAACTTCGTTCAGACTTTGGTGACAATAAACGATATTAGGGATACATCTCCAGAATCTTCCCCTTGTCTCCGTGCTTTTCGCCCCATTTCGCGGTACCTTCGGCCAATGCCTCTACCAGCGCGGAGTCATACTGCTTCCCATTCTCTGCCCAACCGACCTTGACAGTTCTCCAAGTCAACCAGTCCTCCGCCAGAACGCCCTCCGGAGCCCGAAACAGCCCCACTGCAACGTTGAAGAGTCTGTCGCCATCGATCAGAGCGCGTTCTGGTCCGCTGTAGAAGGCCAGTACCGAGGCGCCACAGACTCCGCAAAAGGAACGAGACACCTTCTCCGTCGAGTGGAACATCTTCGAGGTCCCGAGTGTAAGGTCCTTTGGGATCTGGGGCGTGATGCACGATTGGGGTACGAACGCCCAGCCGGTGATGTGGGCGCCTGTCTGAAGCCTGCAGTCACCGCAAGTGTCTGTTCCGGCCATCCATTTGTTCGGTTCCGTGGGCGAGATCCAGTCCTTGTACGATTCGACGCCGGCTGATGGTCTTGAGATTGTGAAAGACACACCTCCGCAGTGGCATTGAGCTCGAAGCACTTCCTTGCCGTCGTCTCCAACTTCAGGTCTGCGAAGTTTGAGCTTCGTATCTGGCTTCGGGTTCCAGACTTTCAACTCCTTGCCAGCGATACTTGGGAGCCAGTCGTAGAGCCCCCCTCCCAGCGCCGAGTGCGTGTTGACATGCTGCCTAATATCCCATACCGAGGGAACATCGTCCTTGTTGGCATCGAAGATGGATGCAGAAATAACCCAGTCGTCGTCTTCAATACCCTGGTCTCCGATGTGACAGCTGCAGGTGCTGCAAAAGTAGCGCGTGCTTGATGCAGTGGCGTGGCGGTAGGCGGTCAAGGCCGAGAGCGAGGACGGTGAGATGAATGACGGGGCGACGCCGGATGGGAGTGGTGCATGGAAAATGCAGAGTGTGCCGTGGGTGTAGCGGCAGATGCTGCAGTGGCATAAATGGACTTTGAGCGGGAGGGAAGAGGTCAGGACGGTGATTGTGAAGTGGACGGCTTTGCAGTAGCACTGGGCTATGAGCATCTTGCTCCCGTCCGGGTGAGTGTCTTGATCTTTCTCCATGGTGTATGTGAGATGACTGGAAAACTCGTAAGTGGAAGTGAGATGGGAAGTCGATTTTGGGATGAGTTGAATTTGAAGATGAAGGACGCGGTGGGCTGAGGGGAGGTTGGCCGTGGCGCGCTGACTGCCAAGTTCTCGTTTCAACCCCGCGATTCTGGTGTCAACGGCAGGGCGTACAGGCAGCAGCGAGATGTAGAAGCAGTCACTCAAACACAGGCCCCAGGAAAATCATGCTACGGGGCGGGGTTGAAAATTCGGCGAGATCTTAGATTGGTCAAATTTCTATATAAATGTCTCGGGTATCATGCTACGTATCATAAATGCAAACAGTGGTGGTATCACAATTCTCAAGCAGTGCCTTTCTTCTGGAGCTCCTTCTCCTTCGCCGCTTTGCGCCATTTGACTCCCCAGTACATGACGGCTAGCAATGACGGGCTAAACACGATGTAAAGGAGAGCCAGGAGCGTGAAAGCCCAGCCAACTCCCATTCCGTTGATCATGGGCAAGATGGCCGCGGTCGCAGCGGCTCCCAGCAGGCACCTGGTGAAGTTGTTTGCCGCTGTAGCTGTGCCTGCTTTGCCTGGGTGAATGTCGACGATGAGAGTGTTGGTGGTGTTGTTAAAGCCGATCATTCCGACTCCAAAGAGGAAGAGGAGTACGCAGGGAACCGCCACCGGTGCACCAACCTGGAGAACCCATCCCCAAATCAAGAGCAGAATCGAGCTGAAGAACAGCAAAGGCAAGCCTATCTCGAGGCGGGCCTTCTCGATGGGAAAATCAGACAGGTCCTGCTGGCGAGACTTATCGTACGGGATGCCCAGGCGCCTGCAGTGCCGACGGTAGTTCCAGTTAATAAGGTGTCCAACGACGAACCCCGCGACAACAGACCCTCCAGCCAAGGGCAGGTACATGAGCCCAACTTTCAAGCTGTCAAAGCCGTACAGCTGCGCGAATTGGGTTGGCATCGAAGCGGCGATGGCATAGAAACCGGCGAAAACGATGGCGCTGAAGCCCAAAAGAAGGCCCATTTCCTTGTGAAAGAGAAGCATGAGGGAGGCGAAAGGGTTGATCTTGAACGAAAGGGATGGTCTTGCGGTGTTCGATGTTCCTCCAGTTGTCGTTCTAGTCATTTCGTCGCCATGAGTCCTCTTAGATTTGAAGTAGTCCTTCAATAGCTGGTAGCCGGTGCGGTACAGTCGCGGGGGTCGAACGGAGCCGTCGTCCACAATTCTTCGACAGGTTTCTGGGAAGAAGAGTAGCAGGGCAATGAAGAATACGCCGGAGAGGATGGCCAGAAACCAGAATATGGCCCGCCAACCCAGGAACTGGGTCAGGATACCACCGAGAACTGGGCCAAGCGCAGGCGCAAGAACGATTGGAACAACGGTTATTCCAATGTACTGGCCCCTCTCTGCGCTTGTCACGACGTCGGCAACGACGGCGGAGGCGAGTGCAACTGTGCTACTCGAGCCGGCCGACTGTAAACACCGGACGACGAGCAGAGAGGCGTAGTTCTGTGACAAGGCGAGGCCGATATTGGCGGCGATGTAAACGACGAAGCAGATGACATAGGCTGGTCGTCTGCCACTGTTGTCGGCTAGCGAACCGATGAACATGGGTACAATACCCTGAAAGATCATGTAGGTCGTAAGGGTGAGGTTCATGTCGGAGTCAGAGACGTTGAAATCCTCGGCCAGAACCGTGAGGGCGGGCAGGTATATCTGGGCGGTGAAAGGAGAGAAGAAGGCGGCCAAACAGGCACCTAGCACGATGAAACGTTTCTCCCATGTCGTGTAAATGGAGTATTGTGGAGGTTGCTCTGGTTGCTCTGAAGGCGGTGCTGCTGTAGCCTCGACATCTTCCAGATCCGACTTTGTCGAACCGGTGGGCGGTACTGACTTCTCGGAAGGTATAGGACTTGAAGGTCTAGACATCGTGAGTGGGCTGATGGTGGTATCGCTTCTTCTGTATGCCAAGGGAATGGACCGTGGAGAGCGGGACGAAGTCCAATTATAGTCGCATCTTTGTCCGGCAATAGGACTTTAGGAGATTATGGGAAAAAATGGCATTTGAGGCTAAGAACCTCGCTAAACAGCGACGGCGATGAGATAATGGATCATCGCCTCTCATGGCCTATTATCGGTCAGTAGGGCGGCATCACTATCGAGCGACGCTGCATGTCGGTGCCGAGTCGGCGACCGCCTGCGGAATCCTGTGGCCATAATGGAGACGGTATTCTCCACGGCGGTATCACGTTGGCGGGCCATTCTGGGATTAAGCGTCTGGTTCCTGAATGCGCCGGTGCTTGCTTTCTTTTGTACCGGGCGAGGCTGGTGGTAAATCCGATTTCGTCAAACTGTGATCAAGATGCAATCATGAAGAGTCACCGGTGCTCGTGAAGCTACTAGCGGTCCGCCGTCGGCGAATATGTGAGAGCACTTCGGTCGAAATGCTGGTTCGCAGCGCATTCCATGTAAGCACGCATGATGCAAGTCGAAAAGAACTGGCCACAGGTGCTAGAAAGAGCAAAAGGACAAACGGATGTCGATATAGGAACCGTCAGTATGTACGATGCTGGAAATAAGGTATCAAAGGTAAGGACCCTCGCCGTCGCGATTGCCTTCCGGGAAGGACCGTGCATCCCGCATCGTGCATGTACTGTTATCACACGGCTTGTCGCACTGGGCTGCCCCTTCTTCCGAATTGGAAGGCGGTGACGTGTTTTCCTGGGCGACTCCCTTGCCCGAGAAGCCACTTGTTGTAAGTAGATTTAGCTCCAGCTTGTCGTCGGCAAGGCAAAGGGGAGCTGCGCAATCGAACACCTTTCTCTCCAACTACAAGTCTAGTCCTTGATCTTTCTTCGATTTTTGCAGAAGCTCGCCCAGAAAAGTCGCCTCGCGCAGACTGAAACAGTATGGTTAGTCGGGACCCTAAGCACCTGTTTTGCGCCTGCACTGCTAACTGTTAGCTGCAGAACGTCCAGTACAACTCGGCCCTGCGCCAAAGCAAGGCCATCCGCAAAGATCTCGAGAAGCTCTCCGACTCCGCAGCCCAAGCCGTCGCCCTGACCCCATCTGAGATCGGCAACGTCTCTGCATCCCTCGCCTCCTTCTCCAAGACCATCGATGAGTACAACCAGCTTGCGCGCCAGGAGCTCGTCCCCAAGAAGCAAGAAGAGGCCTTCGAGCGTGTCAAGCGGTTTCGCGACGACCTGGCCGACTTCCGATCCCAAGTCGACGACCTCAAAAAGGCGCGCGAAGATGCCGTCCACAGCAACAACCGAGGCGAGTTACTGGGCCGTCGAGCCTATGTCACTTCGACACCAGAGAACCCCTACGCCAACGTCAACAAGTCGTCCTCGTTCCACAGCAGAGGCGCTTCAACAGGAGGCCAGACCGGTGGTTTGAGTATGGGTGGAAACGATGTCACGAGAGAGCAGCACGCGCTGCGGGAGCAAAACTTCTTTGCGCAAACGAATTCAGCATTGGACGAGTACATTGCTCGCGGCCAGGCTGTCCTCGGCGACCTTGGAACACAGCGCGAGATGCTCAAGAACACCCAAAAGAGGCTATACTCAGTCGGCAATACGCTGGGCATCTCCGGTGACACTATCCGGATGATCGAGCGCCGTGCGAAGGAGGACAAGTGGATTTTCTGGGCTGGCGTCATCGTCTTCTTCCTCTTCTGCTGGCTGGTCCTACACTTCCTGCGATAATTCGTTTGTTTCTTCATTACGTGGCGTTGGGGGCGGCAATCAAAAGTCTGCGACATCTCAGGGCATTTAGGGGGGCATGGCGTCTGGTGTCGGTGGCCGAGTATTCAGAAACACCGTGTACAGCAAGCGACAGTCGACGTTGGTTTATTCTATTCCCGCGAGGGCAATCGTGAAAAGCACAGTCTCTGTTGTCCCGATCTTGACCACCTTCGTCTCGGGTAGCACATGGTTGCTGGTGCTCATATGGCCTCCAAACTTGGTTTCCCAGTCCACAACATCCCACTCGAGCCCCTCGGTGGTGATGTAGCTCGTTCCTCCAATGGGAATGATGCCGACATGTTTTCCAAAGACGTCCTCGCCGCCCTCCCGCACTTTAATGCTGTGGATTCCTGGCTTCAGCAGGAAGGTCAAGCTCTGGCCGGACACCAAGTACATCTTGCCCTCATCATACCCTGGTCCCGGCTGCGAGAGATATAGCTGGTGTACCTGACTGAGGCCCTGGTCCACTCGGCCGCCGAGACCTCCAAGGGCAACAACGTCGACGTTGGGGTGTTGTGATCTGATCCAACGAATAGACTTGCCGAAGTCTGTCGAAATCTGGTCGGGCATATGCACGATCTGGGTGGGCTTTTCCAAATTGGTGTAGAAGTCTTTGGCCACAGGATCTAACGAGTCCAAGTCTCCGATAATGGCGTCAAGATTGGCCTGCAGCGATTAGAACGGCTCACGTCGGCATTCAGAGGTTCAAACGAACATAAGGAGTGGTCTGCGACTGCGACTGCGACTGTGTCGCTTTGCTCAGATCAAGAAGTCGATTCGCGCCACCATCCGCAGCAACTCTTACGATGGCTGCGAAAGGCGTCAGTATTCCGCATGAAGAATATCAGATATCAAATCGTACCATTCTGCCACAGCAAATCAAGTACCGGGGTCTGCTTCAGTGGCTGGTTGAGAACAATGAGAGCAAATGCAGCAGGCTCGGCATCGGGCTGCCTGTCTCGCAGAAATGCAATGGGGCGCCACTCGAAGCTCGGCGATGACATCTTGTGAAGTTACTCGTCTACCCCGCCAAACGACAGCAAGTCGAGCTTCTATGTACAAATATTCCACCTGCACAGGTAGCCAAAATAGTCCGAAAAGAAAGTCAGTCAGAACCAAGCATCACAGGTGACCCAGAACAATTTGAATGAAGAATAAAAATGTTCCCCTCAGCTGTATCACCAACGTCTACAAGGGGTTATCTTTTGACAGACAGCTGCCTGCGGGATATGTAGATGTCATGTGCAGAGCACCAAAAAAGGAATCAACTGCATAAGTGACCCAACCGACTTGATGACCAGTAGAAATGCTTGAATGACCCCGATTTTTCCTCTGATTTCTTTTTTTCCTGCTGGGCCGTCCGATCGGCCGAAGCCAGCCAGGTGCAAGGGTGCAGATTGCGCCGCGTAAACCCCGGCAGAACCCGAAATCGAAGCTTCAATTTTCTTTCCGAATCTGTAGATTACCAACCAAACTACCGGCTCCTGGACCGCGCCCTCCGCGAATCTAATTGCCTTGCCTCTTCCCCTTTGTCTTCTTACCCCGTCTTTGGTTTCTTTGGTCACTGGTTTTCAGCATTCACAATGTATCGCAGCGCTGTCCGCTCGACGCCCCGCGCCTTGAGCGCCGCCCGCCAATCCGCAATTCGCGCAGCCCCTCGCCGATTCGCTTCGACAGCGCCCGCCGACAAGCCCCGGACATGGAAGAGCTCGGCGTTGAGATGGGGTGCCGCCTTTGGTGCGCTCTACTGGTACAACACCAGCCCAGTCTTCGCCGAGGAGCCCGTCGGTACGTCTGGCATCGCAGTCCTTCTGCAAACGCAAGGGATACATGATTAACTCTGTCCGCGACACCAGCCCGCACGATTCCCGCGCCCTCCCAGTTTTCCGATGCCGACCTGACCACCGTTGACGCCATCGTCGAAGAGAAGCGCAAGCGCGCGATTGTGAAGGCGGAGCAGCCCAAGCCCGCTCCTGCGGCCGACAACGCACAGGCGATCCAGACCGAGGGCGAGCCGGCGCCCGGTTCTCCCGAGGCCCTGGAGGCGGAGGCCGACCAGCAGGGTGCTTTCAATCCCGAGACGGGCGAGATCAACTGGGACTGCCCGTGCCTCGGCGGCATGGCCGACGGACCCTGTGGCGAGGAGTTCAAGGCTGCCTTCAGCTGCTTCGTCTACTCCAAGGAGGAGCCCAAGGGCATGGACTGCATTGAGAAGTTCCAGTACGTTTACATCAATCCACATGGTTATGGTTATACGGATATGCTAACCATTCGTAGGGGAATGCAGACATGTTTCCGCAAGTACCCCGACGTCTACGGTGCTGAGCTTGCCGACGACGAGGAAGGCCCCGCCCCCGACGATGCCCAGCCCACTCTCGACGCCAACGCCGATGCTTCCATCCCGCCCGCCGCCGAAGAGAAGAAGGAGGCTCCCAAGGAGGCCAAGCAGGAAGCACCCAAGGAGACGAAGACCGAGGCCCCCAAGGCCGAGATCAAGAGCGACTCTGAGATCAAGAAGGTCGAGATCAAGGCCGAGCCCGAGAAGAAGGAGACGGAGAAGAAGACCAAGCCCAAGAAGGCTGTCAAGGTCGACAGCGTTGACCTCACCAAGTCCAACACCGCGGCGACGGATGCCACTGCGGCGAACGACAACTAAACAAAAACAAAAACATCTCCACACCTTTTTTACCACTGTAGAAATCTGTGCACGTGGACGGCAGGGATTAGATGCGGACCTCGATGAGGAAAGATGTGGACGCAGCAAAAGAGGCAGCTAATGACGAGCATGACGGGAAAATCCGGGCATATTCTGCGTGTACCATAATCGTGTACAAAGTGTATCAGTAGGAACCAACAACCACGCAAAACAACCACAACCAAGAACAATAGACATACACACACACATCTCCAAAGATGTTTTTCTTTTGTCTGAAAGTAGTATGTCAATATGTGTCATTTATGTGACTGGGTGGGTATTCTTGCGGGTGGGAATAGCCTCACATCGCCCAGCAACGAACACGACAGCATGACTCTTTCGTCTCCCTCTGGGTCCATCAGCCCAGAGCCGTGGGTAGCAGCACGAACAACACTGCAAACCTCTGTTATTAATGGGCACCCGTCCACCCAATCCCACGCGGGCCCCCGTCCTTACAAGGCCCGCTGCATGACAGCGTTCCTGGCCGTTTCCCGGCTTGTTCCCCGGGTCTAGGCCGAACACCCCCATCGCAGAGTGGAGGTATGACGTTGTGATTGGCCGGGAGCTGCACCAGAGTGAGGTGTCCCAAGCTCCCGAGCCGCATACGTCATTAGTCTCCCAGGTTTCCCACGCGCCAACCAAGATCAAGGAAAGCTCGAATCTGTGAGGGGGAGCGAAATACCTGCACCTGGTGACTTGGCCGTGACCAGCTCACGGTGCAGCTGAGGAGCGTGGTTTGACCACCACCTCACTTACCGCATCTAGGTACCTACACTACTGCGTCCCTACCTACCTACCAATCAACCTGACGACCTGACGACCCGCCCCGGTGCGCCATCGTTTTACCGCGCCTATTGCCCTTGGCTTCGCAATTTTCCCTCCTCTTCTCCCGGTTTTCTCCTTCACATGGCAGCCACCTCTTAAAAGGCACCTCCCATCATCTATCCCACGTCATTTGCCAGCCTATCACACCTTTTTTCCTCTCGCACACCACCACCACATTCGAAGCTTGCTCTCTCCCATTCAACCTCCATCTCTTCAGCTTCATCCCGCACCAGTAATACACAAGTAGGTTCCTCTATTGACATATTGACATCAAGCGCCTTCTCGTGTGGACTAACGAATAATGCAGTGTCGTACGCCGCCGCCGCAGCCAAGGGCCCCAAGCAGACTCCCGAGGAGGTACGTTGCGAGATCGCGTGATGCTCCTCATCTCCCCTCCAATGTTTACAATGACGCAAAACTGTACAAGCAACATGGATAAAAAAAAAACCCCCAGCTAACCCCCTCTCCTCCAGGCTGCCGCCCCTCAACCCCCTGAAGTCGCCGTCACCGACTCCGCCGCCTCCACCTCCTCCCTCGTCGACGTCGACATGCCGAGCGTACACACCGTCCCCAACGACTTCCTCGAGCAGGAGATCCAGACCGAGACCCAGGCCGACCGCCGCGACCGCGAGGAGAAGGCCCGCGCCGAGGCCGACCTAGCCAAGAAGAAGGCCGCCAGCAAGGCCCGCAGGGCCGACTCCTGGCTGAAGCGCCAGTTCGCCAGCCTCAGCGACGGCAGCGCCAGCGCCCTCGTCGTCTCCAACCTCGTCGGCGTCGTCGGCCTGAGCGCGTTCCTCGGATACAAGGCGTGGGGTCTCTACGAGCGCGGCCGTCTGTCGTGGCAGAGCGTCGGCCTCGGCCTGGGTATCTTGGGTGTTGTCGGTCTTGGCGAGGGCGTTCTTGGAAAGTAAGTCGCTGGCTCCTCCTTTTTCTCCATGGTGTCATAAAGATCCGATACTGACTATCTTACTTTGCAGCTACCTTTACAAGACCAAGGGCAAGAAATGAAGACAAGTCTGTTGTAATGACACTTGGACTTTTGCGGATGGCTTGGAACTCTTATAATTCTACTCATGGGCATGACATGATTGCAGCGCGGACTCGGGCGCGGGGCGAATTTTAACGTCTTTGACGATATACACGACGTGGAAAGGCTCTCCGCTATGTATGTACTTGGCGTTCAGGGCGAATACGGACACACATGATACTCCTCACCATCTCAACTGAGCTGTCCCACACCAGAAAACATTGCTCGCTTGAATGACTTGCATCTAGGCTCACACACACAGTGTCTTCCCATCCAACCCATCATCCCCATCCCCGTCTACTACTCATATGAGTCATACCCAAGGCTCACTAGTTTCATAGCATCGTTCCGGATTACTTGCCCACATTTTCAATATCGACAATAAGTATTGAATATACTATAATAGAAAAAAAGGAGACCTGACCTGCCTCACTCTCTTACTCTCCATCTCGGCCCGATAATTTCGCCTCCGCTGCTCATCGCTGGTAGTGGTGGTAGTAATATCGTAGAATCGTACAAGACAACAAAAAAAGTAAGGTGTCGCGAAAGCTCAACATCCCAGTCGCTATGCCGTTTGGTTGCTAACTCCTCCAGCCCCAGTTTGAACCTGCCACCCCAGACCGGACACCAAAGAACGCCCTCGCACTTCTGTCAACTTGCGCTTGATCCAGCCTTTCCATCTTGTTCAAAGTGCCCCCAAAAAAGCCTTTGCTAGCCTAGCCTGCCTTTAAAGCCCTGTGCCCCCTGCTGACCATCGCGTACGAGAGGGTCGTCTTAACATCGAAACGCCGTGTCACCACGAATCCTACACTGACGGATCAAGGCTCTTTCGTTTAATCGGCCTTCACCGCCTGCTCTTCTTCTTTTTTTTCGTCACACTCCCCCTCTTTTCTGCCCTGTCCCCCTCATGCGTTGGGTCGGTTGTTGTGCAGCTCTCTCAGTCGCTTCACCCAGTGGTTGCGCAGCGGCGGAGGCATCTTGCAGAAGATCATGGCCTTGTTGTCATCCGTGAGAGCCTTCTCTGCAATCTTAAGCTGGAGATCCATATCCTCATCGGAAAAGTCACGGAAGAAAATATCAATGGCTTGCTCGGGATATCTGGTTGGGCCCCGGATGGCGTCGGCGATCTTGACCAGCCCATCCTCGAGTAGCTGCTTGCCAACATTCATCATCGAGGCCGTCGTCGCGTCCAGGTTGCTTGCAGACGATGACGCCGAGGCGGAGGCCTGGGCGGGGTTGGCATAGCCAGAAATGCGGCGCCGCTTCTCCACCGGCTGCGCCGTAGGGTGGCCCATTTGCGCCGTCGGGGCCTTGTCGGTTGTCGGGGCATGTTGGGGGAATCGCTTGCGTCCCGTCGCCGTCTCCTCGGGTGGCGTGAGGGCGCTGGTGCCTGCGATGTGCGTCCTAGGCGGGATGGTCGTGGATGTGGGTCTTTGTTGTGGTTGCTGTGTTTGCTGTTGGGGTATCATGGGCTGGTGGATGTTTGCTGCGGGGGTTTGGCTGACGGAGCCGCGGGACTGCGCCGGCTGTTGGTTCACGCCGGACTGTGAAGGCGGGCGATATGGCGGGTCGACCTGGAGATCCAGGACGGCGGTACCCGGCATATCCGGATCCTCGGAGCCCTGGATCACGTCGGGTCCTTTGCGCTTCGGCTTCATGATGCGCTTCGGAGCGCCACCGGAACCAACGACATCCGGATAAAGGATTTCCATGTACTGCTCATGCTCGAAGGGGCGCCCTCGTAGTGCGCGCGACAACGGCTCTTTCTGCGGCAGACGGTCAGCGATAAGGCCCAATATCACAAGAGGAGGTCAAGAACAGCCGGACGGCAGGGGAGGGGAGGGGGGGGGGGAGGCGGAGGAAGCGCGCGCGCGCGCGTGTGTCGACTTACTTCGATATGCGCTTTCCAGGCCTCCTCGGAGGCGGTGACAGTTCTCGTGGTCGGGTTGTAGAGGAACTCGGGGTCTTCGCGCAAGCCGCGCCAGAGGCGAAACTTTTTGCGCGCGTTGTCGGACTTGTTTACGAGATGGCTCTTTGTGGGGTATGCGCCATGTTTCTCGCGCAAGGCGGTAGCAGCGCGATCCCAGGCATCAGCCTTGAAAGAGTGGTTCTCGCGAAGGCCCAGCTGGACAGAATCGCAGAGGGAGCGGAAGAAGGTGGCCTCGTAGGCGGGAGTCCAGCTGAAGCGCGGTGCGCGCTTGTCGCGATCACCTCCGGCGGCGCCGGATGGGCCGTCAGGGCCGGTGAACTCGTCGTCCGACATTGAGACCTTTTAAAGGGAGAGCGACGAGAGGGCGTCGACGATGAGTCGGGGAGAGGTGGAGGGACAGCTCGGGGTCTAGTGGCCCCAGAGATGTCGACGGGAACGGATGATATCGATAGGATGGCAGTGGGAAAATGGATCCGGGTGTCTTGGACCCTGAACGGCGATGTGGCCGTGTGCCGGGTTCGGAGATTGAGGAGTCGCTGAACGGGGGGGGCACAACGGTGGGCGACGTTTGACGTGAGCAAGACACACCGAGACCGACGACAGGACGGTCAAGTCTCGACGGTGAGGTGCGGTACGGATGGTCAAGTCGAAGGTCAGACAGGACCAGTAGGTAATTGTGTGGATGGATGGAGGGACGGTGGATTGGGGGTGTGGGTGCGGTGCGGTGCGTTGCGGTACACGCCGTGTGTGGGCGTGGACGGGACGTGACGAGTTGAGTGGGCGTGTGACCCGACCGTAGCAGGTGGTCCCCTCAGCAAAAAGTAGGTAGCACGTAGGTAGCTACCACCGTTGGGTATCCGTAGGGAGGGACGAATAGGTACGGTATCCGTACGGATAGTGTTCGTCGAGGTTTGCGCGGGAAGCGAAGCGAAGCGAAACGAGCGGGCGGGCGGGCAGCAGGCAGGCGTTGGAGCGAGCGAGCGTTGCGCGTGGGGAAGAACAGCGTGCGAAACGAACAACGACAGACCTCCCTCTTGTTTGGCTGGCTGCAGATGCCGCTGCGTTGGCTAAGGCATGGATGTAGAACGGTACGGATAGATTTCTGCCAAAAATGCGCAATTCGATGCCTACATTAGGCGGGCAGATTGGAATGGAACGGGCAAGCAAGCAACAAATCAACGAGGCTGGCGGTTGGCGGGCTGGAGGAGGAGCTGAACTGTGAACTGTGAACCTACGGATCCATAGGTAGGTGGTACCTACCTTAGGTTCCTTACGGGCTACGGATAGGTTCTGCTGCCGCTGCTGCCCAGTGCCCCGCCTTACGTCCGGGTCCGGGAGAGGTCAGGTAGAGAGGGCGGCACTCACCAGTCATGGAACACCTCACACAGTCTGGCGCGAGTCGGGCGCAAGTCACGCCTTCCCTCTCAGTGGTTCCTTCCCTTGGGCTGCAGCGGGTGGGCCAGTCACAGTCAGTCAGTCACACACAAAAGTGACCTAAGAGGGCCCGAACGGGGTTGGTTGGTTGGGACTCGGTCCAGAACCAGTCATGTGTCTGGACCCTCCCTCGGATGCTGGATGGTCCCCGTTTCTCGCCAGACTGACGTGCCCTCTGATTGGCTGTTGCAGGGTTTCTTTCCCGCTTTCCGCGCGAACCGAGCTTCATCCGTGGCACGGGCCAGATCACGTGGGGGCCAAGGCCCTGATTGGGATGCAACACTGGCAGTAATGTTTGTCATCCCGTGCACAGACCACACCCAATGGCTCTTACTGCCTGAGGTGTCAGGAGAGGACCATCCAGGTGTCCTGCTGTGTGGCGGTGCTTCGGACCTTTCTTTCCACTTGCCACAATGAGGCTGACGCTGTCCCTCCTCCTCCATCCCCCGGTGCCGAGGTGCTCCCCTTCCCCTCCACATCCCCGGAGGTCACATTTCCAGCATTCGACCGGTGCATCGCCTCCGCCTGCCCTGTCCTCACTGCCGGCTTGGCAGAAACACCAAGACAGATCGCTCAAACATACCGCAGACGTCTTATTACACTCATTCACTTTCCACCGGCCACAGGCACCGCACCTAGTAATGTGGGTGCTATCCTGCAAGCCCGTTTCCTCCCGCCTGCTTTTTTATCCTTTCCACTTTAACGACCTGTCCTGCATGTCTGCATGTCAGTCAAGCTTTTCTTGTCGTCACCCCCGCCTAGGTCAATCCGGACGCAAATGGCCAAGAGAAGGAAGCTTCAAGGACCGTTGGTTTCCACCATTGGAGGCTGGTCGGTCGTAGTCCCCTGAGTTGGATCCCTCATCGCCCTGCAGATGATCACCATCGCCAAGCGATCGCAGTCGCAGTCGCTCGCAGTCGGGGTCGCAGTCCGCCGGAGCCGCATCAGCCATATGCCTCACGTCACCACCTCACGTGCTTCGACGACAGGTAAATAAGCAGCGACATCCTCGGGCTTTATAGAATACATCGGATTTCCGAACACGAGAATGCCAAAAACTGCCACAACCGGTGCCACCCAACGACCGGTCGGTTCTCTGCATGTCGCTGACTCTCTTCCCCTCCTCTCGCGACACCGAAAGATACCCCCGACTACGCCCAGTGACCTGCCTGCCAAGTTGCCAAGCGATTCGGTCTCTTGAGTAAGTCCGGCCTTACTAACGTTCGAACGACAAACGACCGAATTACTCGATAAGAGCCTCCACGGCAGCCACCCACCACGCCTCCAACCATCAGCACATATAACGACATCATCGTTCAATGACTCTCCGAGCCTAAAGCCGAGGCGAGCCTGGCTGGCCCTTGAACGTCCTCCACATTCGCCTTTTTTTAGGTTGGGTTTTAGAGTTGCTTCCTCCGACATGACAACCTACGCGTACTGATCCCGAGGCACGCGGCTGTTCAGATGATGGCGGCCAGCGAGCCCACTCATGACTTACCGCCGTACAGAGACACCCAAATTACGGTTGATCTCATCTTGTCCAATGCCTGCCGCAGGGTCCGGTTTCTGCGCAACGTGACGGGCCAACCTTATAGTCGCCTGTCTTGCCCTACGGAGTACAGGTTCACTATGCCATTGCCAATTGCGCGCATGACATGGGCCGGAGTCCTTGAACATGGCAGCGAAGCAAGGCAAGGCATGGCTCATGCAGACCTTGCCTATGGAAGATGAGATATTATTTCCTTTCCAGTAGTTCCATCTGGTGGCCCTTGATCGTCCCTGAGATGGGGCGCTGCGCTGAATAGCAGGTCGCAACAACGTCGAATCTTTTGAGGCGAAGCGCATCAGGTTCAGCATCAGCCGCCGCCATCGTCACAAACATGAAATGGGAACAGACATCGGTTGGCCCTTCGAGGTTCCATCCTCAGCCAAGCCGCGTTTCTCGAGAACAAACAGAATTGCAAATCGTGTTGCAAGGCCATCACGTCTCTGACACCTCAAACCCAGTCAACTGAGAGCACATTACTCTGCGGTGTGGTGTGTGGGCAGGGCATGCCCATGTTGGAGGCGTTCATAGTTTGTCATCCTTCTTGGCTGCGGCGCAAACATGCAGCTGCACAGCTTGACACTGTCGTGCTCTCCCTCTACTAAGTATCGCTTTCTCGGTGGCTGCGGCTCAGAGTTCTGCCTTCAGTCAGTCAGTCATCGGCAGACTCAGCAACTGCACTTCAAAGTCAGCAGCCACCTCATATTTCGCATGCCTATTCGTTCTATCATTCGCACGCCCACGAGGCCCCATGCATGTCGCTGCCCGGGCGCATGTGCCGCTCGGAACATTTGGCCGGCTCGGAAGGGCGAAGTGACTGGGATTCCGCCGCACAGCGCTGTCTCAGAATGTTCAGTGGACCGTTTCAGGGCCTGTCAGCCTGTCCACTTGGGGACGTCGACCAGAGAGGGACACACACAGGACCTCCCCACCCGGCCTGGCCGCGGCCTCCAACTAGGCGTTGCCATTGCATCCATGTTGGATGATGTGGATGATGGATTTGCATCTCTGCTGCAGCAGCACCATCAACCGCCCGCGAACTTGGAGAGACCCAGACGCCTCTGGCCACCATCGACCGATTGGGTCTCGCTGCCCCTGGTGCCGTCTCCGAAGGGACCCTCACCCAGGGCTACGACGACGCTGCTTCCAAACGTTCCAAACGATGGCCGAAGAGGCCGTTTATCCGGGCCCTGCGTCAGCAGACTGTCAGTGAGTTGCCGAGTTGCCTGTACCTTTCATATCGCCTCTCCTGAAGCTCCCTGTCCAAGACAAAAGGCCATTCAAGGGGTTTCTTCTCAGGAGACGACGGTCGCCGCAAGATGATGAGAACGGGACTCGATGATGGGGACACGGCTCAAAGGGAGGGCTCAACTCGTGAACTCAGGAGGAGCCCACCAACCTGGACGGTAGCTTGACACAAGTCGTGCTGCTCCAAGCGCCTGTCACCTGGCTTGCCTGTATGGTGCTGGCAATCGAGTGGCTGCATGGCATGGCTGGCAGGTTGCGAGAACGACGATGCTTCCCAGAGGCTGTGCTGTGCCTGGCGTGACCTGGGAACAGAGCCCCGAGTTCCCGCAAACACTGACAGTTTTGGCTTTCATGTTCAGCAGCGACGCTCGTTTCCTTTTCGTCCGATTCATGAATACCACTCAAATATTTGGTAGTCGGGACCTAAAAATGTTCGGTATTCCCCTTCCGCAACACCAAAAGCTTAGCACGCCAAGCGTATGGGGGCGTGGATAGATCGCCCTTGGCGACCCAGGCGCGCAAGTCTTGGCTTTCGCCCTCCATCGCTGTTTGCCCATGCCCAGCCAAACCCAGCCAGGCACCATGAGGCTTTCGTTAGCGGCGGGAGAGCAACCATGGGGATCGCTGAAACGCCAAGCGGAAACAACTGGGAAGGCTGTAATTGAACCAACCGACCATCTCAGTCAAGAAGGCCAATGACGAGATTAATCCGGGATACCGTCTGGATGGGAATCTTCCGTCGTACGCGCCCATCTGTCGCCGCTCTCCCGCGCTCGATCCCCTTCCCCTGCTGCGACTGGAAACTGACGTACAGTGTGTCCACCCCCGTCGCAGAAAACTGCCTCTACTCTCTCATTTGCCTTTTCGTTTCCAACCGCCAAGGGAACTTGGCTGGACTGCCTTTCCAGTCGCAGTCGCATCGACAAGTGGAAACCCGGTTCGTCCTCGCCAGCAGGAGGGATGCCCGTTCCAATACGCAGCGCCAAGAATAGCATCAATACCGCTTTTTCTCCCCTACCTCCCTCCTTCTGCGTTCCTCGTCGGATATCCGCCGCCGTCCGCCTTTGTCAGTGTTTTATCTGAAGAAAAGAAAAGCAGCCCAAAGTCGACTTAAGCACCTGCAAGGCAGGCATCCAGCATCCATCCAATTCGACATCTCAGTCAATTAATTGGAATAAAGCCTGTGGAGACCCTCGTGGGACACATCTATCTGTTACGTCGTCTAAATGCTTAGCCTCGCTTACTTGGACTAAGGTCAAGGTCAGGCTTCTGGATCCCTTGATCCAGAACAACAACAACAACACCAGCGACTCTGCTCGGCTCACCGACGCCGCTCGGTGGAGAACACGGGGTCAGGAACTTGTCTGGCCATCTGCAGCAGGACTGGAGAAAATGCAACGGCCCGGCTAGCAGATCCCGAGTGCTTGATTTCTCCTAAGCCACGGCGCTTGTGATCTCTCGAGCAGCACGCTAGCCTACTTGCCCACCCCTACGCAATCAATCTAGCATTGCAAGGCTTAGGTTAGGTCTAACAACGGCGCTGGCTCCGAGGATTTGATGTTGACAGGCGCCTCGCTTTCGTCTTACCGTCGCTCTTTTCCCCGGCGCCCATCTAATCCGCGGTGTTGCCTTCCTCCTACCTTCACCGGAGATGAGTACAGAGGAAGAGGGGCCGGGATCACGTCGCCAAGCCAATCTGCCAAAGCATCAACGCTTAATTGGTTCGAACTGAGCTAAATGAGACCTCAACTGACAAACGGCCTCCACGGTCTCGCAGACTTTAACATCCGAAGCACCAACATTCCTTGGCAACTCAGACCTTCCAACGGTTCACAACCAAAGAGAAAGCGAGCGCAAGTACAACCGCGTCGTGTTAGTGAGTAGGAAGACGCATGCCTAGAGGCAAACCACACACACACACACACACACCTACACACGTCCCTTCTCCCTCTCCTCCCTGCCTTCTCATACACACCCACGCACACCCTCAACCCACAGCCCCTGCGCTAGTCTCCCGGCACCGATCGACCGGTATCCCTGTTCTGGATCACAGCTTGGCTCACTGTGGGGTAAGGGGACTCCCCTGCTTGCAACCGATCTACTCCTCGACGTATTCGCAGAATTCCAAACATGCTGCCAGATCCACCCCGTTGCCGCAACTCGTGTCTTGGATCCCGACTGGCGGGAGGGACTTCGACCACCGCTGTCTCTGAGATCCTGATCCCAAGCAGACACACACACGCGCGCACGCCCCTTTCGCCTCTTCTCTCTCTGCGTGTGTTCCTCGCCCCTCCTCCAGTCAGGCCCTCGCAGTAGTTCGACCGGTCCAACGCCAGATCCGTTTCCTCCCAGGGCTTGCCCGGCCTGACATGGACGCGCACGCCCTTGTCGACCGGGACAATCTGTGACCAGGGCATCACAACTTGAGACTTGGCCCGCCTGGAGGCTCCAAGCAACGAGCGCACGACGTCGTCGTCCCATTTTTGCAACATGTATAATCCTCGCAACCCATGCCACCCAGTGGCCATCTCTTGAGTTTCCTACTTTGAACATTAACTCGGCCTTTCCACCTCTTCTTTTTCTCTTCTTTGCCTCCGTCCTGGGTCACTCTTCTCTTCTTGGCCACTGCCGTCACCAGTTCCATTCATTCGCGAACTCTTAATTTCTCTTTACTCTTGAGGGCTCCTGGTGATAGCCCCTCGTCCTTCCTTGACAACCGCGAGCCGCCTGGTGTGGCCTGTTTCTTCCCTTTTTCTTATACTCCCCCAAGTTTGTAAAGAGTTGTGTCCTGGTGACGGACGATAGACAAGAGACATCATGGAGCCATCTGTATTGCGGACGTTGGTCCTTTTCTTCGGCTTCCTCGCCCTGGCCGACGCCTCCCCGGTCGACAAGCGCAGCACTCTCCAGAAGCGCGGTTCTTTCCTCGTCCCCCGAGTCCCCAACGAGAACTTCCAAGGCCACAATGGACCGAGACAACTAATCAAGGCCTACCGAAAGTACAGCATGCCCATCCCCCAGGGCCTCCTCGACGCCATGGACGCCATGGATGCTCAGGCCGCCGCCAACCCTGCACCGGCAGCCCCCGTCAAGGCGGAAGGCTTCAAGTCTCTCGCCGCCGGCGCGAGCAACCAGACGGCCGCCGCTGGCCAGCCAGGAACCGGTCTCACCACCGCCACACCGATCCGCAACGACGTCGAGTACGTTTCGCCCATCAAGATCGGCGGCCAGGAGGTCAACGTCGACTTCGACTCCGGCTCTTCTGACCTGTGGGTCTTCACATCCATGCTTGATGCCGCCTCCCAACAGGGTCACCAGCTGTACGACCCTTCCAAGAGTACCGGTGGTGCCACCATGATCCAGGGCAGCTCATTCAGCATCCGCTACGGTGACGGCTCCGGTGCCCAGGGTGTCGTCGGTACTGACCGCGTCGAGATCGGTGGCGCTGTTGTCGAGAAGCAGGCCATCGAGATGGCCACCGCCGTCTCCCAGCAGTTCGTCCGTGATACCGCCAACAACGGTCTCATGGGTCTCGCCTTTTCCAAGCTGAACACCGTCAAGCCTGACAAGCAGAAGACCTTCTTCGACAACGTCATGCCCAGTCTCGCTGAGCCTGTCTTCACTGCCGACCTCCGCAAGAAGGCCGTCGGTGCCTACGAGTTCGGCCGCATTGACAATACCAAGTTCACCGGCCAGATGACCTGGATCCCCGTCAACACCACCAGCGGTTTCTGGCAATTCCCCTCCGAGAAGTTCGCCGTCGGTGGTGGTGCCGTCCAGCAGGGTACCGCTGGTGCTCAGGCCATTGCCGACACCGGAACGACCCTCATCTTGGCCAACCCTCCCATGGTCCAGGCCTACTACTCCCAAGTCCAGGGCGCCCAGAACGACCAGACTGTCGGTGGTGTCACCTTCCCTTGCAACGCTCAGCTTCCCGACCTCATGATGGATATCGGTGGTGTCTACATGGCCCGTGTCAAGGGTAGCGACATCAACTTTGCTCAGGTCGATGCTCAAAGTAAGTTCTCCAAATTTCGTGCCCTCTCCGTCTTCGCATAATACTAACCTCGATCCTTCACAGCTTGCTTCGGTGGACTCCAGGCAACCACTTCCAAGCTCCAGATCTACGGAGACATCATGTTCAAGTCGCAGTTCGTCGCCTTCAACGGTGGCAACATGTCTCTGGGCATGGCGGAGCACATTGTCAACAGCCAACAAGCGGCACCCGCAGCTGGCGCAGCGGCGTAAGCACCTGCCACCGAAAGACATAACACGAGCGAAACCTATCCTCTACCACATCTTCATTTCTCTTTCTCTTTCAAGGCATAAGGATTCACTAGTGATTTCTCCAGGGACATCAACACAAACAACGCCGGCTCGACGACGATGACGTCCGGGAGTGAGCGGAGGGTGGCTGCTACGGGGGGCTTAATAGTCGCTCTCCATGCCATGTTAATCGCAGTGGTCATGAGCGTCTGAGACGACAGCCGAGAAACACTTTTTTTTTTTTTAGCAAATGACAAAAAGACGATGGTGAATCCCCCATTTTTTGTTTAGCTTAGATGTTCTGAGCTTGTCTAGCCGGCATAGTAAATCAATGGCACCGTGATGAAAATCAGACGTCTTGTCTTCTAAATTTTGCCCCCTACAATTGGGTATTCGTGACTATGATCAAGACGGTGTCTATCCGGTTTTGGGCCTGTATTCTTGGTTCCCGACACGCCTGCATAGCTCTTTCAATATGTGACCTGCCCACTCAAAGTCTTCCTCGTCGAGGTAGACTTGCGCGCTTAACCGCATGTACCACCGTCCATTGTGCCAAAATAGAGCGACGAAAGTCTGGTACTCCTGCACCAAAGTCTCGACCATCCAGTCGACAATGGGATAAGCCAGACCTTCCGGCACCGTAACCGTGCCGTCCGGCCCGGTCGAAGGGGTCTCGGCATGCTCACTCATCACCATCGGCAGCGCCACGTTGACCAAGCTGCACTTTGTCATCGTGCCCGCCTTGTTTTCCATGATGAACGTGCCGAGAACAGCAGCGGCCCTTTCGCCCCCGGCCCTGGCCAGCGTCCACGTGTACTCGATAATCTTGTCCTCTCCGCCGATGCTCTTCCTCCACTCGATGGCATCCTTGACGCACAGATACGGGCTGTTGTCGAGGGTGCCCACGTACCCAAAGTTGGCGACGAAGTGCGACTCGGCGCTCGCGGGCAGCGGGTTGAACCGCGGGGCGCCGGAGCGCGGGACGTAGCCGTGGGACGTCGGCACCGTCGAGGCCATAAGGTGCTGGTTGCGCTCCGGCACGTAGAAGACGGCGCTCCCGCGCGGGGCGTGCAGCCACTTGTGGCAGTTTGTGAAGAAGTAGTCCGGGTCGAGGGCCGTCAGGTCGATCGGGATCATGCCGATTCCCTGGGCGCCGTCGACGAGGCTGGTCACGCCCAGCTCGCGGCACGCTGCCGTCATGGCTTCGAAGGGGAAGCGAACGCCCGGGAGGCTGGAGACGACGTCGAACACGCAGAGGCGGGGGCGCTTGCCCGCTGCCTTGCTCGCGGCGACGGCGGCCCGGAATTGGGCGATGATCTCCTCGTCTTCGAGGGGGTACGTCAGGGTGATGCCGCGGTGGGAGATGAGGCCGTTGCGGGTGTCGACGATGTAGTCGATGGTCTTGCCGCAGGCGCCGTAGATTGTGTTGAAGTACAGAATCTCATCGCGGGCGTCGGGGTTCCAGGCGAGGTTGCGGAGGACGGTGTTGATGCCGACCGTGGCGTTGGGGACGAATACGACCGTTGAGAGGGGTGCGTTGAGGAGGTCCGCAGCGGCTTGGCGGGATTCTTTGAGGTGTTCGTTGTAGGTGAACCGGATGAAGGGGTCAGGACGCGCCTCTGTCTGGTCTTGGTAGGATCGGAGAGCGTCTCGGATATGCCGTGGAATCCCACCGTATGATGCTGAGTGAAGTTAGTTGATGATCTTGCCGATGCAGGTCCGAGTAAGTGAGGGGGTGTTGCATGTGGTCTCACCGTGGTTGAGGTTGCGATAGGAGGGATCAATGAGAAATTCTTTGAGGAAGGGCTTTCCAAACGTCGTAGACGCCTGGATTTCGTCTGAATCTAAGATGTATTCACCCATGGTTGCCTTATCGTGCTGTAATTGAGGATGAAGTTGAGTGAGAGACATGTCAAGCTGCTAGCATCTGTCCAATGCCGATAAGATTCTGATGGAATCGGTGCTCAATGTAACGCCCCGAACACTCAAGCTTTTCACAAGTACTTCCAGACAACAAGTAATATAGGTAATTTCATATTATATCGAATGTCTTTATTTTATTGACTCATTCTTGGTGACTCTTCTGTTGAAGGCGCCCTCGGTTGTTATTAGCCGTAGATGAAATGAGCGGACAGCGGACAACGATGGCCCGCTGGAGTTCAGTGGGGATGTTTGTAGTTCAAGGGCGCGCCCGTGTTCTCTGAGCAATTGACATCAACGTTTGATGAATAAGATGGGAGGTCTGGTGTATGCTGATACCTCATTAATAAAATAAAATGGAGCAAAAGAAATCATTTTGTTCTCTGATCTTTGTGTTCTTGAGCAGGCAAATCTATGAGCCTATTTACTTTGCAACGGTCAGTTTCCTAGCTCTCGATGGAAGTGGGTCACCTGGGCTGTGGCGGGTCTTAGTCTCCGCATTCGCATAAGTTTGCAACGAAGATCGTGGCGGACATAGCTCAGTTGGGAGAGCGTCAGACTGAAGTCAACTTCAATCATTTAATCTGAAGGTCGTGTGTTCAATCCACACTGGCCGCATCTTCAATTTTTGGTGTTTCAATCAGATGCCTTCAACTTGTCCTTTATCTTTTACGACTTGGGATGTTGTGAGTTTTTCTTGCTTCTGAACAAGTAGCATGGTGTATTAACTACCTGATGTAAGAGTCTTCTTGGTCATGCTACTAGGTCCTGAGGAACAGTAGGTCCTTCATTTCAGCAAATCAGTTCAGAGCAAGCAGCCTTTCCAGCAGTAACTAAACTCGTAGGAATCCATCTTTGGAATATGCTACTGGCTCAAGCTGCCGAGAGTTTTCAAGCTACGAAATGACTCTTCCCTAAGTAGAGCAAGTCCCCGTCTCACAAAGACATTTCTTCCCAGAACTGGTGCACTCTGCGCCCTTAGTCCACTTCTTATTTTCGCTACAATACATCTAACATTTGAAAGGTCACACGTTAATGACGACATCTAATATCTCAAATTGCAGTGAAGGGTAAAGTATGCTCTGGGTCACCTACCATATGGCCTCCATTGAACTCGCAAGCGATTTGACCGACTTGAGTGCAGCTTGCGCCATTCGGAACGCCGCACTGGGCCACAGCAGTGGCAGCAAGCCATGCAAAGGGGAGTACCGTAATCTTCATCTTGAAAATTGTCCGTCAAGTTGATTGATACAGAGTGGGTAATGAAACAAGAGGTTGATGAGTCTGGAAGATACCCTCGGGGATTTCAAGGGGGAGGGAGACTGGGGTTTTATACTTGATCAGGCTGAGCCGCGTCTCCCCTTGAAAAGCGTGAGGAGGGGAATTGACTATAGAATCATTTGTAATAAGGCTTCCTTCCATGATACGTAGCTGGTGGACTGATTCGACTTTGTACAACCTCACAAGACTTCGACTTTTTGGCCGTAAGATGGTGTGCAGAGACTACTGGTAGCATGAAAATCCTTATAATACTACCACACCAAGGCCATTAGAGGCAAAGTCGGTACAGTTGCACATTGGTTGATCTTCATCGTATTGCTCTGACCCTATAAATCAAATCACAATTCGACTAGGTGCTACTTGCATTCGCAACCACATGAGGTTGTGCTACAGTGACCGCGTAATATTGGAGGACGTCAGCGGCACCACGAGGCTCTGGGTCTCACAAAGCTTACCTTAGGTAAGAGGTCAATTCCAAAGAGGAAGGTCAGATGCTCACAGGAAGATGTGCACTTTAGCGAGAATCCTGAGTCTACACTAATATGTTCCCGTATCATTTATAGAGAGCCTCCGAAGCGGCGAATGCAACACTCCGAAACTCGTGACTCTAGCCCTTCTCTCTAGTTTGGGTGTTTGTCCCTTCTGGCTTTTATGTCTGTCCACGCTATTCCTAAATTGAGGTGGACGTAATTCTATCAGACTCTAGATAGGCTTTACAAGTCAGCAATCATTATAAGAGGAAATAAGAATACTACTTGAGAAGCCCGAATTCATCGATATGACTGCGCAATGAAACAACGGCGTCCGAAGCACTGCCTTCGTGAGTGTGGTAGGGGATATGGAAGATAAGAATTTGCTACTCGGGGAAATAGTGTTCACATGCGACGACAAAGAGAACAATAGGAGTGACGACAGGATGGATACTGTTCAAGACGTAGGAGACAGTGACATAGTTGAGACGGCAATGTGAATATGAGGAGCGACGAGGTTAACCAAGTCGCGACAAAGCCAAAGTGCCAGTAATTCGTTATCAAGGAGTTAGGGGTAGTCAGTTTTAGACTACAGCATCCAGAAAATAGGCGTTGACAAGGCCATTCATGAATAGTAAACACTCCGACGTTCGTGACTAAGTTTCCCCTTTCAGACTCTCATGAACCCTCAGGCGGAAGTCAACACCCGGCATCGGAATTTCGTGCCATGGAAGGGAGCCAATTGCCACCACACCGCCGGAACCAAGTAATCGGCACCCTGATGCGGGGTGTGGTGGTGCGGCGGCCCGGCGTTTAATATATGTTTAAGTTGGCAACGTCATTTAACATGCTCCGAGCATGCAATTCACCCGCGGCGACGCGGATTGGACATGTCCTGCAAAGGACCGCCCGATGTTTAACCATAAATGCGGCAGACGGCATGCTGGGGGCCATTCATTCGCGGGAATATATTAACTTCCCCTCACATTGAATTGGGTTATTCTCCAAAAATTTCCCCATGTCCCAAGAGATTTTGAATGCAACCCAAGCTCTCTACCGTCAACGTCACATGGGCGAGAACGATCCAACCACCAGGCACAGAGCCGATCTCATACCCCATTCCGCATCGGAGGGGGCATCTGCCGCATGACATGGATACCCTCCCCAGCGCGGGGACGAACTCTCACAACAGACGAACAGTAATCAGCAATTGGATGCCGCAGCAAATACCAAGCCCAGCGAATGCTACTACCGACATGCCCGTCATTAGCAGACCGCCGACGTGTCGCCTCACAATAGAGTGCGCCAAGATGGACGGAGCAAGGGTCGACAGGTGCGTTTTCCTGCCTGCTGAACCAGAGTCGTCCTCGCCGCGGGTCATGAGATCATAAGACAACTGCAATTCCCGTCTCTGCCGGATGGACGGCCAGTCTCCGCCCTCGGCATCTTGGCTGGACTGTCAGCGGGGTTCGAACAAATTGGACACGGCGGATCGTCCTTGCAGCACGCGGGGGAAGGCCTCATTTTCATAGAGTGCTCTCAAGGTTCGACGGCGAGTATAAGTGTTCTCTTCCCACGCGGAGGGCCCCCCAATTGATCTGACCACCTTGAGAGAGAGTCAGTCCTGCAACTTGCAACTTGCACACACACACACACCACCCGCCATGCACTTCTCCAAGCTAGCAGCTCTAGCTGCGGCAACGGGCCTCGCCAGCGCGCAGGAAGCCGGGCCACGGCGCTCCCCCGAGTGGGAAGCAGCCTACGCCAAAGCGGAAGCGGCCCTCCCGCGCCTCTCACAGAGCGAAAAGATCGGTATCGTCTCGGGCGTCGGCTGGGGCAACGGGCCCTGCGTGGGCAACACCAGCCCGGCGTCGTCCATCAACTACCCGCAGCTCTGCCTGCAGGACGGTCCACTCGGCGTGCGCTATGCCGAGAGCGTCACGGCCTTCACTCCAGGGATCCAGGCCGCGTCGACATGGGACGTCGAGCTCATCCGGCAGCGCGGCGCGTACAAGGCGGCCGAGGCGAGGGGCGTCGGCGTGCACGTCATGCTCGGCCCCGCGTGCGGCGCGCTCGGCAAGATCCCCGCCGCGGGACGCAACTGGGAAGGCTTCGGGCCGGACCCGTACCTCATGGGCGTCGCGACGCACGCGACCATCGAGGGGATGCAGTCAGCGGGCGTGCAGGCGACGGCGAAGCACTACATTGTCAACGAGCAGGAGGTCAGCCGAGAGACGATCAGCAGCAACGTCGACGACCGGACGATGCACGAGCTGTACCTGTGGCCGTTCGCCGAGGCCGTCAAGGCCAACGTCGCGTCCGTCATGTGCTCGTACAACAAGGTCAACGGGACGTGGGCGTGCGAGAACGACGCCGTCATGAACAAGCTGCTCAAGCAGGAGCTCGGGTTCCCTGGGTACGTCATGACGGACTGGGCCGCGTCCACGGGCACGGCCAGCGGCGCGAACAGCGGGCTCGACATGATGATGCCCGGCAGCGACTTCAACGGCGGCACGGTGCTCTGGGGCCCCCAGCTGCAGAGCGCCGTCGACAACGGCCAGGTCGCACAGTCGAGGGTGGATGACGCTGTCCGCCGCATCCTCGCGGCGTGGTACCTCCTCGGCCAGGACCAGGGATACCCGGCCGTCAACTTCGCGGCCAACGTCCAGGGAAACCACAAGGAGAACGTGCGCGCGGTCGCCCGAGACGGCATCGTACTGCTCAAGAACGACGGCGCGGTGCTGCCCCTGAAAACGCCGGGCAAGATCGCCGTCATCGGGTCCTCGTCCGTCAACAACCCGCAGGGCATCAACGCGTGCGTTGACCGCGGCTGCAACGTCGGGTCGCTGGGGATGGGCTGGGGCTCCGGGACGGTTGAGTACCCGTACGTCGTGGCGCCGCTCGACGCCATCAAGGAGAGGGCGGCGCAGGACGGCACGGAGGTTGCCGCCAGCAGCACTGACGACGCGACCCAGGGCGCCGCCGCGGCCGGCGGAGCGGACGCCGCGTTCGTATTCATCACGTCCGACTCGGGCGAGGGGTACATCACCGTCGACGGGAACCAGGGCGACCGCAACAACCTCGACCCATGGCACAACGGCAACGAGCTCGTCCGCGCCGTGGCTGCCGCGAACCAGAACGTGGTGGTCGTGGTGCACAGCACCGGGCCCATCATCCTCGAGAGCATTCTGGCGCAGCCCGGCGTCAAGGCCGTCGTGTGGGCGGGTCTGCCGTCGCAGGAGAACGGCAACGCCCTCGTGGACATCCTCTGGGGCGCCACGAACCCCAACGGAAAGCTGCCCTACACCATTGGCAAGGCGGCAGGCGACTACGGCACTGCCGTGTCGAGGGGAAGCGAGGACAACTTCTCCGAGGGTCTGTACATTGACTACCGCCACTTTGACCAGGCCAACATTGAGCCGCGATTTGAGTTTGGCTTCGGACTATGTAAGTCGAGGCGCATCCCACTTGAGAGGATTGAGAGCATCACTGACATGGGGAACAGCTTACACGAACTACACGTACTCTGGCATCAGCGTCACCTCGACAGCCTCGTCCGGGCCTGCGGTGGGCGACGTCGTCCCCGGCGGGCGCGCCGACCTCTTCGAAGAGGTGGCCACCGTGACGGCGACGGTGACGAACAGCGGAGCCGTGGACGGAGCCGAGGTTGCGCAGCTCTACGTGACACTGCCGTCCGGCGCGCCGGCGGCACCGCCGAAGCAGCTGCGCGGGTTCCAGAAGCTGAAGCTCGCGGCAGGCGAGTCCGGCACGGCGACGTTCATCCTCCGGCGCAAGGACCTGAGCTACTGGGACACGCGGAGCCAGAACTGGATCGTGCCGGCCGGGACGTTTGGCGTCAAGGTCGCGGCGTCGAGCAGAGACATCCGGCTGGAGGACACCTTGGTTGTGTCGTAGTCTGGAGACTGGAAAACAGTTTTGATAGAAAACAAGCAAAAATAGGCACGGAAAAGTTGAGATTGCAATGTTGCAATTCTCCGTATCACGAATGCAATAAAATCATGGCATTATGAGATGGTGACCGTTCCCTTTGCTGCGAGACCCAAGGAAATGCTCCGCGCGTCGGACCGAATGGCACGGTGGTGAACTTGGCGGAGGACGCGATCTGCCAGGACGATTTCTGGGCACCGAGGCCGTGATTCCGGACGTGGAGTTTGGGCTTCGGGAATGTGGGCGATGGCGTTCCCGTCCCGGCGCGGCGGCGGCGGAGTGTGGCGGGATCCCCAGCAAATGCGACCATGTTCCCTGCTTTCTTCTTTGGCAGGAAATCCATCTTCATATCCGAGCAACCTAAAAATTGTTTCAATGGGTTTCTGGAAGAAAGCGGGGACGGCTCATTTGAAAGATCGGACCAGCCTCATGCTGGTCATGACTTATGATGCCGGTAAGCATATCGCGAATGGGACTGCCGTGGCCGTCTTGGCGGGTTGGGCCGTGGAGAAGCGAGGGCGTAGGGCACCGTGGTTCGTTTGTGTCCCTGATGTATTGGACATTGCGTTCATGTTTGCGACAGCGGTGGCTTGGATGCGTCTGAGTTGAGGCCGTGAAAGCTGGGATGAAAGGCTAGAGACGGGCGGAATCGGCAGATGCGAGCCGGGTGTGGGTGATGACGATCAGATCAGGGCACCGCGCGAATTGGTGCCCCTTGAAGGTTGAGACCGAGCCTCATTGTGTGACGACATTTTCAGGCGGGTTGGGGTTGGTTGTCGCTGCGCTTCATCAGCCTTGAATATGGATCCCAGTGACGATGATGTTGATTGTTGATGTTCGCAGAAAGACGGCAAGCGACACGCAAGCCGTGGCAGTCCCGGTGGATTACTCCGTAGAAACCACCTAATGCCACCGTTAGTAGGCCGGACTCGCCGATTACCTTCACTAACTGTAACGCCGATGCCGCCGACGCTGGAGCGGTGGGGTCGACCAGGGTGGGGCTTAGCGCACCGCCTCCCCCGAACGCTCCCCAAGCCTCACCACCCGTTGAGGAAATCGAATCTCGCATTCCCCCCGCCGAGTTCGCCCAACGCCCATTCATCACCCTAGCACTTCTTCAAAAGCACTGCTGCAGCTGCGGCAGCGGGCAGCCACAGCGGCCGAGGGGGGGGGGGGGGGGGGGGCCATCTCCCGCCCCTGGCTCCCCTGTTGTCTCTCTTGTCTCTGCCTTACGAGGTCCAACTTGCAAGGTGAATGGACGGGGGAGGATGGTTGGACGGGTGCTCTGTCGCTGTCAACTGCACGAACCTCTAGCTGCCGTTTGGGGGGAGGAACAAACTGTGTAACCATGACGTGCAGCCAACACCACGCGCAAACAGGACGTCGTTGCAGACTCAGGACAGAGCCCTCGTGACTGCTCTACATTGGCCACTCGGTATCGTAACCGTCTCTTGTCTCGGTACTCGTGCTGCATGCTTCCCTTAACTCCAGGCGTTCCCGAGGAGACCTGCGAACTGCTAATACCAGAGCGTGACATCCAACTTAAGCGTACCAGCGCCTGTCCCGATGACAGTGTGGGGATGTGGTGCCGCCCCCGGTGAAGGGATGGACGTTGGTCCCCCAAAGACGACGGAACCTTGCTCCCTTGCAAGTTGTATGCCGCAGCGCAAGGGGGGGTACGCAAGACGCCGAGCCTCCGCCCCAGCGCCGCCCGGGATCCATCGTCCTCGAAGCTTTGCGTGCCCATCCGTGCAAGATTTGGCCTGCGCTGGGCTGATGGACATGCAATACTTAAGTTGATCGTTGCCCCTTACCTTAGTTTTGTTTCTATCTTTCTCGTTTCACAGCAACTTGCAACAAAACAACATACTCTATCGCAACCTTCACCTCGTCGAAACAACACGTACAACCTCAACCTCCACCCACTTACACCTTACACACTTACACCACACCGCACACACCCTACATGTCAGCCAACGACTACTACGGCGGCTCCCGCCGCAACAGCCACACCCCAGGCTCCCGCTCCTCAAAGACCTACCTCTCGACCCCTCTCGTAGACCAAGCAGGTTACTACCCCGAGCTCGACGTCCCCCTCGGCGAACGCCCCCGCTCCGCCATGGCCAACCGCTCCAAATTCGGCAACGGCTACCACTCCCGCTCCCGCAGCACCGGCGGCGGTCCTCCGGGCTCCGACGCCCAGCTCGGCACCGGCAAGGAGGGCGAGCGCGGCCTTCTCTCCACCATCGGAGGCGGAGCCGCCGGCGGGTTCGCGGGCAAGAAGCTCCTCGGCGGCGGCAAGCTGGGTACCGCCGCCGGTGCTCTCGGGGGTGCCGTCATCGCGAACAAGATCGAGCATCGCATCTCCGGAAGCCACCACCACAGCAGCAGCCATAGCAGCAGCCATCACCACTCTCACTCATACGGTGGCGGCCACCACTACGGCGCTCCCCCTCCTCCTCCCCCTCCGCCTCCTTACCACGCCCACCACCACCACCACCACCATCACGGCCCGCCGCCGCCCCCTCCTCCTCATTACGGCCCTCCCCACCACGGCCCCCATCACCACGGCGGCCCCCCACCGCATCACGGCGGCCACCAAAGCTCCGGTGGCTTCGGCGGGATGCTTGGCAATCTGATGCACAGGGGACACAATGAGCCTCCCCACCATGGCGGCCACCATGGCCAACACGGGGGTCATCACGGAGATGGTCACCACGGAGGTCACCATGGAGGTCACGGCTGGTGAGCGACAGCCCTCCATATAAGTGTTTCCATAATGACTGGCGTTTGGGATGGTTTGATTCATGAACTTGTATAACTATGATGGGATGAGAACGGTTTAAACCATATATACCTGTACGGATTTTGTTGTCAGTAGATCGAGAACAGCTTAGAATAAGGCTTGAATGCGTCATAAACGCCTGTAAAATCAGAATTTGGATATCAGTATATTTTCAGCTCGCTTGCACTGTGAAATTTGGTCGCCCCGTGTTCACGTGGACACGTTGATGAGATGCGAATGCAGCCGTAGCCATGCGATGCAATTAGATCCTAGATATAAAACTCCCCATACTGGCGCCGTGTCGGCGCATGACATGACATGCTATGCTCCCATATAAACTCACTCCTTGTGCGAGGGTGAGTAATGACGAAGAAAAATGCCTTGGTAACGAAGTAGCCTACCCCCATCCATGACTGCGCCCCCGTATGCAGCTATGTACTGTACGTATCCAAACGAAGAAAAGTCGTCATCATCATCCGCTCTAGACTGTTAACGAGGTGGCCTACACCATGACAGCTAGGGGTTCCATGCAATCGAAACAGCGGATGGTCGCCGGTAGACCAACAGAACACGAACATGAAAAGTACTCAGACACCGACCGCACCTTCTGGTCTGTTTCTTGACGGGATCTGGATCTCGCCCTCATCGTCATCCGAGCTATCGCCAGCCTGGGCAGCCTGGTCAATCATGCGCTCGATATCGGCGTCTGCTAGCCGCTGTCGCGGCCGGGAGGTACTGCCTAGTGCTGCGGGCAGTGACAGTTGTGGACGCAAGGTGCTGCCTGCAGAGAAGCTGGCGCTGCCATTGATCCGCCTCCTGATGGGGCCCCGAGACTGAGGAGAGTCCATGTCGACATCCATATCGCTTACTGTGGTCATGCCACTGGGGCTCTTTTCAAAACCTACGCGTTTTTGTTGCACCGGGCGTTGTGAAGGCAGGCTCTTGCGTGGTTGGGAGCCGGGTAATGCGTGGCGGCCGGGCAGGGCCGAGGCCACGGACTGTGAGTAGTTGTGCTTCATGTTGGCCGAGTTTCCGGGGCTGCTCATGAAGATGAGAGACTCGATGGCGTCCTGCTCTCTAACGTTTTGGTGGGGTGAGAAGAGAATAGGGTCGATGAGTGGTGTCCTTCCTAACCTCTGATTTGGCGTCGCGCCCAGGTTTTGCTGGCCCGGCGTGTGGGGTGACGCGCTGTGGGAGTGCGAGAGGAGGGTTGGAGTGTAGCGTGGATTTGAATTACGACGAGGATTTTGAGAAGCCATAGATCGCGCTGGTTGGATCGGTGCGGGAGGAGCAAGCGTTGGACCATTCTGGACAGGAGCTGGAGGCGAGGCCGAGGTGTGGTTGGATCTTTGCCCTTCTTTCCAGAAGGATTCATACGTAGCAGGACTTGGGCCAGAGCTTGCCGTCGTGGCGGCACTGGCAGGTGCGTAGCGGGCCATGTTGGCGCGAGGGCTGGCCGAGGACTCTTGACGGCCATGTAATGTGGAATTGCTCGAGGTGGGCGAGGCGGCCTGGGAGACCATGTACTCGACCTCGTCTATCGAGCGAGATTGCCAGCCATGGTTCACCTTGTGCATGGCGTATGTGAGACGCGTCTTCAGGTCGCTCGACCACTGCGAAGCGTTAGCTACATGAGGTTTCTGGGTGTATGTGATGCTGGGTGAACTTACATCGCCAATACTGCTGGCAGTCGTCGAGGCCGTGCTTACGGTGCTCGTGTTCCTGGAATGACCTATACGGACGGGAGAGGTGTCTTCCTTGACCATGCCGTCGGCCATGCGTTTCCGCGATGTTGCGGCAGCGTCATTTTCAAGCAGCTTGTCCTGGGCGGCGGCGATATGGGACAGCTGGAGCAGCTGGGATTCCTGGCTGGAATTATGGCCGTTGGTATTCGCGCCTGGCATATCACCTTGGCTCGCTGGCGGGGTAAACACGGTGTCGGACTCGGCGGACGGGTTTGAATCTTGCGAATGGGCGGAGGGGACCGGTCGGGGCCCAGGTTGATGGTCCTGGGAGGACGCGACGGAAGCAATTGGTGTCTTTGTTGCTGGCTGGACCTCTAGTGTGTGCGAGGTGTAGGGTGAGCGGGAGACGGGGATCTCTGGTTGTTGGTGTTGTGGGTGATTGCGGTGGATATGATTGTGGTTGTGGTGGTGGTTCGCAGTCGCGTCGCCCGAGGTTGATTTGGCGGCGTCGGTGGGAAGCGCGTCGGTCGACTTGGTCTGCAGGCGGGCAGTCTCTGGCAGTGCATGGCGAGCAGCTTTGTCTGGTAATGATCTCGCGTCGGACACGGCTGGGCCTGGGTGCATTTTGAAATGTTCTCGGTCGGAGTCGAGCAGGTGTCCCAGCCGGGGAGGGATCGAGGCAGAGTCCATGGCGGGCAGGGCAGACTGGACATGCGCCGCCGGATTATGTTGTGTCGTTACAATAATAGGCGTCGTCGGCAGACGCGACTGGAGCAGACGTGTCAGCGGCGGGTGGCAGCGCCGGTAATAGAAGCTAGAGACGGCAGCGAGGCCGGGGCGGACGTGTGAGAGCTGCACGAGACGGAGAGGTGCGGTAGATTGAGGAGGAAGAAGAGAGGAGACGGAGGCCGGGTGGTTGCGACGATGCGGATGTGCGATGTGTGGAAGTGTCGGTGGGCTGTGGTTGCATACGCGGACGACACTAAGCCGTGGGAGGTCGAAGCCAGTCACACACACACACACACACCAGTGACCACACACATACACTGCCCAGGTGCCTGTATTGCCGCCGCAGTGATAATTATCGCGGGTGGGAGTACAGAGTACCAGCTAACTAGTCAGTCACTCAGGGCACCCTCGCTTCAGTTATCAGCTGCCTAGACAGGTCGGTCCAGTGATGGTGGTACGGACTACGGAAGCGCGGGGGAGGCAATTGGGTAGGTAGGTTCGACAGGGGGGGAGAGCGGTTTACGCGGTCTGCACATTCACTCAAGGTGCTGTGTCGCGTTTTTCTGCCCACAGGCGTGCTTTGTGTCGCCTGTGTCTCTCGGCTTTCCATTCCATCTCAGCAAGGTACCTACATACCTAAGGCTAAGGTACGGTACAGCGGGGTCCCCACCTTGGGCCCCTGCCTTACAATGAACAATGGACGGCCAGCGTCTTCTTCTGGCAGCGACCGACGACCCCTAAAAAAACCGCACTTCGTCTCAATCTGCTAACGCTGTGTGGTTCGCTAAAGACCCCGCGGATAAGGTAGGAAAAAAAGGCGGGAGAGCCCCAACCACGTCAATCACTCTGCTGGGGGAATCCTCGGTCGGGGAGGGGCTCTCTTCATTTACTCGGTATCAACAACAAACATTCACTGATGAGGAGCAGGTGAGGCGACATACGCACGCCGGAAACACGCGGTAAGATGGACTCGGGAGGCTGATGTCAGAGGAAGAAATCTGACAGCCGCAGACCACCTTTGCTGCTGCGTAAGACAGATACCCGACACCTGTTGGTACCTCCCTAAACCAAAAAAGAAGGCAACAGAGGGGAAAAAAAAAAAAGTCGCATCTGCACTGCGGCCCTGCGACACGCCCGGCTGCCGCTCGGCCTGACTCAGCAGGTCAAAGACACGTGGTCACGTGAAGTACGTACTCCCCCATCACGAACATGTACCTCGGTACCTCGCCCTTCCCTTACTCGACGGGCCGCCTCTGCGCCCAACACTCGACCTTCAGGGCCCTCCTCACCGCTGCTGCCCACCAGTTTATGTACGACAACGACCATGTTTGCTTTTCCCGCCATCGACTGCTGTTCCTGGTCTCCAGAGTCGCCATGATTGGATCAACTCGCAAGAACCCCTGGATATCATTCGACCGGCCGTGCGTCTAGCCTCCTAGAATGAAGCCATCGCGAACTGCCCCGTGTTGCTGCCCAAGGCCTGCCTGCTTGCTGGTCATGTTGAGACCAATCCTTCCAGCACTGTCGTGCAAATCTGGGCAGGAACTGCACCCCGCTATCCGCACCCGCACCCGCACCCGCATGTCTCATGTCTTGTCTATTGTTCGTCTATCATTGACCCGCTACTCCTGATTTCCATGCAATCAACCGTCGCCACCCTCTGACAATGCCTTGTTCTGCGCCGTCATGACACGCTGAGGAATGTTGCCTCATGCCAGAATTAACAAGACGTCTCATCTATCAAACGTTCTGGTCCAACCGTCCATCCCTCTGCCCATCATTATTCGGTATCAAGCCACTACCAGCTTGCCCTCTCAGCCACAGGCGGGCTCATCAGCCGTGACAGCATGTCCGTGGGCACCTCCGTCTAGAATCACCGCTTCGTTGTCGTTGAAATCGTCCTGTACCCTCCTCCACTGTGTCTTTCTATCCTTCCGTCCCTCGAGCTGGCTGCCCTTGCCCTTGGCATCCCACACAGGTCTGATCAGCGCCCCGAGCAAAGGGTTGTGGCTGAATGCACCACCTCCTCCGCCTTGCCGCTGCCCGACCCCTGCATTCTCGTCCACATCCTCGTGGACAATAACGTCCTCTTCGTCCGGCGTCGTTGGCCGTTCCACCGCCGCCATCTTCCTCACCACCTTGCCCCTGACCACGTCAATACTGACGACTTGCCGGCGCTTCTCGTACTCCGGCCTGGCGTTCCATTCAATCTCGCGCAAAACCTTCTGTTGTCTCTTGAGCTCCCGAGCTCTCTCCTCCGGCGTCGACCAGATGTTGCCTCCTGCGCCGGCCATAGCCCCCGATACGTCAAAGTCTGCTGCCTCGTCTCTGACCGTCGTTCTCCGCGCATTCTGGGCCTGGAAGTTCAACAGCTTATCGCGGTGCTCCCGCGCCTTGGCTTCCGCCTCGGACATTTTGTTCTGGCTGAACGGCGCCGGCTTCTTGCTGACTTCAGGACGCTTGTGAGCCTCGCGGTCCGCCGCCATACGCTCCCGACCTCTCTCGGCCTTGAGCTCCTTGATCATCCCTTGCACATCCTCTGACGACAAGAGAGGCGCCCCGCAGTAGGTGCATGGCCCTAGCCCTTCCTTGACGCAAATCACCTTGCCGCAGGACAGGCAGTTGGGGGCGGCAGTCTGGAGCGGATGTCTGGTAGCGACACAGTTGCACCTCCTGGCTTTCGGGTCATCACCCAGGGAAGGATTTGTTGTGATTTCCAGAGAGCGAATTGCTGCGTCCAGGTCGTTGAGGGCTGTCGACGCGCCGGCCATGGGGGTCCCGCCAGCAATCGAGATCTTTGTTGTGGTTTGTTTCGTCGACGGCTTCGGTGTCGAAGATCGCGATACGGGGTTTGACTTTGGCTTCGCTTTGACGTCAGATATCAGGTATCCTCCGGCAGTCCTTTGCTGTTGTGGAGGCGGAGTTGCGCTCTTCTGCGGTTGTTGCTTGAAGCTTGCTGATGCGCTGCCGCTCCCTTCCCCAGCTTGGTTGGGCTTCTTGCCGCCGTAGTAATCTTCCTCTGAATCCTTCTTCGTGTAGCTAGTGCCGGCGAGCGGTGGGAAAGCCTCAACCTTTCTTGCGACTGGCGTGTGGATGTTCGGCTGCTTCTTCTTCTTCTTCGGTCCAGACGTCCTTGGCGCTGGTTCGGCAGGGCCAGAGCTGTTCGATGCGGCCGCGGGTGGTGATTCTTTCTTCGTGTCTTTTCGCCTAGAATTGAACGAGGAAATGAACTCGACAGCTTGCGGTGAGTCGCCCAGCAGGTCGTTGAAATGCGCCGCGGCCTCGGCCTTGGATAAGGTGGACGCGTAGTCGAGCATCTGCTTCAGCTCATCCTCCGGCAGAGGCAAAAGCCGGGAGAGCTGGGCTATCGACATTTCGGCGGTCGTAATTGTGTCGCGGCGGCCGTCGAGGTGATGTGTCGGGGAGGTGATGTCTGTCGCAGCAATCAAAGTGGTGATGAAATGAAAGAGACCCCAGGGAGCTGGGTCTGACTGGCGGGGCTTTTTTCTGGTTCGGATGCTCCTGGAGCTAGTGTAGCGCCACAGCTCCCCCGCGATGACAGCAGCACAAGTCTGGTGGGGTCACCACCACTGTGGCTAGCCCACCCCGCCAAAGCTTCGCCGAATGACTCTTCGGCGTGTCATTGCTGGTTCTGCTGTCTCATTTTCAACTTGCTGGCGGCGGGCTTCCATTGGTTATGGGCAGGAAAAACACAGAAAATTGATGTAATAGGTTGCTTGAAGCCTCACTTACTCCTGCATAGCAACAATATTTAGAGCACGCCAGGCTGCCAGCACTATTTACCTCATCGGGCGAGATAAGCTCTGCAATTGGACCTGCCAGCCACAGCTTTCACAGGCGAAGTAGGTTGCGTCGTCTGAACTCGCGAGCAGATCGACAGCCCAATTCAAACTTGGGGACCAGCTAGGAAAAGTGGTCGCTCTAGTAGAGAAACAATTGGAAACTACCCGCGATGACACCGCGCACGACTCACAAAGTCTGTCTGCGATGTAGATTCCGTCTTTCGCTTACCAGTTCAGGATTGTACCCCAATGGCTTGGCCATTGGACATGAGACCATGGTCTCTCGCATTCACGGCGTATGGCGAGTCGTAACTCATGTCGGTGGACGTTTGATGTGCTACTGCTGTATGCCGGGGAATGCTGTGTACCGGGAGGTGCCAGTCGGAGACGGACGGAACCCCGGATGCAAGGGGCGGCCCGAGAGACGGGCCATGAGGTCATGGACACGGCGCCGGTAGCGGAGATTCACACAATCTCTTGGAGAAGGGGCATTTAAGTGTCTTCTTGCAGGTAGCATACGCGGGTGAGACATTGGCTAAATTCTTCACTGGCATTGGTTGCATCTGACAATCGGAAATCGAGGCCGTCGGAGACGGGGAAGGCCTTCACATGAAGCAAGCCGGTTCTCGTCGACAGTGTAACATGTTCTCCGACGCATGCTGGGACATCCCGGGACAGGTGGCAGACATGAGGCCAGCTTGCGTCGATCCGTCCACCGAGGTCAATTGGAGATTGGAGTAGCTGGGCTGTCCAGTTGCTGCTGTTGTGGTTTGACCTCGGGTCGAGGGAACGCCATGTATGGGGGCTGGCTATCAAGATGCAGCTGCAGCACCAGTAGATGGGCACGTGCTCGTGATCGCGCATCCCTCCATCCGACGGTTCCTTTGCATCATCTCTGGGTAACCTGGGTGCCGGCGAACAGTCGGGGATCATATGTCGGGGAATAAGCAGAGCAAGATGAAGGACGCCGGCTCTTTGGGAGAATTGGAGGTGATGGTGGTGGTAAAGGCAAGGAAGTTGAGGAAAAAGAACGTACCATCTCCGGCGTTTCCCCGGGGTGTTCCGGCACCCCGTGACGCTAGCCCCACATCGGGGTTAGATCCACCCATTACCTCAGCACTGTTGGCCAGCGAGGTCACCGCATTCCCAGCTTGTTGCTCCACAACAAGTCAACAACCACTAAGGTGAGCTGTGTGGAACTGGCTGCCCGGCGGCACCGTCCCATCTTTTTTTGCGCCCACCACACAAGCAACCAAGCCGCATCTTCCAGTCCCGGTGTGGTGTGTGTGGTGTCCAGTCCCTCGCCGTGCCAACTTATTTCGCGCGCCTCTAATTTTTTAACCTCTCCTCTGTCTTCCCTTCCTTTCCCTCCCATCCATCTACCAATTGTACCATCTACCCAACACCTCCCCCTCCGTCGCAAACATGTCTTTCGTCCAGCGCCGCATGTTCTCCGCTTCGGCGAGAAACGTAAGCACCGCCCAATCTTTTTCTTTATGCTGGAACACACATAGCTCCGCTGCATCCACCAAGGTGCCAGCTTGCCTCTCACTCCAAACTCCGAAAAGCCGACCTCGGGGCGCGGCATAGAGGGAGACAGCTTGAAGCTTCGTGAACCACTCACTGCCTGGTCTACAAACGTGCCTCCAGGAACACCAAGCATAGACTCAATGGCTGACATGATGCCTCCAAACAGCTCTCCAAGGTCACCGTCCTCGGTGCCGCTGGCGGTATTGGCCAGCCCCTCTCCCTGCTCATGAAGCTCAACCCTAGGGTCACCGAGCTTGCCCTCTACGACATCCGCGGAGGACCTGGTACGATCTCTGCCACTTCAGCCCCGTTGTTGCCGCGTCCAATTGACTAACTCTCGCTCTCCCCCAGGTGTCGCCGCTGACATCTCCCACGTCAACACCAAGTCCAACGTCAAGGGCTACGACCCCACCGCCACCGGTCTTGCCAGCGCCCTCAAGGGCTCCGAGATCGTCCTCATCCCCGCCGGTGTCCCCCGCAAGCCCGGCATGACCCGTGACGACCTCTTCAACACCAACGCCTCCATCGTCCGTGACCTCGCCAAGGCCTGCGCCGAGTCCTGCCCCGACGCCAACATCCTGGTCATCTCCAACCCCGTCAACTCCACCGTCCCCATCGTCTCCGAGGTCTTCAAAGCCCGCGGCGTCTACAACCCTAAGCGCCTCTTCGGCGTCACCACCCTCGACGTCGTCCGCGCCTCCCGCTTCGTCTCCGAGATCAAGGGCTCCGACCCCAAGGACGAGAACATCACCGTCGTCGGTGGCCACTCCGGCGTCACCATCGTCCCCCTCTTCTCCCAGAGCAACCACCCCGACCTGAGCTCCAACGCCGAGCTCGTCAACCGCGTCCAGTTCGGCGGTGACGAGGTCGTCAAGGCCAAGGACGGCGCCGGCTCCGCCACCCTCTCCATGGCCTTCGCCGGTGCCCGCATGGCCGAGTCCCTCCTCCGCGCCGCCCAGGGCGAGAAGGGCGTCGTCGAGCCCACCTTTGTCGACTCTCCCCTCTACAAGGACCAGGGCATCGACTTCTTCTCCTCCAAGGTCGAGCTCGGCCCCAACGGTGTCGAGAAGATCCTGCCCCTCGGCAAGGTCGACGCCGCCGAGGAGAAGCTCCTCGAGGCCTGCTTCGCCGACCTCAAGAAGAACATCGCCAAGGGTGTCGCCTTCGTCGCCCAGAACCCCCCCAAATAAATTTGTCTTGTTTTGACCAAAGACCAAAACAAAACATGAAGATGGGGACAGAGATGTTGTAGTAGATGGATACACATGGTTGAGTAGGGTTGAAAAATTCAGCTCTCGGCCAGTTCTTATCCCGACGAAGAAATTCCAATTGCGTTCGTTGGGATGGTGTACGGCTGGGATAAGGGTAAAGATGGAGGCGCAAAAGTCGTTTCCAAACTCGTGGCATCGCCTTTAGGCCTGCCTACTGTACCATACAATTTTAAACATGCTTGACTTCATGACTACCCAACGTGTCCCTCCAGACGGTTCGCAATATGACGTGGTTGTGTTACGTTCAATCTCATCACCATCGCCAAGTTCAAAATCGCCTGCCAGAATTTCACCGCATCTTGCTACACTCATGTCTATTTTAAGGGACAACATCGCTTATGAGATCTAGGCCTGGTCCAACCCTCCGACGTATGTCCCTCGTCTCATTAACAAGAATCGTTGCAATGAAGGCCCTTACTGGTTGCTAGGAGTCTTTGCCGGTGGCTTCGAAACGGGATCATTATCCTGCCACTCATCATGTCCCAGGGGTAGATTTGGAACAGGGACAGAGACGAAGAGGGACAGAGATAGTAGTAGAGATAGAGACGGAGCGGGATGGAGACAGCTTAAGTACGGGTAGGAACGTGTGGTTTTACTTATACGAGAATGAAGCGCATTACGTGTCATACGTGTGAATTCATGACTTTATATGCTGATGTCATCTCCCTATCATACACGTCCAATACATCTCGCTATCTAGACATCACCTTTTTTCTTCTACTTGACACGAAAACTGGTCTAATCTATCGTCGGCCCTGTCTCCAGGCCTCGAGCTGTTGGCGGCGCTCCTCAACCTTGCGCTCGAACTCGGCCACCTTCTCCAGACGCTTCTGCTCCTCCTCCTCGTCCTTCTTCTTCTGTTCGGCCTCCTTGCGAATTCTCTCACGCTCGAGCTGCTCCGGTCGGCGGGCTGCGATATCACGGGGACGGTAGTCGGAGAAGAGGCGCTTGAGGACGACCTCGATGATCCAGCAAGCGGCATAGTCCAGAACCATAACGCCAGTCATGGTGGTCTTGAACTCCTCAGTGAAGGGCACAAGCTTCATCTGCTCGTTGATTTCGGGAACGAATTCCATCGAGCAGGAGAAGGCCAGGGCCGAAACACCGACAATGCCGTAGAACATACCCTTGTTCTCGCGAAGAGACTCGCGGAAGGGGCGTCCCTGGTAGTTGATGGCGAAGGTGCTGATTTGCTGGATGAGCTGGAGTAGGTACACAGCGCTGTTCAACAGACTGGGAGCGAACTCGGCCTCAAGGTCAACGTCACCGGAGCGACTGATTTTTGTTAGTTACTGTTCTCCTACGCTAAGACATGAAAACTTACGGCTCAAGCTTGTCACAGAAGCGGGCAATGTAGATGAGGGTTACAACGTGGACAGCAAACTGTCCCAGGATAGATCCGATGATGTAGAAGTTGAAGATGTTGGGCTGAGGACGCTCCTTGGACAGACCCTCAACAACACGGGCGCGAGAGATAGACAGGAAGCAGACACTCATCAAGATACCGCTGATAGTGTACTGGCCATCACCAAACTTGATACCCTCGAGGTAGAGGACACTGAGACTGTAGGCGCTGATGAGGCAGTTGAGGGCGAGAATCTTGTACGTCTGGATGGTTGCGACGAGAGTGCAGCGACCCTGGCGGATGATGTTGGGGACGGCAATGACGTTACGAAGCTTGCTGGTGAAGGGAGCTGCCACGGAAGCGTCGCCGAGCTTGAGGGTGGGAGGCTCATCGTCTCCGCCCATCTCACTCTCCATCATCTGGGAAGTCATCTTATCGGCAAAGCTAGCGGCCTTGGCTTGAGCCTGCGCCTGACGAGCAGCCTTGGGGTCCTGATTGTTCAATAGTTGCTGGGCACCCGGAGAGGTGACGGTCTCGATGGTGGAGACGCCGTTGGTCTTCATCCACTCCTCGGGGCTAACGTTCTTCCTCTTAGCTTCGCGCTCGACAGCCTTGCTGAAGTGAGGGTTGCTAGGTCCAGGGGGGTAAAGATGGGCAATCATGACGGGAACAGGAGGAGCCGGCTGGTTGAAGCGCTTCATGAGGTCAACCTGCTTCTGGTAGATCTCCTTCATCTTCGTGTTGCGAGAATGCTCGGCAATACGGGTGAGGTCCTCAGGAGTGCCGTTAAGGAGAGCGATACCAATATGAGCCTGCTTGAGAGCGCCAACGTCGTTGGTTCCGTCACCAGCCATCAAAGTGTAGTATCCCATGTCACGGAGGCCAACCAGGATATCTTCCTTCTGCTTGGGAGAGACACGCGCATAGACCCAGGTATGGCGCAGAATCTCGTACCAGCCGACTTGATCCTTGAACTTGGCGAGGGCGTAACCTGTGACACAGAGGTCGTAGGACTCGAGGATCTTCTTGTCGATAGGCTTGGACGGGTCAACCGGGATGCTGATCTTCTCATCAACACTATGCCAGATGAGCTTATCGCCATCGGCGTTGTCCTCGGGGGCATCCAAAATCAAAACATCGCGGTCGACAATCTCTACGTCTCTGGCCACGTAAACGGCGGTAAGCGGGTTGTCTCCGGTAATCATAACAACGCGGTGGCTGCTCTCGTTGAGCATCTGCACAGCCTGCTTGGCATCATCCTTCAGGGGGCAGGAAAGAACCAAGAATCCAGCAAAGGTAAGTCCAGACTCGACGTTCTCACGCTTCAGGTCGTTGATCTTGCTGGCTCCCAACTCGTTATCAACGGTAAGCTGCTTGTAGGCAAGCGCGAGGACGCGGGAACCACGGCGAGTAAAGTACTTGAAGGTCTCCTCGTAGTCGGCGGGAACAGTAGTCAGTCTTCTCTGGATGGTCTCGGGGGCGCCCTTGACAGCGACGAAAGTACCACGGATACGGTTGCCCTGCTTATCCGCACCGTTGACGGTAGCAACTGAGGCCTGTCGCTTGAGAGCCGAGGAAAACTGGAAGCGGCGCTTGATCTGAACAGTTCCGCTGACACCAGTAGTAGCGGCAGTAGTGGGCTTGCTGGCGAGAGTGTCGTTGCGGCCGACAGTCCATCCCAAAGAGGTCAGAGTAGCCTTCTCCATGGGGTCACCAACAACGTCTCCCTCATCAAGCTTGACAAGAGCGTGCGCGGTAGCAAGAACCAGGGTGGTATCCAGACCGATCTCGTTGACAGGGGTCATGTGGGAGTGTGCGCCATCAGACTCGCGAGGGGTGCTAGTGCCCGAGTGTCCAAGGCCCAGACCTGCAATACCCTCAACAACCAGGTCCTCGCCGGTGAGAGTACCAGTCTTGTCAAAGCAAGCAACATCAATACGTCCGGCGTAGGGAATGCGGAAAGGCTCGGTGCAGAAAATAGCGAACTTGGCGAGGGCAGCCAAACTCGTGTTGACCGCCAGACTAAGCTCCATGGGCAACTCTGGGGGGACGACACTAGTGACGATCAAGACGCAGTCGAGCAGAAGCTTGGAGCGCTTGCGGTCCTTCTTAACACCCTCATCCCAGACATACCAGGAGGCGGCGATCGCGAAAATGAGGAGGAACAAGATGAAAAACAAAGCCTCAACATTGTTGGCAGAGACGCGCTCGGTGGAGTAGATCATGGTGCGAACCAGGCTGCCCTGAGAAGTCTCGAAACCAGTCTTCTGCACGATGGCCATGGCGCCGTTGTCGGGAGGGGGAGGAACGCCAGAGGCAAGCTTGGGCTTCTCCTCATCAGGGTTGCCGTGGGTGATCTGAAGAACCTTGGTACCACCCCAGAGGAAAGCGTTCTTGTCCAGGGCTTCGGGCTCGAGGTTAGCATCGGCAGGGCGAAGCCGAATGGATTCCTTGAGGAGAGGAGTACTCTCGCCGGACAGCATGGCCTCGTTGACAATGGCAGTTCCTTCAACAAGGAGCATGTCGCAGGCAACACCGCTGTCCTCCTTGGTGCGGCCAACGGAAACCAGATCGCCGGGAAGAAGCTTGTCACTCTGGATCTCGGTCCACTTGCCCAGACGGTAGACGTAGACATCGTAAGGCTTGATGCTCATTCCACGGAATTCGTTAAGCGTCCGCTGACGCTGCCAGACGACGGTGCTCTCGAAGGCGACAAGCATGAAAAGGGTGAAGAGGGAGTAGTACCAGTACTCATCGAGCATCCACAAGCCGACGCAGAAGATCTGGAAGACGAAGAAGGGGGCGACGGCGTGCTCCTTGAAAAGCTCGGTGAAGGTAGGAACGGGAATATCGAAAGCGTTGGGGCCATAGTGCTCCTCAATCCTCGTCAACTCCTCCTGCGTCGCGATACCTTTGGATTGCTGGTAGCGTGCGATTTTGGGCTTGGGCTCGAGGTCGATGTCGTAGGTGAGGGTTCGGAAGGTCTTCTCTTCGGGAACATAGATGAAGCGTCGCTTCTGGAAGAGGAAAGAGGTGTTGATCTTGCCTCCGACCTACGAAAAGAGCAGCTGTCAGCGACTGCAACGAGAATGCAACACGGCGCGGGGCGTAGCGTCTTACCTTGTCGCGAACCAACTTGCAGATTTCGGCAGACCCGGCATTAGCGACGGGAATGATCTTGATGAGCTCGGCCTCGTCAATTGACTTGGCGCGGGTCGCGGTGAAGAGGGCCTGGAGGTTGACGCTCCAGTGGGTGCTCAACCAGAAGAGGGACTGGAAGGTGACGATGGTGCCGATCCACACAAAGGTCCATTCCTCGGATGCGATGTGCTTCTCGTACAGTTCTTGGGTGAGGTAGTAGCGTAAAAAGATGGGCCAGATAATGGCAAAGGGCCAGACATAGGCGTGGAAGTGCGTTGGCAGGGGCTTCCACAGCTCAGCCAGCTTGATCTGGTTGTTGTCCACGAGGGGCGCCATCGTGAGCGAAAGCGCAACGCGCGGGACCAGACGTCAGGCGAAAAGGGAACAAAAGCTCGTGGTCGGTGTCAATCTAGTGTGTGTAGAGGGCATCGAACAAGACGGAGACAAGAGACACCCGACGACGGCAAGGACGAGGACGACGACGAGGGACGAGGTCGGACGACGGCGGCGGCGGTGGGGTTGGTGATGGAGTAGAGAAACGAGAGGATTTCTGGTTTCTGGTTATCTGTACTTTTTCGCGATGGCGAATTGGGAAGGCCCTTCTGCTCCGGTACCTTCCACCCTCTGTAATAGGCCTAGGTACACTTCATGGGGAGCCAGGGTCCACGCACCTACCCCATGGGCCACTGTGAGTGGCCACATCAGGCCAAAAAGGCCCCTAAGCAATCTTTATTACCTGGAAGGAACCTTAGAGTGACGCTACCACAGGTGCCTGCCCCAACGCACCTTTCCAGATTCCGGATTTCCATGATGACTAAGCCGCCATTATCCGACCTCGGTGAGAGCTCCGTGGGGAAGGTGAGGCTATCGCAACTTCCCCATGCTAGCAGTATTTAGCAGTGTGTATAAGAGCTGCTTTAAAGCCAGAATAGGTAAGTCAGGACCGATGAGGTGCAACGACAAAATTGGCGACAATCGAGGAGGATGAGGAACAAGGACGAAGGAAGAGGAGGAGAACGACGACGATGGAGAAGGAGAGGAAAAGACGGCAGAGGGCGCCAACGAAGCATGACAAAAGATTGTGACAGGAAACACGGCGAGGAAGATATGGACGAACAGGGACGGTAGAGAAGGACGGTAGAGAAGGACGGTAGAGACGGGTGATAGGGCAAGGGGGCGGGGAAGAAGAGGGACGACGAGGGACGACGAGGAAGGACGAGGGCAAGGACAACGAAAGCGACAATGACGCCAAAAACGACGGGCTAGAGTGGCGCCCAAGGCATAGAGAGAGTTTCATGAATTATTATGAGGTGGAAAAAAGAAAATTGTTTGTTAGGTATGTCTGTCTAGATGTTCTACTCATCATCTTCTTCTAGGTAGCCTTGGATATCATCGCCCTCGTCTCCATAACGCCTTCCAAATCATCGTTTATCGTAACTCATTTTGACCACGACATAAATCTGTCGTTGAAAATTTCTTCACTCATCACTCCTCTGCTACGCCTGCAATCACGCTTCTGCGGTTTGCCCGTCCCGCCATCCAGTCCTCTGGAGCGGCCTCTTGGCCCGACTTGGATGGTTTGATGTAATCGGCAATGCGTTTGGAGATGCTTCCCTGGTGCTTCGGGCCATTGTTGTCGCCTAGTGGCTGTCCGTACATGAAGTTGCGCTCGTCCTCGGCAGCCGTGGTCATCATACTCGCCCGCTTTCCAACCGAGTAATACGCACTGTCCCGCTTGCCACTCTTTTGCGTGTTAGCTACGGCGCTCGGATTGGTTGAGACCGGATCCGGCCTGTATGCCGTGTACGGGTTGTAGGTATTGTCACTGTATCCGTAATGACCGGAGCGACGGGCGAGGTTGCGCCATATCTGTGCATGATGTTCACGCTCGGCGGCCTCAGCATCGGCTATGAATCGCTCGAAGTCCGTCATCTCCTTGCGAGGCTTCTCTTCGGCCTGCTCTTTGGAGTGTTGAGACCGGCCATGTGAAGACTTGTCCTGCGTGACCTGTCGTGGTGGAGATGCCTGCTTCGGGACGTATTGCGATGTCGGCTCTACCGTCTGTTGCTGCGCGTGACTTGGCGGATCAAAAGGAGCCTCCATCTCCACTGGCGACGCAGACTTGGGAGGCGTCAGGTCTCTTGCGTAAGGATCCGCAACCAGGTTGAAGCTGTGCCGTTGAGACGATCGTGGACGGGATGGAGGCTGCGCCTTCGCGGGTCCCTTGCCATTTGCCGATGAGGCATTCGAGTTGATGTGCGGCAGCTGATGCTGTTGAGGCTGGTGATCGACGGCAGTGGGTTCTCTGGTGGTCACAACCTCAATCTCACTGCTCTTTACAATCTCAAGTCGGCGGTGCAGTTCCTGAGGAGACGGTCCGTCGAACTTGGAAGAGGACGATAGCTCTCGTGACCTGCGCTTCTCGGCCTTCTCGGCTGACGGTGTACGGTTTCTCTGCTCCGGTGCGACCTGACGTTGAGGCTCGTCCTCTGAGGCTTCGGCAGTAATTGTGGCCAGGGGGCGGACGCCATTCTCGCCGTTGCCGAGAGAGAAGCTGTGACGATGATGGCGCGGCGGGTACGTTGTGCGCGAAAAGTCTGATGCCGCATGCTTTGGCACATACACCGGCCGAGACACCGGGGCGGGAGCAGGTGTTTCGGCATCGGCGTTGGCTGCGTTGTCGTCGCCAAAGTCATTGGCCCCAGATCTAGACCAGAAACGCTTGCCGAAACTCGGCTTCGCGCGCAGCTTAGGTTGCGCAGACGGCGTTGAGGAAGACATGTGCTGCTGGTGTTGAGCCTGGGAAGACTGAGACTGCGGATTGCGCTTGTGTGGGGTGATGGCGCCAGTAACCTGGTTCGGGCTGGCTTTCGCTTGCTGGGGTTTCGCAACCTGTCGTAGGAAACGGGGGACAGACGAGGACGATGGGTTTCGGGCATCCGAGACAGTCTGGGCCTCCTGTGTCTTGGTCGTGTCGCCTAGCTTCTTTTGAGAAGCGTGGGACGCGGATAATGGCATAGACTGTGCCTGCATTTCGTGGTCTGTGGTCTCATCGGCATTGGCCAACGGATCAGACGAGTTGCTGTTCTCGTGATCGGCTCCGGCAGACTGGCTGGTATTGTCGGCGCTCGTGGAAAGCGACCGCTTCTTATTATCGTTTTCGACGTCCTTGTCCTTAGGGGCCAATCGCCGGCGCATGAGGCGGCCCAGTATCCCTGTATCGTCTGCCGAAGACGTGGGAGCTTGTGACGACGTAGCACCGGGATCAACACTTGTCGCTGCATCCGAAGCAGGCGCGGCACGGGAGTCACTGTCTGTTGGAGGAGGCAGTTGCTCCTGCAACTCGGGCTGCTCATCAAGCCCTGGCAGCGGTGCAGCCATGCGACCGTTTTCGATGCGACCCTGGCCTTGGGTCTGGGCATGGGAGGCAGGGTTGGCAGGGGATCCTCCACGGAGGGTGTTCTGGGGATTGTGGAGTTGGGGACCACGTCGCATTGAGGATTGCATGGGTCCTGATGTTTGCTGCTGCTGATGCTGGGATGGCGGGGGTACTGGCTCAGCTTCGCTCTGTTGTTGCCGCGGTGTCTTCATTTGTCGTTTGCTGAACTTCCGAGTGAGAAACCGGCCGAGGGCTTCCTTAACACCGGCCGAGGGCTGGGTAGTCAGGGGGCTCGGTTGAGAGGGCGATGGCAGGTTTCCAGTCTCCTGTTGCTGTGCCTGTTGCTGGCGCTGAAAATGCGAATAAGACGGCGCTGATCCGAAAGATGCGCTTGCAGGCGCTATCATAGACAACGGTCGTGGTCGCTTGGTGGGAGCGGCGGCATCCAGGTTTTTGTTGATTTTCGACAACCGACGACCATTCGATGCTCCTGACTGTGTTGCTTGGCCCTGATCTTCTCCCTGCTCCCTATTTTCCGAGTCGTCCTCTTGCTGGTCCTCCAAGGTGGCCGATATGGCTGCATCTGGCCGCCAACTCCACCGATTGTAAGACAGCCGGCGCGATGAGACACCACCCGCAGCGCCAGGCTGCACCTTTTTCTCGGCTGGGACACTGCCCTCGCACGAATCGGGATTGGTGGTGGGTGGGATCAGAGGCTCATTGCTGGCAACGGCATTCTCTCGGGCATGGGCTTTTCGCGGTGCTCCCGACCACGACCAGCGATTAGGATTGACCATTGCTATATATCCCGGCTTCTCGCCGCGAACTGGCTGCCGTCCAGCTTGGTCTATGAAAACCTGTCAGTCCACGCCAACTCCTAGGATCCAATACATGGAAGGGTGCCCACCCTTTAATTTTCAGCTCAGCGCAGAGAGGAATCTTTCCTGCGTTGGTATTTGCCGAGCCGGCAAACGCAGCGCTGCACCAGCAGATTGAGGCTTGTCGGCAGGCTGGAAGGGGGGGCCAAAGTGTGCTCCGAGGCGGCGAATCAGGAGAAGAAGGCCGTGTAAGCAGCAAGCTGAGCTGGCAGCCGGGCGATTCGAGATGAGAGATGGCAGTCGGTAATGTGCCTGGTCCAACGATGGACAGAAAAAGAGAAATGAAGGTATATGAGGACTCGGCGCATTTAGAAAAAAGGCGAATCTAGGCAGTTTTAGAGGCGCCTGCGCGGGCGGAGGCCATGACATGGAACGGCGGCACATCCACAAATCTGCAAGTACTTTCGAGGTACCCTTCCAAGAAGCATCCATCACGTACCTTGGGCAGGCGTGGAGGCCAGATGTTCCTCCTCGCGCCGCCCCGGTCTTTCCATGCATTAGGTGTCTGCCATGTAAGCACAGTAACTTTGCTGATACTTGACGGCGCAAAGCAAAGTGGACGATCAGGATTGCTCGCTGGGCGACAAAGAAAGAGAACGCGAGTCCCGTGTGGTTGCTTAAGCTTTGACGTGCTTTCTGTCTGAAGCGCGGCACAACAATAGAATCCGATCAACCAAACGTGTCTCCTGAAGCGTCCAGGCGGCGAGTTTCGGTAATTTGGGTGGCAGATGGACTACTCGCAAGCCAAAGCGCTATTCCGCGCGGGCCCGGATTAAGAGCCAACTGCACCAGCCCTGAGTCAAAGTGTTGCTTAGCGTCTACTCAGGAGAGCGTCACGAACTGTGACGACTATTGTTTTTGTGTCCGCCATGTTCTTGGGGTTCTTTTCGTCGCTCCGGCTGGCCGGGAGAACATCGGAGACAACGTCATATCAACACGGCCAGATTATTGCTCACACTGGTCATCTGGGGCCGCACAGATTCAAAGGCGAATGCTGTTGAATTTGCGGAGACGTCCGGGGATGAAGATGCTCGCCCCACGGAGGCTTCATCGGGCGGATGGACAAGCATTTCTGTGGCGGAGAGGGTGCGCCGCAGTAGATGCGGTGAGAGGGACTAAAAAGCCATGTTGTGGCCAGGAGTTGCGTGTCTGAGGCGGCTTACTGCATACCAGCCAAGGCCGGATATGGGCCATGATCGACCAATACAACGGCGACGATGTATGTTTGGTTTCCGACAGTAGGCCAGGGACACGATGGCACAGAGGAAGATTCAGACGGAAGGCGCCGTTTCAATGGCTCAATCCATCCTGAGTGTAATTGTCGAGACAGGCGTGTTGATTGGCCATTCACAGGGCAAGAGGCTTGTTTTGGAAGATAGATCTGGTGGGCGCGCGGGGTTTCTTTGTCAAAATCAGGCACATAGGGAGGCGCAAGTCCCGGTAGTCGATGGTTGCGAGATACAAGATCCAAGCCCTGACCGTTGAGTGACGGGAGAGGAGATGAAATTCTTTGTTTCCATGAGCTTGTCTTCTGTAACGCAAGTCCGGGGCGCAGTGTCTGACCCCAGACTCGTCTGAACACGCGCCGCAGTGGCTTCTGAACATGTCGATGAGGTAACTGGCTTGGGAAGGCAGCAGCCTCTCCCACAGCCACTTTGCAAGAGGGGACGTTTGGCTGCTCCTGGTCGTGTTTCTTGATTTTGATGGAAAAAAAAGGCAGAAAGCTTTGACTAAGAGGGTGTCCTCCAGCAACACCATTGATAGGTGGCGCGCGACTATAGACATGGAGGGTGGGTTGCGGGTGGCCGGCTGTATGTCTGAATCAGCGGTGGACTGCCCGAAAGAGAGAGGCCATGTTCTGAAAGGGGAATAGAGCTTAGAGGGCGTCTTAGTCGGGTGATCGCATCGTAAGACGAAGAACGAGTAAGGGCCGGTCTCAAGGGCGACTTTGAGCGGGGAAATTTTCCCGACAAGCGCCGGGTTGAAAAATGATTTGGGAAGCCGCAAAGTGGGAGGAGAAACGGCTCAAACTCGTGTACCTAAAGTAGGTGGATGAAGATTGAACGAAGCCGGGAGAGAAGAAGTCAAGCAGTCTGAATAAGGTGTCGGATTACCAGGAAGAACGAACGCTTGGTCCGTGGCCGTAAGGGGAGGGGATTGAATCTCTCCCACAAGGCAGGTGTCGATCAAGATCGTCCCTTCCTTGCTCAGATGGAAGCAGCCAAGTCCTTCCTTCCACCTCACTTTCAGGACCTTACCTAAGGCAACGAAGGTGAGGGTGGAACTCTCGGTGAAGGAAGGAGCCGATTGCTGCTTCCTTCAATACCTAGGTTGGGTTCTGAGGGTGGTGCCTGCCCTCTGCCTGCCGGCGCTCGCGGAAGTCGCAGGTGCCAAGGGGGAACCTAAAAAATTGAACTTGGACGAAATGCATGGAAGTCGCGACGGGGGTGTTGGCTCAAGGGTGCCTGCCCTACGGTGGCAACTTCCCCAGGTTCACGCACTGCAACACCCCCTGCGCCAATCAACTGAGAGATGCGCAACGAGCATGGAGTGGCCTGTGCTGCATGGCCCTGGCCCTGTATCCCTAAGGGAAGAAGGCACCCCGGATCGTCATCTCCCACGCCACGTTGGAGCTAACAACCGTCGGGACCACCAAACGCCAACAACACCACGGCGACGGGACCGAAACAACAACAGAATCTCCAAACGAGACTCCCCTTTCTCGCAAGCTGTAGCCTGTTTGTGCTAGCCTGGTTATCTTGGCTGGTCACGCGGGAAAACGGCAGTCGAGAAACCAAGGGCGCCCCGCACTGCCCAGAGCCAACGCTTCCGGGTGTAAACGCTCTCTTCAAACGCAAGCCATCTCTCCCCTTCGCCCGCATGGCCGCCGTAACGCCTCGTGCTGGACTCCTCGATTGCTTCACATCCAGCCATGTCTGCCGATCTCTAACCGAGTAAGCTTATATCGAGATCAAAAAACTTCACCACGGATTTCTGTCCATGCCACCTCTAACGCTACGGTCTAGACTACGTCTTTCCCCAGGTTTTGCGCCCTCCAGTGACGTTTCTTCCGTTTGTCCTTCGAAACGCTTATCAGTAATACTGCAGCTGAGCCCAGTGTGAGGGGGCGTCTATGGCTCTCCTCTTGCATTGGCGAATCGCAAATCGTCGTCGCGAGCTGAGCATGGTGGTGTAGGTGTCTTCGTATGCGGATCTTGCCATGTTCTCATGCAAGCCTCGGCATCTCGATCGATGATTTTTCTGCCACAGACGTGATCGTGGCGGATGTTCAATCAAAGCCTCGAGCAAACATTCCAAGTTATACCTCAATTCCTAGCTGATGCGGCGTCGCCGCTATCATCGTGGCCGTCTCCTGGTCAAGGAAAGTAGTGCCCCCTCACAGACGATAGCGTGCTGGGAACGCATCCTGTAACCATGCCTCGAAGCTACTGCACCCTCGGCCCACGAGTTCGTCTCACCACGAAGGCAAATCCAAGGCTTCCACGCCAAGTTTCAGCCGCATCTCCGATCCCACGGACAATGGATCTCGTCTCGGAGAATATTTCATTGCATTTCATGTACGCTGTGGTCTTCGGAATCCAATGAGGCCTCGTGATAAATCTCTGCTGTTGCCCGGGCAATGCCCTTAGGAATTCATGACTGCCAATCTGGACCCTGAATACTGGACCCTTTCCACGGCCCATCCAGGCGTGCGCAGACTTGAATAGAGCAACGTCAGAGCTCGGCGCCCACCTGACTCGGCATGGACCGGCTTGAGCACTGTGCATGTCCCTGTCACAGCTACATACACATGATCGGGTTCGGTTTCGTAGATGCTCGTTCCTAGGAGACGTTTTCGGGGTGCGTTCCGGTTGATGTGAGTGGCTCGTTAGGTGTTACACAATTTGGTCACCTTAGAACGCATCGTGGGGGCGGGCATGATCATGGAGGAAGCAGTTGCAGGCAATAAAAAAAAGATCGTCATTATCATGAGATGCGCCTCTGAGCGCAATGATATTTATCTATGGGGGTATAATTCAACGCTTTCCTATCCATGCAAGAGATGCCTTTGCTAAGCATCTTTCAATATCAATGATCCCTCACAACGAATGCTGGGCCACTCGAGTTCTTCAGTCCCTCCAACACCATGGCGGCTTCTGCCTCCTTCTGGGACTGGGCCTCGATCTGTATGCACTGCGGGACAGTCCATCCAGGCGCCCGCACCAGCTGATTGATAAGAACGTCGCTCAAATAAAATGGATCCGAGATCGTCCGTCTTCTGTGAACCACGCGACTCTGCGAGTTAGGCGAGATGTCTGTGAGAGGTCCGGGGGGAGAATGTACAGGTTCCATCGCGGGCGGCTTCGATGGTGTCGCCTCCGGCATCTGGCTCATGCGAAGAGGCGGAAGCTTCACCGAATCCTCCGTCGACACACGTTGAATGTCGGAGAGAATCTTGGGCGACACTACCGACGGCTTGTCCTTGCTTCGCGAAACTTTGACTTTCGGAGTCGGTCGTGGGAGAGCCCTGGCTGATGTTGAGCGGGGTGTGCCCGTGAAGGAGACCTCTACGCCGTCGATCGTCTTCCGCTTCCTCTTTCTAGGATTCAGCTTGACGGCCGCGACCATGGAGTTTACCTCCACTCCCGACATGACAACATCCTCGACGACCAGGTCGCTCCGTGGCAAACCACTCGTTGCGATCGAATTGTGGGCGTCCTCCAATGTTCCGACCGGCACCTCCTGAGAGCCTTGCGCATCATCAGGATTGATGTTAGGTTGCGAGGGCTCGGGTCGCGCGGCTGGTGCGGACTTCCTGGACCGCTTCGTTCTTGGCTTGCTGACTTTTGAAGGTGCAGAGCAGGTTGAGGGCGGGGTTTCGGTGCCACAAATGCGGCGAAGCTCCATCCTTATCTTCCAGGTGAGGTAGGCCGCGCTGGTTTTGTCATCTCGCACTGCCATCGGGCGTTGAGGCGATGACTTTGGCGGGGTATCTTGGGAAGCCTTCTTCTGCTGCGGTTGTTCGTCCTGCGTCGACTCGACCTTAACTGAGCTGTTTGCAGGTCCTCGACTTTCCGCGAGCCCCTGGATCTCCGTGGTCTGTGTTTCCTGCTCTTGGATTTGCGGCTGATGCTTTTCGGCTGGATCTGTCGTCTCGATGGTCCTTTTCGGTATTTCTGGCATCTCTGCCTTGACGGCCGCCTCCGTTGTAAGTACTGGAACCTCGCCGCATGGCCCAGCCGTATCCGGGTTTTTCTTCCCGTCTGTCTTCCCGTCTGCATTGTTCTGGCGCTTCTTGGCCTTATCGTTGACTTCCTTCTTTTTCTTTGGCAGCTTCGTTCCTGGGGGAAGCCACATCAATGGAATTCTTTCCTTCAGGTTGGACACCCAAGCGTCGCAATCCCACTGCACCCAATAGTCGATGATATCCCCCCATGAACTTTCAGGAGGCTTTGTAAAGTTGACAAAAACAACCTTTCCGCCTCTATTGTGAATGGTCTTGGCAAACTCTCTGACCAGGACCTTCAGCCCGTGCACCTTCAGCGAGGTGCCAAGGATGAGAAGAAGATCAGGACAGAGTCCAAGGTCATGTGTGACAATTGGGGATATCAGGTGGGCATTGGGATGCTCTTCGCCGTAGAGGACAATGTCTGGTCTCAGCTTGCCCACACCTAGTGCTCTCTTGCCCCTCTCCTGCCTCGCCGCGGTGGCACCCACACAGTAAGGACATTCGGGTTGACGGCCAGAGAGGGTTTCGTGCGCCCGTCCTTCGTCGTCCCAGTCACAGATTTTGCCGCAAAGAAAGCATCGCAGAGACTCGAGAGATCCATGGAGGAACACACATTCAACGCCACTGGACTTTTTTTCCTGTCGTGGAGGTTGTTGCTCAGTCAGGCCACGAGCCAACACTTGCTCAATCCCCTCCCCGTCTTCACTCGTCTGTGATTGAGTTGGCTCATTATTTGCTTCCCGGGAATTTCCAGCGTCCTTTGAAATCTCGTCGTGGCTGGGTGGCGTGGGTGGAGTCGGCACTTGTGTCGTCGACTTCCTTGAAAAGCGACCCCGGTGGCCAGGCCCATCATGAAGTGAGGTCGTAAGCCCCACCTTCTCCTCGATCTGATCAATATTCTGCGTGTAGCACCGGACCAGCTTGCCACGGTTGCGCAGGTGGCCGATGAAGTGATGAGACGCTGTAGGCTGAACATCCTTGACCTTTTGTCGTAATGTAGTGGCAAAAGTGTAGAACACCGAAGTTCGTAGAGGGTCAGCCCAGATGGAGGCGTCGAAAAGGTCCCTGCCTTTGATATTGGGTAATGCCTTGGCCGGGTTGGAAGATGGAGGTGTTTCGTCGATTTCTGAAGACACTGTACTGCTTGCTGTACTGGAAGATTGCCGGCTCGTCGACGAAGAAGCCTCCTGGAATGGGTCGGATAGAATTGTTGGGGGAGATGAAAGGGGTGACGAGGAGAAGCCTAGGGGTGGTGATGAGAGAGGTGAGCTGAAATCGGAGCGAAATCTAGTGGTTCTAGGTGTGGTGAGTTGCGCGGCGATCAGGTCAGCCCTGAATGACGAAGCCGCCGGGGGAAGAGTTTCCTCAGACTCGTCATTGGGCCAGGTCTGGCGTGGTCTCAACGGGCTTGAGGCGAAGCTTGGAGGCTCAATGTCGGCCGCTTGCATCGAGTTCAGCGAAGAGGTTAGGAGGGACCTCTTTCGCAGCTCAGCGGAGTTCGTTTGGTACGCATTTGGTCGCCGCCTGGGATCGGGGCTCGCGGAGCGCCCTCGGACGCGCAAGGAGGTGCGGATGGGGCTCTGCGCTCGAAGTTCGGCTGCTGAAGGAAAGCTTCGCGGCGGTGCCGCATCTCGTGGTGGGCTCGGGGGTAATGATTGCGCTCTCCTGGAACGTCGAAGCTCGCCCTGTGCCTTCGCGGGTGTGCTCTGGCGGCTGACGGTATATTTTGTGAATTCCAATGCCTTCTTGGCCCTCGACCTAGTACTGGGAGGGCTGGGCATCAGATTCACTGCACCCTCTCCTGCAGAACACAGCCTCTCATCGTCGGATTCTACAGTCTCTTGTGCGTTGGCTGTTTGCATGTCTCCCTTCGGTATACATATTGCCGAGTCCTCGGAGGAAATCTTCTGTCGCTTAATGGGTCGTTCTGCCGGGGTGGTGTCTGAGCATGACGATGCAGAAGATGATGACAGACGCCTGCCTCCTGGAACATTTTCTCTGCTTGCGGCGTCGAATTGAGCTTGAATTAGAGAGTACAGTCCATTTTCGCTTCGAAAATCCTAGAATATTGTTAGAAAAATCGAGGAACTGTGGCAGTTGCGGTTGCTCACAGGTATGCCAGAATTGGTACTAATGCCGGCACCGGTAATGACCACGACTTTGCGAGCTTTGAAGAGAGCGTCGGCAATACCCTGCAGAAGCACATCTTCCGCGGGGGTTACCTGAGTGGTAGGCATGTCGATACGTCCTCAAAGTCGGCCCATTGGACTGGTTCGCAGTGGTTGTCGAGGAGGCTCGCTGACGGCTTCGGCTCGGATCGTGGGCGGTTTTGGCAATGAGCGACTGGGGCAGCTACTCGCAGAACAAGCAGGTGTCTTGTGAGGAATATCTGTGTAGTCTGAAGAAAGCCGACCGAGAAGAAAAGACTTCGTAGCTGCCTTGAACGAGCGTTTTGCGACGCGACTGCGGAAGAATTGTGGATGGTTGCGGTACCGACGCGGTGGACAGAGCGGGAACTGACAGTTGACCGGGGTTCGCGACGAGGAGCTAGTGGATGAATTTCGCGACGGGTTGAAATCGGTCGCGAGGCTCCTAGGTCGATTGATGTCGCTACCGGTTCGAAGTGCAGGTTGAAATGCAGTCCGTCAAGAGGCGGGTATCGCGGGTTTGGAGAGGTGTTGGAGGCGAGAGGTAGGTGAGAGAGGTGGTGGTATGGTGAGGCGAAAGGGAAGTTCCAGGCCCAAGCTTGACCTCGAATGAACAGACGCGTCTCAGAACGGGCTCGGGAAGACCAAAGCTTTAAAGCTTAACGGGGTAAGCTCCAGGTAGCGTGCTGCCCAATTCCGGATCTCGAAAGGAGGGGAATCATGTAAATTCGATGGCGAAAAAGGACACACAAAAGACGGAGGCGCGAGACTGGGTGGTGATTTGGCGTTATTGACGGAAGGTTGGAAGGTACGTTCACGTTCGTTCGAGGATCTTGCTGAATCGGATGTTGTTTTGCAACCGCGACTGGCCGAAGGGACCTCTCCACTTTCCATTTCAGTGATTCGGTTCACTGAACGAACGAACGGCGGCCGGACAGACGCCAACTGCTTAGCGCAGATCGCTAAGTGAGATCACCGAAGCTCCATCGACTATCGATAAGATAGGCAACGATAAGAGCCCGATAAAGAAACACGGAAAGTGGGGATGCATCACAAACAAGACCTTAAGGTAGGCGGGCTCTCTCAAAACACACACTGCTTCCCGTACTCATACTCAAGGTACCTGGGCACCTCGGTTTGAGACTCCCGACCAAGCCAAGATATGAATGTTTCTCGCTCACGTCTCCATATCTTCTTGCGGGGCAAACAACACCTGTCCAGTGCTCAAAGAGAGTCTTCTCAATGCCATGCCAAGCTAATGGGGAGCACCGGGCGGGACTTGGGTCTTTGCAGTCATACTTGACCTCTCCCGATGACAGGTGCCACAGAACGAGGTCGTGAGAAGAGGATGGGAAAATGGCGAGGACGATTGAGTTATCAACAGGTGGCTGTCAACTTCGCCATACCATCAGTCTTGCTTTGGGCGGGCGGGTCCGACACTCCTCATGAGAAAGACAATCACCATCCAGAGACGCGATGCTGCTGTCATTGACGAAGCGCATTGGATGCCTCCGTACGCCGCAGATTATTATCGCAACAGACCCGACGGCTTGGCATCGGGATATTTCCAGTCTCCACGCACCTTCTAGAAGCTAATTCCGGGAAAATGAGTCAGGTCCAGAGCCTCAATCTCAAGCTGGGCTGAACACACGATACAAGTTACCACTCGAGACGGCTGCATCACAGGCAAACAACCGCCGCTGCAAGGATTCCCAGCTGGTCCCAACGTGGCATCACTTGCACCCGCCCGTCGGCATGGTCCATCTGATCTTTCCGTGCTTCGCGGCATCTTCGGGCGAGACCACAGTTCGGTCCCTGAGACGATGCTGTTTGATCGTCTTGCCCCCACTCCCTTGTGACAGTTCTGACGGTCTTCCTCTGCCACCGCCGGTTGGCTAGCCGGACTCGTGTCAACCGCATCTCCGGTTTCCTCACCCCACGAAACCCCGACATGGAGAAAACCTTCCTCAGCTCGCCGCTCATTTTAGTCTCTGTATCCTTTTTTTCGCCGGTCCAATGCTACCTTGCAGCGCCCTATTCGTCTGGTTCCGAAAGTCAACACTCGATGAACCATACCAAACAAGTGCCAAGAGCGCATGATTCGACATTAATCGGTGCATCATATGAACTCGCCGGCCAGGGTTTGCTGTCAACCCAATAATCAGGATGTCTACAAATGCCACGATGCTTCCGACCCTGTCAACTGCTATCTCTTCTCCCATCCTATCAATTCTTGTCCAATATCTCACCTGAGCGTCTTTCTTTTCTAACTTCGCACCACTTTCACTCATTGTCCCATCCGGCAGGTCCAACTTCATCATGGTGTGCATTCAGTCATTCACTCTTCTCTGGCTTGCTTCGACAGCAGCTGCCCAAAAGTGCAAGATCCAATTCGATGGACGCATCCCGTCCGGGACCGCACTCAAGTCTCTCGATGCCAAGAACAACTTCTTCAATCCTCAAAACGTCTTTGGCAAGGGCTTAGCCTTCAGCCAAGTTCTCCAACTGCCCAAGCAGGCCGGCTCTCCTTTTGACGGCACGAAGAGCGTGCCCGTCGAAGTCACCATCAGGTACTGTCAATCGGCTGTGATACTCCAAACTGCAGTTGGACTAACAGGCCTTAGTGACAAGTCGATCTTTAACAACCAGACCGGTTTCCGCCGCGCCGAACTCATCCCGTCCAGCAACTCCGGCACGGACCCGTCTACCACAGGCGTGAAGACCCTCCACTTCAGCATCGCAAAAGATGCTCAACGGCCCCTCAATGTCTCCCACGAGTACCAGATGGCTTTCCTAGAGAGTAACGACTTCAGCACGAACCAGATGGTTCTCAAGACTGGCACTATTCTCGGCGGAAGTAACGCCAACCCGGACACGCTCCAACTCTTCGGCAATGTCAACACGAAACCTTCGCCTCCTGTCTTGTTCAGCACCCCCTTCACTGAGGGTGTGACGCACAACTTTGCCGTTACATTGGATTTTGGGGCCAAGTGAGTACTGCCACATGCTTTCGACAGTCACATCACTAACATAAGGATAGCACGAGCAAGGTCTTCTACTCGACTGGCAAGGATCCCCTCAAGGCCCAGGGTGATGCAGTTAAGAACGACGTTAGTGGACAGGGCCAGTACCACTTTGGTCTTCTCAAGAAGCCCGTGGGAGGCACCGGGGACATCACCAAGAACGGCTTCCAGCCCTCCGGCATTAACGAGGGAGTCATCTTTAGCGGTATCTTCCTCGAGGACAGCGCCGACGGATGCATCAGCCTGGCTCCGTAAAGTAATCGAGTAAGAGCGAAACCCATTGCATCACGTCTCTGACCGCATAGAGGTTTCTCCTGGTTCATAATAGGCTCAGGCAATAAAAATGAGACCGCCTATTTTTCCTGTGGTAGAGCGACTACTTTTCTGTGGCTATACTCTAATTACTCCACCACCGTCGATATCGTCGTCCTCGTCGCTTCTATTGTTATCGTCGTTATCGTCGTCCTCGTCCTCGTCCTCGTCCTTGTCCTCGTCCTTGTCCTCCTCGTCGCTGTCGCTACCATCGCTTTCGATAGTAATTGTCAAGTATACAGGAAATATAGCCGCGCAGACACAGGAAAATTAGGCGATCTCATAAAAATAATCTCGATTATTGAATAACAAGCTAGAAATAGCCAGCCTATGAGTGTGCAGTGTCTCTGGACTAGCCCATTACCAGAATTGGAATTAGTCCAAGTCCATAAACACTTTGAAGAACTTCTCAAAATCGTTGGGCACACCAAGCCCGGTGATGGTATCGAAACCCGGCTTCGCAGGCCACCCTCCAGGCGCGTCTCCGTTCCAAGCGCAAGACTGGCTTTCTCCCTCAACAACATCTTGGAGTACGGCACGCATCTTTTTAGAGTAGAGTATTGGATTCAACCAGCCAACTGAGCCTTTTCCCGCTCGTAGACGTCCGTCATTGACCAGAGCTATCATGGCTGCAACGACAGGACAACTGGCACTGGTTCCAAGAACGTTGCTCTCTTTGCCGGCTCGTTGAATGACAAAACCGGAACCGATGGCGCTGATGTCGGGGAAAGCACGACCGGAGGTATTGTAACGACCGTCGAGAGTGCCATTGAGGGCCTTGTTGTACTTCTTCACCACACCATCTTGCCATTCCGGCCTTTCAAAATAGTTGCTGAAGCCACCAGTACTGAACTTAGCTCCATTGACGGGCGGCCCAGAGTTTGTCGTAGCCCCGA